TTGATGACAGTCAGGGCTGATTTATCAACGCAGCTCAAGCAGGACAGCCCTGGTGCCTACAATGCTCATCTATTAATCAAGGAAAGTTAATCTGCGAGAACATTAATGAATACAAATTGCTCCCAAAGGCTGATGAGGCATTAGATTCCCTCTCAGCAATTGTGGTTCCTATTATCTTCCAAACAGAGATTCCTGTCAGGGCACTCAAGGATGGTCAGAGATGATGAAGACAAATGATCAGCTTTGGAGGAACATGCTTCCCTCAATTAGCATCTGAGGGCCCTTAATGTGGAGGATAGTTTTATCAGAGCCTCAGCTCCAGAAATTGGAGGCAATTGCTTGCAACAAACTATTTAAATTATCTAGTTATAAGGGAGATTTTTGCAAGAACCAGCCCTGTGTGTGAATTTATATTATGGACTCACAAATATTGCATCCTTTATGAGACCTCAGGACAGCTAATTATGATTTTTGAGAGAGGATGGGGGGCACTATAATATCTTACAATGCCTGGAATTTTTCCATAAGATATTGGCATCCCTGTCTTGAGAGAAGAAGGGGGGGCTCTCCCCTTTTCAGACAGAAGGAGAAGGGCCGCCTCAGCACACAACTGCACTGCCCTCCAGAGAAGGGAGGCTCACCCAAACACAGGCCTTCCTCAGGGGCTGGGGAATTTCAGAGGGAGGCGAGGTTACAGGAAGTCCTCCACTCACAGAAGTTCGTTTAGTGACCATTTGAAGTTACAAGGGCAGTGAAAAAAATGACTTATGGCAGCTTTTCACAATTAAGACCGTTGCAGCATCTCCATGGTCACGTGATCTAAATTCTGATGCTTGGCAACTGACTCATATTTATGACCGTTACATGTCTTGGGGTCATTTGTGACCTTCTGGCAAGCAAAGTCAATGGGGAAATCAGATTCACAGAACAATTGTGTTACTAACTTAGCAATTGCAGTGATTCATACAACTATGGCAAAAAAGGTGTAAATTGGAGCTAAACTCACTTAACAAATGTCTCACTTAACAACAGAAATTTTGGGCTCAATTGTGGTCATAAGTCGAGGATTACCTGTAAAACATAAGCTAAAATCGACATGTCGATTAGTTAAAATGGTCCAACCCAGGCACTTGATGGTCCCAGAATTTCCTCCCTCATCTGTGGGCCATTCCGTTTAAGCCCCACCCCTTTTGCTGAACCCAGAGATGGCCAGGAAGGGCGGCCTCATCCCTTGCTCTTCCTTCAACGTGGCTCAGGGAGCGCCTCGTTTTACCAGAGAACGGAGAGCAACCAAGTGCAGGAGGAGCTGCATCCGTGTGAGGGAAGCTTGAATGGTTGGAGGCTCTCCGTTCCTCTTGCTCTTTGCACCTCAGTCACCTCCGTTTGGCTCCTTCTTCCCCCTCTGCCGGTCTCATGGCTACAGAAGATGATTAAGGCCTCCACAGACAATCAAACAAGGCAGTTAAAAGCGCTTCATGGTTCTGGACGACCACTGCAATTATACACTAGCCTTACATCCTCTATTTATGTGAAAATGGCAGCCTATTTAGCTGCATTTGAATAGCTGATGGTCTGGATCTATTTCAATCAGTGCTTTACTTGGAGTTTGGACTGCTTTAACCATTTGGGCAGGTGATTTATTCTGGCAAATAGATGGTGGGGAATCTGACTCTGTTTGACCTCCCAGATTCTTATTGCTTTCAGCCTCATGGGCCTCGGCATCTTTCGGGACCACTTGTCAGTGATGGGCCAGGGGTCATAGCTGTGTGGCGGTTCTGGTCCTTCCTTCAGGGGGTACATAGAAGATGGTGCCGGAAGACTTCAAACAATGTAGATGGTTGGCCCAGTGTCGATTTCTCCTTTCTGATATCAGAATTGGATTTGCACAAACAGGATTTCAAGATCTCTGATAAGTAAATTGAATAAAAATAAATAAAAGCTATTAAGAATGCTTGGAATAGTAACAGACTAGTCTGCCTTCAAGTTGTTTGTTCCTGTCATCTTTTGATGTCTTACAAATTCATATCTTTGTCCCCAAAGGCATTTCACCTTTACCAGAAACTAGGGTGAAGTCATTCAGAGTAGACCTCTGAGAACAAGCTCTGTCCAGCCCTACTACTAACTCCACAGAAGCAGTTGAATGGGCTAGATGAGCGGGGACAAGCAGACATTAAATCCAAACAAGATGGAGATTCTACTGGTGAATAGCAAAAGCACTTGGAGACTGAGATGAATCCACTTCTCTTCTGTTTCTCTGTAGGACTCCACTTTCCCCAAAATGCTTTTTCTTTTGTTGTTGTTTAAAATGCCCAGACCATATTCTGACAGCATCTCTGTGCAACTATTGCCCAATGTCACAGTTCATAGCTACCACAGATAAAAAGAGCCCATGTGGGCCTGGCTTTCCTGGTCAACATGAGAAGGTCAAATGCTATGACATGACCAGCCTCATCTTTTTCACTCTATGGAGAATCAAGGAGTGGAGCTGCAAGAAACTGGAAGAAGGCTATCCTGCAGCTCTGATGCTGGGTCCTCTCAGAGGGGCCCTGCCTCCTCTTCAACTGACTTCAAGCAGCAGAGCTGGACAGGTCCTCTCCTTGACGGCTGCTGATGTCACGTCAAAGCAGGCAATGTTGAGAGTGACAGTGCAATGATCTGAGTGAGGAAGGTAGCTTCCTACTGTGCATGTTAACGCATTTTTGAATGAAATGACTTGACATTCAGTGAAAAGCTATGAAAAGTCACGTATTAGTCCAAATGACAGAATCAGGGCTTACTTGACAGAGCCCTTGTTTTCCACAGCTCCTTCCAATCCCTCATCCTAGAGTTTATGCTGAAATGAGCACAGCTGACTGGGTGAGAAGAAATTTAATATTGTCTGGCAAGAACTGTCTCCCCAGGTGCTGTGACAGGGAAAGGCACAGAGTGCTCCCTGGGCCCAGCATCGCTTTGTGTTAACATCAAGAAATGACAAATGGAAGAAAGCAAAGAACAGATGGTTGCATGTTTCTGCACTGCCACGGCGCTGGCAGCAGCAGGAGTAGCGTAGGCCAACTTTAGCAGCAGTTTGTCTGTTTAATCAGTGACATCACCAAAGTAAAGAAACCGCAGGTAATGCAGATGTCTCCGGGTCATGACCCGAAGCAGGTATGACCTGCACAGCCCCTCCCCTCGTGATGCTGAGGTCACCAGCATCGTCTCCAGGCTGAGTTCAAGGCAAACTATTTTTAACTTCAAGTTCTAGATCTAACTTAAAGTTATTCAATTATTTCTAGTCTTCAGAAGTTCAACTGTGTGATTGTAAAGGCGATTCCAATTCACACAACTTATTTATGCATTTATCAAATTTACTTGCTGCTCATTTTGCAGTTCAGGTGACTGAGCAGTTGCCTGTGTATGTTTAGAACTGAATGGTGTTGGTGGCCACAAACCCAAGTGCAGAAGTATTCCCACATTCCAGAATGCTGGAGAATTTTTGTCACATATTTGACATGCTTCAAGATACTGGAGTGAGTGTAGCCTGTTGACAAGTGGGGGTTCCTGATCCCTGACAAGACTGAAATTGCATTAAGACGAATGTGCTTCCCTGCTGCAGATTGCCAGGCAGACTCTGTTCCCGTTTTGTGAGGGGCACATTAAAAGCGTTATGATCCTTTTCAGCATTTGAGCAGGGGGGGGTGAGTGTGAATCTTGTGATTTCAACATAAGAAGATGGGTGGTTAAGAAATGTGAAGTGATCTATCAATATCAATCAATCAATCAATCAATCAATCAGATTAGTTCTATGTGCAAGCCATTTAACACCTCTGTAGAGTTTCTGTTTGGACACACAGCAGAAGTCCTAAACAGACTTCCACTGATAGTTATTTCAAAATAAAATCTTTTGAAGCACTAAGAAAAATCTAAACATTGTCTCTGATAATTATCCTTGTGGAAATAAGATGCCATATCTGCTGCAGGACTACTTTTGTCCTTTTTCTAATAGGACCTGCTTTCACAGAAGCATGGGAGAGGGGACAGGCTTTTTTAAAGGTATCTGGTGGCTGTCTGGGCAGAGCCTGGTGACGCGGGTTGAATCTGCAAGAGGAGATAAATATACTGAACAAAATATTGTTGGAGCTGCTCCTGTTTGCTTCTGCAAATACACGGTGAGGAAACCAAATGGTTGGTGCTGATTGTGTCTATTATTTGATGTGCTAAGACCCAGGTCCCCCATCGTTTGAATCCACTTTTCCCTGGTGGATCATGCTGTACCACCCCCCATCCCTCTGATGCTGAATTGCTTCTGAATCACAGATAAAGGGCCCTGATTCTTGGGAGGGGGCCAAGAGTCTTGATATGCAGCAACTGAGAACTGGGGGTTGCCAAAGACTTTCTGTGCCATCTCATATTAAAATGGGTGAACAGGAAGGGTTTCTTTTTCCTTCTGCTCAGGGAAAGTTAGGCACTCAGCTGTAGGTCAAGCACAGATAAAACGGTACACAAGGAAATAGTGACATCTGCTGGTTGTAATGTTGCAGAGAATTTGAGAATGTGTGCATTGCTTCCACCAACAAAAATGATTCCTTACTATCTACTTGGGTGAGGAGAGCCAGTTTGGTGTAGTGATTTAGGCACTGGGCTAGAAAGCGGGAGATGGTGAGTTCTAGTTCCGCCTTGGGCACAAAGCCAGTTGGGCCAATCACTCACTCTCAGCCCTAGGAAGGAGGCAATGGCAAAACCACTTCCGGAAAATCTTGCCAAGAAAACTGCAGGGGCTTTTCCAGGCACTCTCCGAGGATCGGACATGATTGAACGGAATAGAAAGAATATGTAAATGTGGTACTGTTCAAGAAGGATTAAGGTTGGGGGAACCTTTTTCGAGAATATTTTTTTTACAACCACTTCATTCAACAACTAAGATTCCAGCCCCAATCGTGGTCATTAAGCAAGGACTACCTGCAAATGGCTGCGAAGGGTTTTTTTCCTTTAATTTTGAGCTAAGGACAAAGCTTTAATGATTTAAGAGTAAGGCTTCAGTTGTGGGGTTTATTGTATTTGCTGACTGGCCAAAGGCAGTAATTAAAATGTATTCATTCATTATACAATTTTAAGTATTATATTCAATTCAAATATAGCACAAGATGAAATTCTGCAAACCAGGAAAAACACAAATATATGCTGCATGGAAAAAAACATAAAACATACATACACAGTACAGAAGGAAAACACAGCACAACTGAACAATAACATTTTAAAGGTTACAGCATCAACTCAAGTTACAATATTCACCTAAAGAGAAATCATACTTTATTTCCTACCAATGAAAATATGGATCCTTTCATAGTTGCACTGGTGGACGTGATACCAACTGAGTAAGTCAGTGTTTCCATCTTGTGGTGTCCACATCACATAAGAATATCATCAAAAAGGAAAAATTGTTTTATGATTGCCTTTTACAGTGGCATCTAAACATGTCAGAATTGTAAATTATTCAGCCATAGTAGGTACAGTATTTTTATTTAAGCAATATATTGCCTCTGAAAACGCTACCGTCGCTGCAATGGGGGTTAACAACCCTGATTTTTCTTCTCGTGTATGATAATTCCCATGTATGAAAATGTCACAAAACTTTGTCATGTGGGTGAACAAAAGCAGACTCAGAAATACCTAAGCAGTAATAATTGCATGTGTATATATTTTGCTGCTCAAAGATTTAAAGCCATATGGGATACTCAGATGTCCTATTAATTTATAAAGAGTAGCATAAAATATTTTTACTTGCTATATACCCTAATCAGCTGCCCATCTAGAACCATTTCCAAGGAGTGAAATTATACTTTTAGCATTCTTCAAAATATGTTTCAGTTTCAAAATACTGTTAACTTATGAAAAGAACTTTGAAACTGAAAGACATTAAATTTTCATGAAAGAAAGAAGAATTCCTTGAATCAAATCAACTTGTTCCTCCACTTCTTTCTTTATACCTAAATAAAATATTAATTTAGGAAGCTGAGCTTCAAAACACGGCTAGAAAATAAAATAAATCAGTGCATACATGGTTAGGACAGTATTTAAAAGCCCCCATTATACTCTGGAATTCAAACAAGCTTTCTTCTGAGTTTTCTTCTATCTCCTTCTATCATGGTGCAACTCATATTATAACGCTAACATTTATCCACACTGTGGATTTCAGAAGTCTTATTTTCATCACTGAAGCTCAGAGTGCTTGGGTGGGTTCTCATCATCTTTCTTGAAGATTTTGCCTGCTTTAAATGGTGGGCTCAGCGCTCTCTTTTCTGGTGGTGAAAAAGAAACGGACCTCTTGTGGCCTCAGAGCCCCCTAAAGACACACACACAAAACCCGTTCAGCTGCCACTCAGATCCCAGGGAAAATACCATATTTGTGTTTGATGCAACTCAGGCTCACCATGAACAGAGGCCAGCAGAGCTGAATTCAGTCACAAGCAGCCTTGTTTATACAGCTAGCGCTCTGTCTACACTGACTTTCCTATGTTGGACGGATGTCTTAAGAGTTCCTGTCTTCAGGCACTGAAGTGGAATGCAACCCAATGTTTACAGTGCTTCTCTTCATATCTCGAGTTGCAATTAATAAAATGAGTCTGACGTATTTGATAACTGCAGGCTGTCCTTACTGGGAATCCCTACTTTGGATGTTCTTCAGAGCTTCAAGAGCTATTTCATAGCAAAACATGTACTGCTCCTAGGTGAGGAGGAAAAGAAGAAAACAACCAGTTACTTTCCCAGCGGAGGCTGAAGGAAATAGATAGTTACTTCAGGTTTCAGCACGTCCACCCAAATTCACAATGAAGTAGAGTTATTTGATATGTGTCATGATCAAAACAGTGAGAAAGTGATAGTACATTAAAGACATGCAGTGCTGGTGTTCTAATAAACAAGAACAGAGCAGCCTACTCTGTCCAATTTTACTTTGCTGCTTGTCTATATCTGGACATCTGTTCCCGTTCTTCCATTCGAGCATTTCCCTCTCTATAGGGGGAGATCTGGGTTACATCTGGGTTATTCACTCTGAGTCTTCCCAAGCTGCTCTCCTAAGCTTGCTGGAGAGAATGGACCAGTTGGCTTCCCTCCAGACAATAGTTTTGCTTGCTATGACATCACAGCAGCTCAGTGGAGGAACATCTTCACTTAAGCAGGTAAGCAACAGATAGTAGTGGGGGGGGGGACGGGAGGGGGGGCTGGGAAGACCAAAGCGAATCTGCTCGGCCCCAAAGGAAGGCAGAGATCAGTTTGAATCATCCCACCCCTAAAGGGGGAAGGTGCCAAGAAGAGCAAGAAGGAGAGGGGGGGGGCTTCACCGTCTCACCTGGGCCTTCCAATGGACATCTGGACATCTCAGAAATCTAAAAGCAAGTCAAAGTAGCACAGAAATCTGGCGGAAGGAGGACATGTTCTCCTTCTGTCCTCCTGTCTGATCTCACGCTGTGAAGCAGACTGGCTTTGCCTCCAGCATCTGCTTGGATGGGGGGGGGGATGGGGGATTCATTCTGATGGATTGAACTGGACTGAGGCTCCTCCTGGCAACCTGGCACAAACCTGGCACAAACTGGCCTATCCTTCTCCAGCATAAAATAATGCAACCTTTTGTATGCTTAAGCTGGCCTTGCGTGGGCAAAGAAAGAGCCGGTGTTCCTAACCTTGGTTTGGATCATTCCGAAGCGCTGATTTCTCATGTGGGTCACTATCTGCTTGATGTCAAACTGCAGCATGAGGGAAAAAAAGCTATCTGTTACTGGACATGGCACTGAGCATGTAATTATAATTCTTAACATTTACATAGCAATTTCTAATTTGTAACAATTTTCTGTTACAAGGACAAAGTTTGCAAAGAGGAGCCACACTTCTACCATTACAGATCTCCAGGTCCCTGATTGGTGATGGTCCCTGGGATTCTGGCCTCTTTGGGGGGGGGGGACTGTGGGAGCCATTCACACCCCTTTGGGAAAATAAGCAAACTTTAAGGACACATTTCTGCTCCTGAAGCTCCCCAAAGGAGCTGAACCTTTTAACTCTGCCACTCTCGAAATGCCCTGGAGTTGCACAGATGCAGCCGCATTGAGCACGATTTATAAGCCCTTCCAACAACAGGCAGGCAAGGCAGTGGCAGAAAATAATAAAAAAATGAGAGAAATTTAAAAAATCATAGTACTAATAAATAAATGTTGAACTTAAAAATAATGGAATAGAAAAGAGTAATTAATAACGGAACCCAAAGACTCAATTTAAAGGTTAATTTTGGCAGCCATTCTGAAGTTGCGTAAGGAGGGACCACAATATAAAGTGTAGGGAGTGATCACAGTCCACACTCTGGGAATTAAAGCAGGAGATATTCCCGATTTTCCTTTTTAAAGAGCTTTTTTGCAATGTGGTTCTAAATGCTTTAGAAATGCAGAGTTCAGAACCAGAAGCGGGCATTGGATTCAGATGAAATGGTGATTCTTGCTATTTCTCTTTTGGAATCCTTTAAAATAAACATTTTAATCACATACAGTTCATATCAGCCAGGAAAAATAGTTTCTGGAGGACAGGAACAGCTCTGGGACTGGAAGGACAGAATGGCAGAGCAGAGAGAAGCTTTGCCTGTAGCCGGAGGGCTTTTTCTTACCCAAGTTACTAATTTATTATCCAGCAGGAGAGGATCTATGAGAAATCTATGAACTGGTCAGTTCTCAACCAATCAAATTCACAGCGGAACTGGTATATCTGGAGCTCAGTCTGGGAGAAACAACACTGGAAGGTAAAACAGAATCCCTTTCCACTTGCATTTGAAAAGGCCAGTCACTTGAAGGATTGTGGAGATTGTGTATTTCTAGGCAGGCCTGTTACATTTTATGCTGCTGAAGCTTTAAGAAGGAAACCTTCTTCTAATTTCCTCTCATTCTTTGCAACAGGACAAACACAAACATGTTTGCTTTGAGACTTACACACAAGTCCTTTTCTATGTAAATCAACACAATATCCACGCAAAGCAGCACCCCGCTTCTTCCGATCCCAGCACTGCAGTGAGCAATGACCGGGCCTGACTGGTGGGATTTTCTCATGTAGCGAACAAACTTGACCAGGTGCTGTAACGATTTGGGAGTCCCGTGGTCTGGCCAGTTTGTAAACTGGAGGTGCTGCACAAGGCGCCTTTCCTGTGTCTGCAACAGAAAGATACACGGACATACAGTGCTTTTTTTGCTAAAAAAAAAAAAAAAGTGCCAGAACTCACAGACATCATACGACCCGCCTTGCCTACCCTACACGGTTCCATCCAAAAAAGGTGCCGGAACTCCATTCTGGGCGTTCTATGAGAAAAAAATCCCTGCGGACATATGAAGCGCTCTTAAAGCAATTCCTAGAACCAGAGAGTCGGGAAGGGTCTTATGGATCATCTGAAGAAACCTTGGCTCAGGGCAGGCTCCTGGCAGGTGACAATTTAGCTTGTCAGCTGAGGAGAAGCCTCCGTGTTGCACAGCAGCCTCTTCCACCGCCTGGGAGCCCCAGAGCTGGAAAGGTCCCCCTGCTCCTTAGGGAACTCTTTTGCCACTGAGGACATATGTGGTGGCGCAGGGGGACCTAGAACGCAGCATTGCAAGCTAATTCATTGCTCACTGCCAGCAGCTCGATCCTGACTGGCCCAAGGTTGACTCAGCCTCCCGTCCTTGCAAGGTGGGTAAACGGAGGACCCAGATTGTTGGGGGGGGGGGCAACAGGCTGACTCAGTAAACTGCTTAGAGAGGGTTGTAAAGCACTGGGAAGCGATGTATAAGCCTATTGCTATTAGCAATGACATTTTGGGGACAGACTGTACACACTGACAAGCAGAGCACGATTTTGTTAGAGATGAGTTACAAAACTAAATTACAAATGTTTTGTTTTGTGCAAGATTAGATGCATTTCTAACAGAAGATTCATGTCTAAAATATTTCTTATCATTGGCTGCCACGACATAAACAAATCTAGCCTGGATTATTAATTGAAAAACCAAATGCTGCATTGCCAGTTGTTGCATTTATTGTGTTAGGGGTGCCTTGCCTGTTTGTTGATTATTTCTATGATTCTAATGACAAAATAATCCAGGATTTGGTAGTTGAGTAGTTGCAGCCGAAAACGAAGTAAATCCAAAGAATTGAGAGGTGGTTCCGGCCAATATTGGTGGCATTTGGATACTCCGTGTTCCTGTTCTCGTGTAATCATAGCAATGATGTTGGAGTTGTTTTCCCAGACCATTTGCCAGAAGTCGCTGGTGGTAGAAAGCAGAGGGCCCTGAGTGGAGATGTAACAGAGCTCTTCTGTGCCCACTGGCACACGGATGTAGCTGGCGTTGATGTAGCCCTTCGCCTCCCCAATGGGGACGCGGGTGGCATCATCTAGAAAGGGAGGGGAGGGGAGGGAGGAATGGAGGAAAAAAAGCAACTCCAATGGGCTTTTTGATTATTCAGTCACCAAGATATTGATACAGAAGTATTGGCAGAATATCTGCTTAGATGTTTATACATTATATGGTGCTATTTTTTCTGTTTTTTTCTATTTTACTAGTTGTCCTGGAAATAAAACTATCCAGGAGCAGCTTGTAAAAATTCTGAAGAAATAAAACGCTGCATCATAACTGTCTTCACAAACTAAGAAGTTATAAAATTAAGCAACAAATTTAATTATAAACCTTCTGGCTACTGACATGCAGTGAAAGGTTTCTGAATCCTTTAAATTTTAATATTCCTGCATAAATATGACCTAAAATGTGATTCTAAAACTAGACAACCAACAAAAAATGAGCTAGTTGTCCATTTATCCTTTTGAGGAAAATGATCCAAAGTTGCATATATTTGTGGCTATGTGTGGGAACTGGCCGGGGCGGGTGTAAAATGGCAGCCACCGAGCCCCCTCTGTGGACCCTTCGCGGCCACCGTTCCGTCCTCATATCCACGGAGGCTGAATGCATGGCTGCACATTGGGAGAGAGAGCCGGAATTCCTCCGAGTAGAACAGTCGAAACATTAAATATGGGCCAGGGGGTCATACTTGGCCTCAGATTGATGTTCCCCCACCCTGTCACCGAGGTGCCGCACTATTATATTCCCAAGGGAAGCCAAAGGCAGACTGTGTTGCCCCTCGTGGCAGTGCCAGAGCCATGCCATGGCTGCCCATTGAGACCTGACTGGTCCCTCTGGGTAGCTTTTAGGGAACCCCTGGAAATGGAGCTGTCCAAGCAGCCTTTCACAGACCTCCACCTCCTGCAAGCCTTGTGGTTCTTACTCTCCTGAATTGGTTTTTGCTTTGAGATTTGGATGGTATGCTTTTTTTTCATCCTGTTGTTTTTATTATAAACTTCAAAGACATGTAAGATTTCATTGGGATGAAAATAGCATAAAGAAACAAAGAAATATGTTTTACATGGGAGAATATCCCGGTATCTGTTCTTTTCCCGGTTTTCTGGTGCTTTGGCAACCTGGCAGTCATCCAGGGGCTTCAGGTGTTCTAAACTCTAACACAAAGATAAAGTCAGGTATATGATTTTTTTAAACAAGCATTTGCTTACTTTAGTTAAAGGAGTGGTTGAAATAAGTTAGATATAATGGATTTGCTTAGCATACTATATAAAACCAGTGAATTATTCCATATATTGTGATTAACAAAATATACTTTAATTTAGCTCCCTTTGAAACTTTTGATTGGCCGATGCTCCTTTCTGAGTACAAACTTGGTGATAAAATCTAACTTTGTATGCAAAACGGGACCCAAAAGTTCATTTCCTGGAAACCATTTCTGCCAAGACTGTAATAACGAAAGTTTGGATATAAAGTAAAGAGAACTCACCAAAAACTCTTTCAGAATCTCCTGTTCTTCAATTTGTCTTTGAATCTCCTGGATTAGTTGTTTGGCATTATGTCGCAGGCCACCTTTTGACCGTAATGGCTTGATAAGTGCCAGTTGGGCCAACTCCTCTTCATTGATAACTGATGGCCCTTCAAATTATTAGAAAATAATTACATTTCCAGCTGAAGAAATTGAACAGGCCGTAGAGCTCTATCCAGAGCATTTAACCTCACTCTCGGTTCCCCAGCAGATTAAAACCTCCAAGGACTGCTGGAGGAACGAGGGGCAGGCGAGCATCTTCTCGCTGGGTGGCTGAGACCTAAGAGCCTCGGTCTGGTTTCCTGCCTCCGTTCGCTTGTTCCATTTCTATGGATGCCCATCTCAATCAGTGACTCTGGGCCGCTGACTGTTCATAAAATATATTACAATTAAAAAATAAAAAATTAAACAATAAAAACAGCAAAGCCAATAAAACATATCCAAGCAGAGAGAGCACCAAGCCCTGTGGCACCCATAAGGGGCAGGCATGGGCTGGGATCTCTCGCTCCCTCTTAACCTTGGGAAAGGAGGCAAACCAGCGCAGCACTGCCCTGCCTGGCTCAGAACCCACAGGTGCCCCCCCCCCCAAGGATACTCTATGGCCAATGGACACCGAGAAGATCTAGGGTGGATGCACTACTCCCATCCAAAGTGCGAATGTTTCTGTGAGTGCTTCATAATTGGGCCTGAGACCTGGCTGAAAAGGGTCCAGATAATCTGTTTCAACCAGGACTCTCTGCAGCTGCCAGGCAGCCTCCTTTGGCAGCAGTACAGACCAAAAATAATTCAGACAAGAAGACATTAAAATGTTAGAATTGTGAATGATGAAAAAAATATTGCATCCCTCCCTCTCTCTCCCTCCCTCCCCCTCTCTCCCTTCCTTCCTCCCCCTTTTCCCCCTCTCCCTCCCCCTCCCTCCCCCCCTCTCTCTCTCTTTGTCTCTCCCCCTCCCTCCACCCCCCTCTCTCTCTCTCTCAAAAAAAAAAATCAGATCTGTAGATGGCAAGTTAGCCAAACAGCTTCCCTATGGTCCTTGGCAAAAGCCTAATTTACAGAAGCCTTTATCTACTCATTATAATCCAAAATACACTTTCTATATCATTGAGACTACACAGAAGAGGGTTTATCCTTCAATGGCATTAAAAGGTCAATAGAAGGCAGATACTAGATACCTTGGGGCAGTGTGGTCAACCTTTGGACTTCATCTTCATCACTGCTGTAGCCTTCTGTTCCTAGAGTTTCCTGCCTTCTTTGTGCTTTTGAGTAAACTCTCTGAGGGCTTTAGAATAACATTATTCATCTAAGAATTTCAGGTAGACCCTTAACATGCTTATAGTCAAGTCCCTAGAATGAAAGCAACTCCAAGCAAGCATTAGCTTCCTTCCCCCTCTCGTTTACCAGAGAGAATCTCTCAGAAGGAAGATGGCCACAGAGAACTCATTTGTGGGTTAAGAAATAGGCCTGGCAGGGACAGTCAGGAGGAGCCTGGTTCATGAATGCCCGAGGCAAAGCACATGCCAGGTGGATCAGCTTGTATGCTGGGCGACAGACTTCAGGAGGAAGGGCCACTTCCATTCACGAGGAGGGCCACTCGAGGTCCTCCCTTTAATCACAGGGTCCACCTTGAAACAGTTCTCACATATCGTTCTTGAGGCTTTCCCTGATTCGCTAAGTAACAGAAGAGGTGTAGGCAGTCCTTGCTTAGTGATCCCAATTAGGACAGGCAACTCTTTTGTAGGGAAGAGGAACTTGCTCTCGCTTTGCAAGGACAGGGTGGGGGAGTGAGGGTGAGGCAACAGAGAGATCGCCTCATGAAATTGCTTGCCTTTTTCCTCTCCTCCCGCCTCACAGAGTGGAGTGATTGAAGAGGAGGAGATTTCAGGACAGGAGAGCCAGCTGTTTGCACTGTGCCCCTGCGGTTCCCAGCCCCACTTGCCAGTGCAGCTGCATTGCTTTTGAGGTGTAAAAGAGCAAGCAGCTTTCTCTCTTGTAATCCCTCTGCTCTGCAAGGGGGAGGGGGGGAGAAAGGTAAAAAAACCCACAGGTCAAGCACAGAACAACATACACTGACTACAATGGTGGTTGCATGAATGAGTACACTGTGAAGGTCATACACCGTCATCAATGGGATGTATCTTTACAGCATCAACTTAACTTCCAACCATCACTGAACTCACGGTTGTTAAGTGAGGACCCCGTATAGTGATGATCCTTCAGTTTGAACTTCTGGAAGCCCTCCCCTTAAGGGCTTCATACAGAGGTGAAGAAGAAGCCCAGCGACAGGGCTGGTCTTTGTGTCCCTCCCACATAGGGCCATCGCAGGACCAGTTCCTCCATGCAGTGAAGTGTGACAGGGTCCCTCAATCAAGCCAAGAGTCAGCCGAAGGAGGACCCACCTGGCTGCATGAGCAGGGCTGGACCTCTTGGCCTGGGAAAGGAAAGGCGAAGCTAAGAGACTCTGTTTCCTTCTACCTGTTTAAAAGGGAGCCTTCTTAGAAGGAAAGACAAGCCCTGCAGAGCGTCTGCATCGTGGCCAAAGATAGTTACATTGCTTACAATCTTACAATAATCTTGATGAGCTTGAACCTCCTACCTGTCAGAAATGTTTTCAGAATTCCCAGGCCAATCCTCTCTGATTGCAGAGAAGGCTTGAACATCAGTTTCCTTAAAAAAAGAAAGCCTTAATGAATTATCTTTAAACAGGGCAAATTAAGTCAATCAGTATATATCCATAAGGGGGATACCCAGGTCTTTTTTGGGGGGTCATAGAACCACCCAGAATGGAGTTCCGGCACCTTTTTTGGGATGGAACCTTGTAGGGTAGGCAAGGCGGGTTGTATGACAGGTGTGTGAGTTCTGGCACTTTTTTTTTTTTTTTTTTTTTTTTTACAAAAAAAGCACTGGGGATACTTGTAACTTTTCAACCAGCTAGCAAAATCTTTACATTATTTTTAATTATAGTTTTTTACTTGATTTCAGTTTTTCCTTACAAAATATCCATTAAGAGATTAGGGCAAAGAAGTTAGTGCTGGAACCGTGTTGAATATTTTGGAATATTTGCAGTGGTGGGATTCAGCCAGTTCGCACCACTTTGGCAGAACCGGTAGCTCATTTTTTGTTGCCCAGCAGGCCCAGAATGGACTTACAGAAGCGGCATCCACACAGAGAACTGGTTGTTGACCTATTTGAATCCCACCACTGAATATTTGGAACATACAGTAATGAAAAACAAAAGCTGTGTTGATTTTTTTAGATGCAGAAAAAGCTTTTGACAATTTGAATTGGACGTTTCTGTTTAAAATTTCATGAATTTTGGAGAGAATTTTACAAAATGGGTGAAATCGATTTATATTTCACAGACAGCTTAAATAATTGTTAACAGAAGCCGCTCTAAGCAATCTTGAGCTTCAATTCTATACAAGTGGTTCAGAATACAGTAAAATGTATAAGATTGCATGGATAGGATGCAATAGGATCCAGCAGCTTGCAATTAAACCATGGGGTATATTTTAATTACTACTGAACGCAGCAAAAGAATGCACATCCACATTTTGAAAATATGCAAATATAAACAGCAAAATTTAACATATAAATTTTACGCATGTCTTGTACTGCTTCTACAGCTGACCTTGTTTGGCTCTATGAACAGTTTTTATCTAATATCTAAAACCATTCCAGCAGTGTGGTATAAATGAATATTTTTGTCTCTCTTTTCTTACCTAAGAAAGCTTTCTCTCTGCCAAGGGGCTTTGCCTAAGGAAATTGACCTAATGGTTAGATTTTACAGTTTCAAGATCACCTCTCCCTTGCTCCAAATTTCCAGTTTTTTAAAAAGAAACCTGGAATGATTCCCTTATCCTTGAAATCTGCATTCCTGTTACTATGTTCCCACCCCTTCTTTGGATGTCTGCTATCCAGCAATATTACAGATCCATAAACATCACAGGTAGAGGAAAGCTACAGTTCCATTCCTCCCTCACCTGATGGCTATATGGTTGACTGGTACCGTCCTGGTTTTGACGGGCTTTTTCAAGGTTTTGGCCGATTCCTTCCTGGTCTTGACTGGATCCTTCCATGTGATGGCTTGCTGCACTTCTCACATTCCCAGGCCACCATATTCATCTGAACAGAAGAATCAATATTGGGCACTCTGAGTGAAAGAAGAGAGGCTTCAAGAGGTTAGTAAACAAAGCCGAAAGGGTGTGAAGACCTCTCTCCTTCGAGTGACTTGAGCGGAGCCGGCACAAGTGATGGGAACCGAGTCCACAAAGAAAATTGGCCAGCATCCAGAGCAAAATATAAACAACTTGCTGCTCTCGAGAGGAGGGACACGGCTCCAGCCCACAGGAGCCCAAGCAGGCGTGGACACGAGGGAGGGCTAATGGGGAATTTGGAGGGATGTAAGTTTCCTATCCTGGCTTAGGATGATGGCAGTAGTTCCTCTAGAACATGAAAGTCTGCTTAGGATAAAAGACATTTTTCACTCATGAGAAAAATAAAAAAATTCATCTTGACTTGGTGTACCAAACTATTGACATTGTAGGTGAAAGGAACCGAGTAAAGAATTATATCCTGCTCCTTTACTTGGTGAGGCCATTAATAGATAATTTATAATTCGTTCAAGCTATCTGTATTTCTGGCTATTACACTTTCAAAACTGGGCCGGGAATTTTTCTCTCCAAGGCAATGCACATCAACACCACGATCCATAGAAAAGGCAGAAGCTCATTTAATCTTCAGGAATTTAATTGGGATCCAAGCAAGAGAACAAAAACCAACCCTCAAAACACTACTGCACTTGTGCTAGTTCACAGTACCCGTGGGGCGCCCAGGTGCTCCGAGCCTCCGCCAGCTTCACCTTGGGGCCGGCTTTCCAACTGCCACACTGGGAGGTGGAACTCTGGGCCTCCCTCTGTGACGTCACCCGGGTTCTGGCAGCTGCACTTTGCTTTCCAGGACTTAGGAAACTGCCAAGCGCACTAGAGCCTTTACTACAATTCTATATTCAAAGATTGGCTCTTTAATACAAAGTCAAAAACCTCCCCCCCCATCTTCAAGTCAGTGTTGACTCCTGGCAATTGCCTGGACCAGCCCCTGCGGTTTTCTTGGGAAGATTTCGGAAGTGCCTTGCCCTGGCCCCCTCCCCCTTCTAACCCTGATAGATAGTGACTCTGGGCGGCTTACAACATTGTGCCCACAGAAATACAGTATCAAAATCAAGAGAAGCCAATTTTATCCTGCATTCCATTGAGGTCACACCCAGAATACTGTAGGAAAGCTCAGGCTTCAAATCCAGGATGGCAGAGAAAATAATTGAATATTTATGTCCTCCTTTTTTAAAAAAATCCTTTCATAAGAACCTCTTATAGAAACCCATCAGCAGAGCTTTTTTTAACTCTAACAACATTCGTCTGCCAAACCCAGGCTCTGCAGAGGCACATCAGAAAAGAGCTGGAAGGCACCTTGGAGATCTTCTACTCCAGGGCTTTTCAACCGGTGATACGCATACCACCAGTGGTACTTTGGCCCCTGGCAGGTGGAACGCGACCGTCCTAGAGAAGGGGTAGCTGAGGCGGAGAGGAACGAGATGAAGCGGTGGCAGCGCCACACAAGCCTGGGGGAGAGAGAGCTGGAGCTGCAGGGCTGTCGGGGCTCAGCAGAGGCGCCAGGATCAGTGCCGGGCTCCAGCTGATCGGCGCTTCTGGGAGCTGGAGATGTCCTGAAAAAGGAGGAGGGGGGAGAGAGAAGAGGATATAAAAGGTTTTGGCGGGAATAGGCCAGTGAGGGGCTGTCCCTGCCCCGCCCCCTGGGCACACGAAGAGGCGACGAATGCCCACCATCCCTGCTGACCACTGAGAAAGAAAAAAGGCAAGAGAAGCGTGTCTCTTCCCCAGGACGCCAGCGCTTGTGTGCTTGCTGTCTTCTCCGTGCACCCCCAGGGGTGGGGCAGAGACGGTGGGAGAGGGGGGGCTTGCTGGCTCCAGGACTGCCCGTGGATCTAAAGCCGAGCGTGTTCCAGCTTTAATGGCCACCACCAGCAGATCAGCACCACGCTCGCTCACTGACCTAGCCTCGCAGCCACCACCAGGCTTCCATTTCACCAGGACCGCCCCTGCCTGTGTGAGATAGCTGGGGCCGGCAGCAACATGGCCACTGGCAATCTCTCCCCCTCCCGTCATCCCTTCCTGAGCGCAAAGGAAAGAAGAAAGATTATAATAAGAGGGAGAGGGGTCCGAGGGAAGTCCTGCCTTAGCACTTGGCCACAACCAGCCCTGCTGCCCTTTTGCCATCCCCTTGTCCCCTCCTGCTGACTCTCCTGGTGGCCTCCCATCCTACTGCTGAGGATGCTTTGGTTACAAAGCTAGGTCTCCTCGCATGGAGAGGGAGTGGGCCTCCCTCTGACCCACACATTTTGCTCTCCCACACACACGAGCAACCTGGCCAAGGAGAGTGAGCCAAGTAGCAGCAATCTGGAGGGTAAGCCCAGCCGGCACCTCCACAGGGAAGGCTGGGCTGGGTGCTTGCCCTCCACTGCTCAGGGTTCTGGGCAGCCTGCACAGCCAGGGGTCCTCCACGTGGCCTGAGAGCAGAGGAACCGCCACCGAATAAATTAAAACCAATACTTTTTTTCCCTTTTTTTACGGTTTGTAACTTTCTATTAGATTATGGAATAAAATACAAAAATACAAAAGCAGTAGGACGCAGTGGGGAGGAGGAAGGGGAAAAAAGTGAAAAGGGGAAAAGGCATTGACTTCTGACTTCCTCTGTTGCAGTAGAATGAAGCATTAACCTCGAACCTCAACTTTTTAGTTTTCCATAATATAAACTAGCCATTTTTATAGCAACAAATGAATCTAACCAGTAAAACCTAAAATGCACCCCCCCCTTTTTTCAGTCATCAAATTTTTGCTAGGCACAGGTGGTACTCGAATATTGTCATGTCCTAAAAGTGGTACAATCTGTGAAAAGGTTGAAAACCCCCTGCTCAAGCAGGAAACCCTATACCATTTCAGACAAGCGGCTTGTCCAGTCTCTTCTTCAACACCCCCCCCCCCCCGTGATGGAGCACCCATAACTTCGGTCCCCCTGGTTGATTGTCCTCCCTGTCAGGAAGCTTCTCCTTAATTCCAGGTTGCTCCTCTCCTTGATGAGCCTCCATCCGACCTTTCTCGTCCTTCCTTCTGGTGCCTTGGAGAGCAGGTTGACCCCCCTCCCCTCCTCTCCGCGGCAGCCTCTCAGGTATTGGAGCTGTCATCATGTCCCCCCCGCCCTTCTTTTTTTCCCACCAGGCTGGCCGTGCCCGAGTCCTGCCACCCGCCGCCCTCCGCACCCCGGGAGCATCTTTGTGGCTCTTCTCTGCACTTCCCCCCCCCCCAAGTCTCAACGTCTTTTTTGCAACGGGCTGAACAAAAGTGGACGCCGCGTTCCGGCCACGGGCCCTTGAGAAAGCGCTTCAGGGGGTCTCGGGTCTTGTCCCCCCCTCCGCCTCCGGGGCCCCAAGGCCGCTCTCCCGCACTGCTCTTCTCTGAGCCGGGCTTCCGCTTCATCTATGTACTCCTTTTTCCCGGGGGGAGGGAGAAGGGCTGACCGAGTCCTTCCCCCCACCCCACCCACCCAGCCAGCGGAAGGGGGCTGGCGGGCGGGGCAGAGGCTACTGCCGGGGGCGCGAAAAGGCGGCGCAGCGGAAGGGGCGGGGCCAGGCGGGCGGGGCCGCGGGCTCGCGCTCTAGGCGCCCGGGGGGGGAAGGGAGGAGGAAGAGGCGGGGCGTGAGGGGGGCGGAGTCGCTACCGCGGAGAGGAGAGGCGGCAGCCAGAGAGGCCGCACCGGCGGCGGCTGCTCGCTCTTTCCTTCCTTCCTTTCCCTTCCTGTCGGCCCCGACCCGGAGGGCGCGGAGGAGGAGGCAGCGAGCGCTGCACCTGAGCACCCTGGGGCTGCTGGGCCCGTGGCAGGAGCGCAAGGCCGAGCGAGGCGGAATCTCCGCCTGTCTGAAGTGGGCGAGGAGGCCGGTGCAGGTGAGGAGCAGAGCGGCTTCGGGATGCCTCCCCACCCCCGGCTCGGCCCGCCTCCCGTCCCTTCCCGCGGCTGGTCTGCCTGCGCCGCCCCCTCACCCGGCTGCGACCCCAGCTGCACCTTGCGCGGCCCGCAGAAGCGGCCTCGTGGGACCCCTGGGACCCCCCCGTCCGCCTTTCCCCCTGGAAGGGGCGGCGGGGGCTCGAGGGGCGGCCGGGCCAGGCGCGGAGCGGCGCTGAGCTGGAGGGGGATCCGGTTTCCCGGCCGGGCGGAAGGTCCCGAGGGGCCTCCCGGGCTCGGAGCAGCAGACGGTCCCTCCGCGCTCCGCTTTGGAACAGGACGGTTATTTTTGAAGTCAGATTTTGAAGTAAAAAAAAAAGAACAAAATCCATGCCGTAAAATGGTGGAGATGCGGATTTAATAACCTCTTGGGCCTCTTGGCTTAAAACAAAAAATGATCGGTGGATGTAATAATTTCCACTGTTTATTTGGTAGTTAACGCAACCTGTGAGCGGCAGAGCCGCGAGTCTGGCTTGCCCGCACCTTGCAGTGAAAACCGCGTTAAATGCAGCGAGGCTGAAGTTGGCCCTCGCGGGGCTTCCGGGACTTGAGACGTCCAGGAGGGGCATCTCTCCTCCTCCCCCCCCCGGCCTTTGACCTCCTCTCCCCCCCCCCCGGTGAGGCTGCCTGACCCGGTTCTCACGCCCTCCGGGGGGGGGCTTCCCTGTCTCCTCCTCCCCCTCCTCGCCTTCCTCCTCCCCAATAAGCCCCCCTCCCCTGTAGCACTGATGGTGTTACCTAGTTTGGGTCATGAAACGTCTGCAAGAAAACAGCCAGGCTCAGTCCTCCTCCTCCTCCTCCCTGCCCTCCTCCCAATTCTTTTATCACAAAGCACCAGCCTCCCTCCCATTGTGTAAATGTGCCATGGTACACTCTAGTTCTCACCTGGAGGGGACAATTATCAGTAAACAAAGGAAGTCTAATTTTCTAAAATGTTTAAATTTGACATGTAAATAAATACCTCATTGAAATTGATATTGAGGAGAATGCCACAAGGCATACACTTATATTGTTAACATGAGTTAAAGATTTATCAGCTAGGCAAATGATACCAAATTGTGTGGCTTAGCTAGTATGGTAAAGAACAGAAGCCAGATTCAAAATAATCTTGATAAGTGAGACAGGTGAGCTGAAAGTAACGGTGATTTCTGTGTCCTTTGCATTTCTCTCCAGGTTTCGTCTACAAATTAAATGCACAGGTATAGAATGAAATGTGCCTGTCTTGCTAATACTATTTGTGAAAAAGATCTCAGAATAGAAGCTGATTGCAAACCGAATATGAATGAGCGCTTGGAAGATCAGAGTATTTTGGGGTTGCCTGGTAGAAATTTGGGAGTCCTGGGCATCACATCTTAAGGGGTTAAAACCATTTGGGAGGAGGGCTATAAGAGGGACCGTGGAGAGAAATGGAAAAAATTAGAAAAACAGCTTTGCACAGAGAAGGCTGGTTGGAGATGATAGCACTCATTAAATATCTGAATGGAGTTGTCATATTGAAGAAGGCTGAGACTTCTTTTTATTATTTCAGAATGCAGGACTTGGAATAATGGATTTAAGCTACGGGAAGGTGGATTCAGGTTGAATTTTAGAAATAAAAGAATCACTAATGGTAAGAGCCGTGCAGCCAATTAAGGAATTTGATAAGTTCCTTTCCTCTCACTGTTTCTATCCGACAAAAAACAAATTTTGTCTGCCAGGGATGCCTTAATTTGGATTCCCACACTGAGCATGGCATTAGGCTTAATGGCCTCTTCCAACATGATATAATTTAAAATGGTGATGTGGACCAAGGGGCTTTTGAAGATGATTGAAAACGTTTAGGTTCCCCCCCCCTTTTTTTTGTTGGTTTGCTAAGCAATTTGGGGTTAGCTACCTCTGAATAGGGTAGAACTGGGAGATAGTCTCTTGTTTTTTTCTGCACTCTTGCTTTGTGGGACTGTCACAGATGATTAGATGCAAAATCAGGTTGCATACTCAAATTCTTGACATGATTCCATGGATGTAGAAGTGACAGGTTGGGATTGTAGAATCATTCATATGAATATGAAATTTAACTCAGATTGACTTAGAAATGAAAGTCAAATTGTCTTGGAGTTGAACAGAAAATAATTCTGCTCGTTATTTATTGTAAAGTGTGAAGTATGTACCTGAAGTTCCTACATATTATTTAGTAGCATTTTTCTTTCATTTATGTGGCAAAGGAAAGCATGAGAAATAATGTGCCATTTTATGCCAGTCTGGAAAACGTTGATTTATGTCTTGCTGCAGGTGAGTGTCTTTTAGCTTAAGCTCCTCAGCTGGAGGCATCATGAGCAGAAGCAAGCCTGAAAACAACTTCTACAGTGTTGAAATTGGAGACTCTACTTTCAGTGTGTTAAAGCGATACCAGAACTTGAAGCCGATTGGCTCAGGTGCACAGGGGATAGTATGGTAAGGCATTTTCCTCAGTGAAAGAATCTCTGTTTATTGAAGAAGAGAAAATAAAGATGGAGCAGTGTCAGTTTCCTCCCTAGGAAGTAATGGTCTCTGAGATCAACTCCCCGTTTGCCTTCAAGGGGTCCTGCTTTTATTCCGGCTTCCGGTCCCTTTCAGCCAGCATTCTGCCACCATTTGACCCTCTTCTTGGACCAAACACCATCCCTGCTTCAGACAGAGGGAAACAGTCTTTCCCCCACCCGGCACACACCCCTGCTGGGCATTCACCATCTAGTCTTCCCTGGGACAGAAGAATCCCTCCCCCCTCCTCAATACCCCTCAGTACTTTCCATCAGACCAAAGACTCCCAGCTCCTCCTCGGGTAGAACCAGAGTGTCAGGTGGGAAGCAATAAAGAGGAGGAAACTTCAGCCTGTTTTCTGACAGGTGGGATCCTTGGTCTCATGGCTGGCAGCCATCAATCCTGATCTGCATTTCAGCAGGGGCTGCTCATAGGCCTCTGTGGACTCTGGAAAAGAGGGGAGATTCTTTCACGTCAAGGGGATTTTTCCCCCACATGAAGTTGCTCTTAATTCCAGATGGTGCTTCCAGAGGATGGTACATTCTGTTAAATTCTTAAAGTGTTACTTTTTGGTGATGGTGGTGGTGGGGGGGAGGTAGAGGGCTGCAGCTGTATTGAATTGAAGCCATTGAGGGTTGAACAAGAGACGGGTTCTATTCTCTGGAAAAATCAGAAGCATTTAGTCCCATAGAAGAGACCCTATCCCTGTCACTCACTCTTCTGGAGAAGAACAAAAATATTAATAGCTTATATTGTAGTAAGTGTAGAATTTACTCTGCTTGATCTGGCTTCAGATTTCTGCTTGGGTTCATAGCTAAAGTTTATACTTCAGGTCTTATGTATCCCTTTATTGAATTCTAACATCTCCCCTAAACTGAAATCATATACCGCTAATATAATTTTGATAAGGAGCTTTTGAATCCATTTCTGGCGGTGCCGGCAGCCTGCTTGTGGACTATGGCAGCTCTCTTTTATCCACAGTGCAGCTTATGATGCTCTTCTTGAAAGAAATGTTGCAATCAAGAAACTCAGTCGACCGTTTCAGAATCAAACACATGCTAAAAGAGCCTATCGAGAACTGGTCCTCATGAAGTGTGTCAACCACAAAAATGTAAGTCTACCTGTGCAGACTTAAAGATGATATCAGAATTGTCCTTTAGGATTTGATCCTTTTGCTTTCTTTACCATTCAAGGGTAAAGATAAATTAAGAAGACTAAACCACAAGGTATAACTGTCACAGGGAAGGGTTGGATTTATCATTTGAATTGATTTATTGAAAATCTGTCCTGCCTTTTGTTGTTGTTGTTGTTGTTGAAGGCTAAAGCCGTTCTATCAGGTCTCCCCTCATTTTATTCCCATGCCGTCCTTAGTAGGACGGGCCGGGAGAAAACGACGGAGCTAAACGACGGGAAGGAGGGAACGTGAGTCTTGACCCCCCTGCCTGCTTCCTCTCTGGCCCCAGAACTGCCATGGCTCATCTGTTCGCTAGCTGAGAAAAGATGGCCAGTTTTTGAATCTTTTCCTTTGGCTTCAAATATGCCCAGAGTGCATGATTTCTCAGCCCTGAACTTCCTGACTTTCTAGAAAAACAAATAATTAACTGGAATCCTGCACAGGACAGCCATTTTATTTTGCATGGGGAAAACCCTAGACTACATAGGGTTTCTTTTCAAAGATCATGTCTCTTTGGTCTGAATTTTCTGGGTGGATATTATGTAGCTCTGTAGATTTATTTATACCTGGCATTAAGTTAAATTGAGAGTCAGTTGAACACATTTCTCTTGGTTCTTTATGTTTTAGAAATTGTGCATAGTTAAGGAAGAGAGAGAGGCCCCAGATTTGCCAGCATAATCTACTTGCTCTTTTTAGGTATTATTTTTCTCACAATAATACACCTGTCATCTGAGTTGTTTTCTTGTTTGTTTATTCAAGTTAATTTTGCACTAATTCTACTCAAGAAGGATTTTCTCTTTTCCCATTGTAGACCACCAAATTCTAAATCTGGGCATTTTTCAACAGTAAGGATAAAATTGATTGGTACTGTAACCTAGGTGTAAATAAGAAACCAATATGGAGATTTTAGTGCTCTTAAGACTGTTGATCAGATTTTCCAGTTTTGCTGCTTATTTTACTTTTTATATAAATGATAATCAAAAATTGTGTGCTTATTATTGTACTTTTTTTTTGTTCATAGATAATTGGCCTGTTAAACGTGTTCACCCCACAGAAATCACTGGAAGAATTCCAAGATGTGTAAGTATGAATTTCAGGAAGCCTGTGTTAGCCATAATAACACACAACTGACGATAGGGTGAAATGTTCTGCGGTGATTTTGTTGCCTGTTCTGTCTCCCCTCCAAAGTTACATCGTGATGGAGCTCATGGATGCCAATCTCTGCCAAGTGATCCAGATGGAGCTTGACCACGAACGAATGTCCTACCTGCTGTACCAGATGCTGTGCGGCATCAAACATCTTCACTCGGCTGGAATCATACACAGGGTGGGTGAGACCACTCCTGCCCTTTCACGTGTCGTGTAATTTTTATCCATTAAGCTAGGCAGATTTTAATATACCTGAAAGGCCATCTGTGCCAGTTTTACAAGCTTCCTCTCAAATACAACACTTGACTAATATTTGTGTCATTTGCTCTTAATTAACGGATGATTCTTAAATCATCAGTACAACTTAAGTCTGGACATGGTAAATGACCGCATTCTAAGATGGGTGCTTTTTAATTAATCTCTAAATATTCTGGATTTAAGGGCGACTCTGCTGTGAAAAAAGCACATTTCATTTGTCTCTTGTATTAAAAATGTCCAAGAATTCTACTGTTTGTGCAGTTCCCTGAAGGAGATGCTTCGTAGCCAACCAGAGATGTTATTGGAAAAGCTAAGCAGGGCTGGATCCGATGAAGCATTTGGAATGAGAGGATCAGGGAATGCTAGGGCTGTGCACTATAAAGAAATTTGACTGGAAATTCTGAAAAGGATCCTGGAAAAAAGGCAAAACATTTACCAGGTATAATGGAATGTGCGGATGACATCCTGTTTTCTATCTGGTTTACCTGGAAGGCTAAGACAGGAGTTGAACTCAGCTGGAGGAAGACATTACTTTTTTTGCATAATTTCCTTCGGTTAGCTCAAATGTGTTGAATTTATTTCCTGGAGAGTAGGAAAGGACTACTGCCTGGAGTTGCTTTGTAAATGGTTCCATGACTAATCCCTGTTCCTTATTACGTGAACAGTACAAATGGTGTTACATCTCGTCCAGGAAGGGCCATGGCCAGCAGCGGCCCTTCCTGTAAATTTCAGAGCTGTGTATTTTCCCTCTGACAGCTAAAAGATGAATATATGTAATAACTTACAAAAGTTATGGTGCTGTTTTCATAGATGATGCCGAGTGCAGTCATAGTTGTTGAGCTAATTTCTCTTTTGTAGTCTGCTTGATATTCCTTGGAGGTCTCCTATTTTGTATCTTTCTCTTCAAAGGATTTAAAACCTAGCAATATTGTAGTGAAAGCTGACTGCACGCTGAAGATCCTAGATTTTGGGCTGGCCAGAACAGCTGGGACCAGCTTTATGATGACTCCTTATGTCGTGACGCGCTACTACAGAGCACCCGAAGTCATTCTTGGAATGGGATACAAAGAAAACGGTTAGCAGTTTTACATTTTGGTTCCTAGAAAATGCCTTTTTAAATTACATTCCGTGGGTCTCTCTCATCTTTTCATGTGCCTCATTTTATGTTTTGTTTAGCTGTTGAAACCTAATGCATTATCAAAAGGTGCTGTATGTTTAGTCTCTGTTCCATGTTGAAAACATCTTAGGAAATATTAGGTTGATGGTGTTGGGACACAGCGCTTAGTTTCTTGCACAAAACATTTTCTTCAAATGGAAAAAGTAACTTCTATGAAGTGGCTAAAATTAAGCTTGAACTGTGTACAAGAAGTCCTTGCTTAACGAGAGGAACTGGGCCTGCCGTGTCTGTGGCTACGTGATGTGCTCTTAAAGTGTGGTGCCATGTGACAGTGCTGCTCAGTGCCGACTCGCGTCCTGGTTGCTATCGTTGAGCGGCTCCTCTGAGGCCATGAAGGTGTGAAGGCTGCCCCAGGGGGGCGGGGGGGGGGGCTGCTGCAGGTGAGCGAGCAAGTCAGTCACCGCTCCTGCTTGCTGCATTGGGCAGTTTAGCCCCCGGTCAGTAGCCAGGGTTGTTGGCACTAGTTAACACTGCCCAGTTTGAAACAAAGGATAGAAGAAAACCTCTTTGCCTGTTATTTTATCGGCCCATTACGCAGGACATAAATACAATATTCCATGCTGCCTTTGAGCTTTCCCCACTTTCACAGCTACAAAAAACCTACTTTTGACACAATGCCATTGTTGTGGGTTGAAAGCTGTGACGTTGAAGGGATGAGAAGATGCCTTTCTGTATACTAGGGCTCATAAAAGGATATTATTCATGATGAAGTTGTGTGCTAATTCACATTGTTCACAGACAGTGTTGGAGGTAAGCTTCAAAACAAATGAATTATTGCACGTAATGATCGGTCATATTTATTAAAAACTTTCATATTAGAGGAAGGTTTGCTTTTGCTCCAAACTCTAAGTGAATAATAGTTTAATGCTCCATATATCCCATTCAAGTTTTTGATATTTATGTATACGTTTATGTTTACTCATACAAATAATGTAAAACTTTAAATATCAATTCTAGAAGAAGAAATCATAGATATTTTCATAATATCTGTGGAAATATATTTTATTTTAAACAAACCTATCTTACCCTTGAAAGCAAAGCGTTCAAGATAGCTTCCAAAACACCATTCAAATACTATATAGGCAGAGAGAAGAAGAGAAAGGCTGAGGTATCGGTGGCAGAAGGGGCTCCTCACACAGTTGACCTGGCAGAGGTTGGGCCCCGGAGTCTCGACTGTTGCCTAACGATGAGAATAGTTAAGTAGCTTTACTTATTGTCCCTATAGGCATCCGGTGGAGCCCTTTTGAATGCTTCCTGAGGGTTAGTATATATGATTTACTCTGCTAACCGTGTTTTTATAAACCATAGAGACGTGCAGTAATATACATGCAAAACACCTGGAAGGTCAAGTGGGCCATCTTCTCTCTCTGTGATTAAGTGCTGCCTCTTCTTAACAGCCCTTCCTTGATCCCTAAGCTGATTTTGATAACACCCACTGCAGTATCGTCCTTGGGCAGCTCCACGGGTTGAGGATTGAGGGCACTTGGCGTGAGACAGATTACGAAGGACGTTCGGGGTCTCCCTGGCATTCTCTAATAGTTTGCTTTCATCTTCTTTGTCTGCAATTTTGTTCTTTTTACTTTACTGAAAGAAATTTTCTTTTCATGAAATGCAGTGTAGGAATACTTCTAATAGGTAAGTAAGTTATAACATATCAGAACAATATATTAAAAAGGCTGGGAGAAAAGGAGCCCTTTCCTGGTCCCCAGAGGAACTTCTGCCCAAGGAGTGGCATGAACCCCGAGAGGCACCGCTGGGATTGCCCTGTCCTTGCTCTGCCCTCCCCGCGGTTCAGCTGGAGGAAAGGGAAGTTCCCTCGGCCTGAAGCCGGATAGTTCCTTCTGCAGATGCCTCTGCATCTCTGTGGTTGATCATCCCCCCCCCCAAGCAGGCAGCGATCTGGTCACTTGAATGGGGGAAAGGCCAGGGATTCCCAGGGCTGGGATTCTAGATTAGAAAGCCGAAGAAGGAAGGGCAAACTATTTTAGGTTTTGTTGCCAGGAAAATTCTGTGGACCTCAGGAGCCACACTTGGCTCGAGGCATTTGCTCAGTCTTTCTACACAACACACTGTGTGTGTGTAAACCAAGAGCACTTTTGAACAATCTTCTGAACAGGAACATCTAACAAGGTCACATATATTACCTCAGCATGGATAATTGTTGCTTATCTCAGTGCAAGAAAAATAAAAGCAAAATTTCCTTCGGCTCAGTTTCTGAGTCCAGGCATGCTGTTGTCTAGGCCCAGGGTGGAAGTGGCTCACTATGGCCTCCTTCCACTCCAGCCCTGGGGGGGAGGGGGGGGCAGGGCAGGTGTCCCCTTGATGTGCTGACCTGACCTGACCTAGCTTAGCTTCTGGGCCCAGATCCAGCCAGGTCTGCCACCAGAGGAGCCTGTTAGCACTGTGGAAGGTACCATCCCTTGCTTCCGATAGCAAGACTGGATCCAAAAATACACTCGGGCATTCTCTCCAGGAGGGGGGGGGGAAGCATACACACACTGCCACCTCTCTGGAAAAATTGATCCCTTTTCATCCTAAAACCTCAATTTTTGACACTAATTTAGTTTATTAATTTTTAAGCAGCCTATTATTGATTCTCATTGCTAATAAAATTTGTGCTTCTGTATTAGTTTTGTTAAATAATTCAGTTTCTTACTATTTTTTATTTGAGCTAGATTATAATGCAAGAATTCTGAAAGTGTTAGAATTTATTCTATAACCGATGTACCCTATGCAAAAAGGGATCAGTGCAAGAAGTCCCACAGCAGTCTCTCCTTCTGTTTTTCTTGCACAGAAGATGTTTTTGCCGTGGGAGTCATATGTATGTTCTGAAAATACATTCACGCCTTGTTCTCATGATTCCTTTTCCCTTTTGTTAATGCTTTCTTTGCCATAAGATGCAGTCATGTCCTGCTGCTTCTTTTAATTTCTAGTGACAGTTTGCTTTGCTTCTTCTTTTTGTGCTACAAACATAGTGGATTTATGGTCTGTTGGGTGCATTATGGGAGAAATGGTTTGCCACAAAATCCTCTTTCCAGGAAGGGACTGTATCCTTGTGCTTCTGCAGCGGGATTAATTTTTAATAATTAATTTCTTCAGGTAGATTTCTTCTGTCCTCTTTTTTTTTAATGTTCCTTCTTGGGATATAAGTTTGACACAGTATTTGTTTTTGAAAGCCCTAATCTTTATTTCTGATAAATATAAAAATTAGAAATTGATTCTGTTAAGGCTGCATCTAGCAGTAGGAAATAGTCTCCACTGGGTTGGTGGCGCATTTTTATCCATTTATGTTCCTCCTGCGTCCCTCTTTGTTTTCCCTGGTCGTTTTGTTTGTGTGCTTCCTTCTCAATCTCCCTTTTTTGTTTCTTTCCACTCAGTTAATGTCATTGCATTTTGATTTCAGTTGACATTTGGTCAGTGGGGTGCATCATGGGAGAAATGATCAAAGGTGGTGTTTTATTTCCTGGCACAGATCGTATCCTTCCTGGGGCCTTGAACAGAAATCTGAGCAGACAGATCTTCTCTGCCTTTTTTCTTTTTAACACAAACATTAAGTTTTACACACTCACACAAGAGCATTAGATACTTTAATGGTCTAATAAATTTTATTGACAAACATTTGGTACGAAAAAAATTGTCTTTTATTAAGAGTTCAGTTAGCCAAGAATACATTGTCTGAATTTGATCTTAAAACGGTATTGGTGAACTGTGATGCTGCAAAAGCAGAGTTCATTCATAGGGAGATCTCATGCTTAGGACAGAATGTTTGTATTGAAATCTTCAAAGTTCTCCGACAGACCCAAACCTCATCACCAAGTGCTATCAACGTTCTCGACCCCTTGTTTTAACTACAAACCAGGACAAACCTGTACTGAATCAGCCAGCTCAGAATTTGCCAACACCTTTAAGATTTTTTTTTTTAAAAAATGGAACACTTTCAATAAAGACACAACCTCATCTAATTTTTTTCTGTTTTTTTGTTTGTTGTTCAGTTAAAATGGGAGGCCACTTTAGAGTTGATATGTGTGAGGAATGGATGAGTTTCTTATTTTCCAATTGCAAACATTTATTTTTGAGTTGCTCATATATGACTTTTCTACATTTCTGTATCCCAGACATGAATTTACTCAGCTTCTGTTGAGAAGATCTGTTCTTGTAGATTACCAACATTAAAGAGTGGAATTGCTGTGGAACTCTAAAATTCTTTTTTCTTGTTCTTCTCACCACTTTTTCTGAGTGATTGGTAGTTTTAACATAACTTTTGTTTTAAACACCAAATACATAGATTTTCTTAGCTTCATGATTTCAGATATTGATCAGTGGAATAAAGTTATTGAACAACTAGGGACACCCTGTCCTGAATTTATGAAGAAGCTGCAACCAACAGTGAGGACGTATGTGGAGACTAGGCCTAAATATGCTGGCTATAGTTTTGAAAAACTCTTTCCAGATGTTCTATTTCCAGTTGATTCTGACCACAATAAACTGAAAGGTAAGATACCATTAAAGTTTTCTCCTGCAAATGTTGAAATGACATCTTAGGAATAATAAAAGTAAAAGATGCATTGGATTGCGGGTTCCTATAAGTAGAATCTTAATTTGCCTTAGCATTGGGATCGCATCTAATTGGTTAATCGTTCTCATTCTCCTATAAATAACTAGCTCACCTAAAGATTTTTTATATGTTTTATATGACTGTTCACAGTTTCACCTTTGTTGGCAAATGAGTTTATGGTTTAGAAAAAAAGAAAACGCTACTTTCCTCACATTCACATTATTTTATTATTACATGTCACTACAAATATACCAGAAGTATATATACATCTGAGTAGAGCTGGTGGTCTGTTATACTTCGTTGAAGGAGATTTCTGTTTCGTTGGTATGGTGAATGCCAAAATTTATCCTGGCCAATTTAAAAGTACTTTTCCCTTGGCCACGGACAGCCATTAGAACAGAAGGCAGGAATTACCCAGTCAGACCACTTTTTCAGTTCCCCAAAACTTGAGAAGCTATTTATTGTCTTCAGGAACAGCTTTTCCATGTTGCTTCACGGGATTTCAGGTTTCTCCTGCTTTCCATTTGTGGAGCAAAATCTGCTCAGCCAAGAGCCGGCCCTTCAGATAGGCCGGGGTGGCAGCAGCAAAATGCCTCCAGGGAGCCAGTGGGTCAAGACGGCTGAGGCAGGGGCTGGAGCCCTGTCGTAGGGAGCCAAAACTGCCCGTTTGGGGAGGGGGAGAGGAGAGATTGGGAGAGACCCCATTCTCTGCCAAGAGAATCATCACACCTTGCCGCCTTCTGCATGCCAACAAGGCCTGGGCTTTGGCCAGGGAGGGAGCTTTGAAGCAAGAAGGCAACACCCTGGGCCTTCAGGGCAGGAGCCCGCCTCTGAGGCAGGGCCCTTGCTTGCACCTGAGCAGCTGAAGAGAACGGTAGCAAAGGCAACACCGTGCCTAAAGGCAGCCACGCCCACCACCCATGGAAAGTAGTTGTAAAGCTGATGGGGGGAGGGAATACTTCTTGCTCCTGGTTGCACTGAGCCCCGCCACATTACGCGCGCCTGGCTGGCGTTTCAGCGTCCTGACTTCCTGATGCAGAGATGGCGTGACACGTCGTCAGGCTGTCATTTCCCGTGTGAAGACGAGCTTATAGACTGCCTGGAAATAACAGTGGTGCCACAATCATATTTTCATATTAAATAGAAACTGGGCCGTGAAAATATTTATAGAATCTCATTTAGACACTTTGTATTCTTTTGGATTCAGTCACAGAGAGAAAGTTGTGGCACAGAATTAGATGCTGGGGGGGGGGGAGCGGAGTGGCCCTGACCAGGAAGGGCCTTTTCATGTTTCAGTTGATGCAGGTTGTGGCCAGTCGGTTCTCCTTGGTCAGTGGAGGTGCAAGTGGACAGGACAAGAGAGGATGGTCTTATTTTGCCTGAGAAGGCAGAGCCAACAACGTGCCATGTTAGAAAAGAAGAAGCTGCCCTGCATGCCAGGGTTAGTTTTCCTCAGTTTCTTTGGAACGGCTGCCACAAAGGTAGCCCTGCTCCGGTCTCTCCACCGCTCAGGCCGCCGGTGGGGCTAGGGCCAGGCGCGTTTCTTGCCTTTCCTTGGCAGCGAAAGGGTGAGTTGATATCGATCAGCCTGGGGCCAACGGAAAGATGGAAAGATCGGTGGAGGAGCTGGCCAGTCAGTCGCCAGCTGGCTTCAGAGAGAGGAGGAGGAGCGGAGTGTCTCCCTTCAGGCAGATGGGGGGGGGGTGAGCAGTGTGTGTGTGTGGGGGGGGGTTTAAAGGGTCTCTTCCCTCAGGCCCAGAGGCGGGGGGGGGGGCTGCCTCTTGCAGCAGCAGCAGGAGCTGTTTTTGATGCTGCTGTTCCAAGTCCTGCTTGGACAGCAGCATGTCCCATAAATTGTTGTTACTGTTATGGTTGGCCACACACGGGATGTTTGGCCTAGACTTGGTGTTTTCATTCCCCTGCTGAGTCCCCGGGGCAGTAGGCAGAGGTGGATGTTTGATTGCGTCCAAGGGATTGGTGCAGGATGTGAGCTGCTCCACACCAAGCTGCCTTTTGCCATTGAGCGATGGGGATTTTGCCAGTGCTGATGGGGTTCAGGTGGGGTTCCAGATACTCTGGGATTGCACCCGTTACTATCGGTGCCACCTTTGCTTTCTTTCCCCATACTCATTCCACTTCCACTTTTGTGTTTTGTGATTCTCTCCAGTTCTTTCTCCTCTATTCTGCTGTCTCTGGGCACTGCCATGTCCGCCAGGCAGACTTTTTTTGCTTTCCCTACTGACAGTTGTTACATTTGGGGTGTTATGTGACAAGTGCTTGTCTTAGTTCTAAAGGCCGGAGAATTTTGGCTTCTTCATTTTCTATTGCTTTCTCTGTTTTGTGGCCCCACCAGTTCTCGCTTGTAAGGAAATGGTATTTCTTGCAAGTATTCCAGTGCACCATTGTTGCTACTTTGTCAGCTGTTGTCCGTAATCCATCTGTGCGATCTTCTTGCAGAAGCTAACCAAGTGATAGACTTTTTTCCCCAGCTCCTTTGCAGATGTGGTACTTGCTGTCTGTTGCTGTCTTCTTTGTATGCATTTCTTGAGGCTTGGTCTTGTGCAGCCAGAATTGGCCCCTCTGTTTCTTTCCTCAATCTTTCTACTCTTAGCCATTGTCAGATGTTTTTTTTTTTAATGCACTGTCCTTGCAATACTTCCTCTTTCTATGCCTCTATTCCTTTCTTTATTTGGTCTTCCTTGTAGGCCAGTTTGGTCTCCCCAGTACTCAGCAATCAGGTGGATGCAGAGGGGGACACCACATGAACCAGCCTGTTCAACCGGTTAACTGCTCTTACCGTCATAAATTTCTCTTAATAAGGAGTTAATGCCCAGCCCCTTGTCATGTTAGAACATAGAATAATAGGGTTCAAAGGAATCTCGGAGGTCTTCTAGTCCAACCCAGCTAGTTCTTTCTACTTCTACTATGGCAGTTTGCAAGCGTGCCTGTCTCCTAGTTCCTCTCATATATAAGACTCTTAACCGGTTTGTCACTTGCTTCTTTTTAGAATTTTCTGAAAATATTCCTTTTCCAGTTACACAATTTTAGCCGTATTCATCCACATCCTCTTATACCTAATGGTTTCTTTCTTGCCCATGATCCAGTTCTTGGGATTCACTTTCTGGAAATCAGGACGGATCCACGAACCCCACAGTGGTTGCTTCCACAAGCTTTGGATCCTATTGGCCCTGCTTCACTTCCTCCTCTGCCCAAGGCCTTTGCCCTCCGGGTCCCATTTTTTCCAGCACTCGGATTTCCTGACTTCCTCCAGTGAGGAACCCAAGGCACACCTTCAGCTCTTTTTCACACTGAAATCCTAGCTTCAGAGCATAGCCAATAAATGAAAGAAATAGTATAGGGTTTCCTGCCTGAGCAGGGGGTTGGACTAGATGACCTCCAAGGTCCTTTCCATCATCATCATCATTATTATCATCACCACCACCATCCCAGCATAAAAGGTTGGATTCATGGCGAGACAGAACGTACGCCGTCTTGCACCAGCTGGCTCTACCCGATAGATTTGCAGACAGGCTTTGCCTGTTGCTGTTTTAGGGAACCTTTTTGGGGATGAGAGGAAACCCATTTTGGAACCGCTTTCCTATCAGAAGTTCCATTTCTCGTGCTGAGTGGAGCTGCAAATATCCCCCCTCTTTTGGGTGAGGAACATTTGGTTGCTCCGAGTGTGTGTGTATGCGGGGGGGGGGGGAGGATTTAGAGAGGTTCTCCTGAAGCTAGCCAGCCACAAATCCTCTCAGCCCCAGCTTTAGGTGCAAGGTTGTTTTGCGATAGTCTGTCACAGCTGAAATCCAGGTTCTTTGACTGAGGTGTGTCCTTCTCTGGGGGGGGGGGGGAGCCAAGTTCTGATGTTGTTGGCCCTGCTTTCTTGAGGAGGAGAGAAGTTAATTCTTTCCTGTCCTATCAGGTCCACCCTTTGCTGACCAGAAGGACTCCTCGTGGTAAGTTCAAATTTCAGTTTCCCCTTCTCATTTGACCAGCGATAGGGTTCTGCTAGCAGATTACAGAGCTAATAGGCAAATACTTGTGTCTTTAATAATGCCACTTTTTATTATTTACAGTCTCACTATCAGAAGTTTGTAACCAATTTAAGATTGTAGATGATGAGGATCACCTCTCTCCTTGATCTGTTCTTGGTCTGTCTTGTTCACACCTGGAACTTCAGTGCAGGTTCAGCTCTCGCTGACGTTCATTGGTGGGAAATTCTGCCTGGACGGGGGTGGGGGTGGGGCTTATTTTGGTCCTCCTGGCCATGAGCCCCAGGCAGCAGCTGGAGAGACTGGCTCTGCTTTGCCCCCAGCTGAGAGGAAGCAAAGCAGGGGCAACTTCTGATGCCGGGCACCCAACAAGAGCAGAGTCTAGTTGCCAGGTTTTTTTTTTTTTTTTTACCAACTTTGAACAGGAATGGGATTCGTTTTTCCCCCTCTCTCCTCTGGACATCTCCAGGAGCTGAGGAAATTTGTGCTCCTTGTTCTCTCTGGAGGCTGGCTGACTTCTTCTCTAAATCAGCCTTAAATCAGCCATTCGTTAAAAAAAAATGGATTACGGCTCCTACTCACTGGTGTAATCGATCTGGGTTTATCCTATTTTATGTATCACTTTCCCAAATGTTTAATTATATTCTGTATTAAACTTTGCTCTTGCAGCTAGCCAGGCAAGAGATCTGTTGTCCAAAATGCTGGTGATCGATGCCTCAAGAAGAATTTCAGTGGATGAAGCTCTGCAGCACCCCTACATTAACGTCTGGTATGATCCCTCGGAAGCTGAAGCCGTAAGTCCTGGTCTCCGGAGTCTGGACTCTGTGCAGGGAAGGATAGCGGAAGCGGGAGGCAGGGTGTGGCCCAGAGCCGTAGCTGGAGAGGCCCTGCAGGGCGGAAACTCAAACCGTATAACTGGTGGGGGTTCGGCGGGCGGGGTTTGTCTATAAAAGAGTGATGGAAGAGCCAAATTTTATGTGCTTGCTTGCTTGTAAAAAAATTAACCTTGCTCTTTTTAAATAATTGCTGATTGAATGACATAGAACTACACCCTGGTGCCTGTCACTTGAGCAAGCTAATAAGCTAGGCTTACTGCATACCTGTTATTAAACTGGGTGTATCTGTTATTTTGTTCGCACTGCTCCCTTTAGCTAAGTTCTTCTTCTGTTCCTAGCCTCCTCCAAAGATACCAGACAAGCAATTAGATGAAAGAGAGCACACAATAGAAGAATGGAAAGGTGAGATATAAATGTTTTTCATGATCAGCGTAAGCCAAGTTGGATGCCAGTAGAGATGCAAGGAAGGAGGGTCAGGAGGAGCGCTGAACTGTGGCGTTTTAAACATCGACCAACCAGTGACCTAGACAGAGGCAACAATGACAGAGTGGAGGGGGATGATGGATGGATGGATGGTTTCTCAGGGCTGCTACAAGGTTGGAAAAGTGGGGGTGTAGCACAAAGGGGGTGGAAAACTTGCTACCTGTCCTGTAACATCATTGCTTTCAGTGGGAGGGCCCTTCCTGGCATTCCACTCTGCGGCTGCCCACACCGGAGGGAACCCACGTCTTGTTTCCCTGCTATCTGGGTTAGTTGGAAAAAAGACTGAATATAATAAGTCAATCATAATCATTTTATTTATGACCAGAAGGCCTGAATAGCAGTAATAACCAGCCTCTTTTGAAAGTAACAGTGAAACCAGATCAGCTTCCTATGCTGCAAAGTGTCCCAAACTCAGGTGGGAGAAACGGTTCGAAAATTGGGAGAAATGGAGGCAAACTCCAGGGGGAAAATGAGAAACCAGCCATTATAAATCATGTGTTTGTGGAACGGCTGGCCCCAGATAGATTGGCCACGTTGGCTGGGTAATGGCCTTTCCTGGTGAATGGGTTGACCTTCCGAAAGGAAATTCTGTAGGTACTCTGTGGGTTGTCTTGGACTGAAACATTAATCTATACAATCGTAAAAAGCCTGAAAAAATATTAATTACCATATTCTGCATGTGCCGGGAAGTTTTTGTTCCATATGTCCTGTATTTCCTACCTTAGTCCCACCCATTCAGGTGGGTGCACGGTTTTTAAAGGAGAACGGAATCGGAGCATGAAGCACGGGCATTGTGTGGCTTGTCTGATACTTTCCCTTTGTGGCTTTGCTGCTCGATAAGTGGAGTTCTGTCTTGCAGATGAAATTGCTTCTCTAGCTTGCCTGACATGCTCTGCAGATAACGCTTCCCCTGATGATTTGCAGAACTGATTTACAAAGAAGTTGTGGATCTGGAGGAGAGGACCAAGAACGGAGTCATACGTGGGCAGCCGCCTCCTTTAGGTTAGTTGCTGTAGGTGTTCTTTGGTTAATGCCACCTATAAGGGGGGGGGGAGAGGCTGTTTTTATGTAGCCTTAGTTCACATATGCGGTGCCTTGTCTGAATGTTGAGATTATGCCTGCTCTTATTCATATGTAGATAGCTACATATCGTTTTGTATGTGTAAATGTCCATATTGACGTTGGGAATCAGAATAATTGTATGCCATGGGAGTGCACACTTTTTCTCTGCAAGAAGATTGGCAATAGTATTTACACATGGGAGCCTGAATCACCCTTGTGCAGCTGTCCTGAGAAACCCTCTAGGTCTGTTTCCGTTCCCCAGGCGGGAAATGTTATTTCCACTCTTGTTGTCGACACGTTGGGAAGTGTCATAGTCTCTGATCGTTTCTGGTACGATCTAACGGAATACTACCGTTGCGATTAAATGAGGGCCGAGAGTGGCCCAAAGTCACCCACCTGGCTTTGTGGCTTAGGCAGAACTGGAACTCGTGGCCTGCTGGTTTCACCGGCACATCAGACAAGCTCTCAAGGTACGCCTTTAGGACAGGGCTAAACTGAATTGGGCAGGTTTTCCTCCCTGACCATGGGAACAAGATGGCCGGCCACCAGGAAACGGCTAGAGGAGGAGAAACTCCGAATCGGAGGAGGAGTGAGGGATCGCCCTGTGGCTGAAGGGCTGCTTTGTTTCTCATAGCACAGGTGTAGCCACGGTCAGCGGCCCTCGGCCTCCATCTTCATCCCCATCAGTCTGTGATGCATCTTCACTGTCCACTGACCGGACTCTGGCCTCCAACACCGACAGCAGCCTGGAAGCCCCAGCGAGCCCCTTAAGTTGCTGTAGATGATGACGAGTGGACGTAGGAGAGGAATGGCTAGCCACAAGAATCAGTGGTATTATTTCGGGGTGTTTTTAAAAGTTAATTGTGGGATTAATTTTCAGAGTGCTAATTTTAAAGTAAAATAGTAAATCACGATGCTATTCTGTAATTAACTGTACAGTATGGAACTTAATTTTTATTGTTTTAAAATTGCATGCTTTACTACTGTGATTTTTGACTTTATTTTTTCAGGATGCATTTATAAGATAGGTTTATGAAATGTAATATTGCTATTCAGTTTGCTATATCACAGCTTCTTTCGGGGTCTTTTAGATTTGTTTTTTCAGAGAATCTGTATCAGCAGAGGCATTTTTCAGCTCCAAAACTTAATCTTTTATTTCCAATTGTTGTTACTCGTGGGATATCTAATTATAGGCTATACAATAATGCCTGGATAAGGTCTTTGAACAAAAATGTTTCTGTAAGTGTTTATCCAGGGAACGCTGTCTAAGCTGGCTGTCTTCAACGGACGCCGTCTGTCCATTTGCCCAAAGGGAGGATACAGGAGGGGAGGCATGCCAGCGATTCCAGGGGTGAGGCGGCTGAATGCTCTTGGCAAACCTCGAAGTTGCCATCGGCCTGGCTCACCTCCCTTGCACAAGGCCTTTAAAATAATCCCCCGTTTGCACCTGGAGCGTGTTCGCTTCTCCATTCATTTGTTGCATTCAGATTAGTACCAGTTCTAGAAACAAAAATGTTTTTTCCCCTCCTCTTTGACGGTTTTCTTCTCAACCTGTAGCTGATACTTCTGGATCTGTGGTATAAGTATTATATAAGTGTACTGTGTACGCTCCAGGGGGGAGTCACCTGTGCAACCTTTTGTGACACTGGGTATTAGAACAACCCAACAGAAATCACAAAAGACACGAGGACTGCACTGAGATCATGTTTTGGTTAATTTCCTTCCAAGAAAAAAATAGTGTAGAAATGCTGAATATAATTGAAAATGGTTCTGCTTTCTGCTGAAATGAGTTTCAATACATATCTTTGAATATGTATTTCATTTTATTCCTCAGATTCAAATTCTGAGTTCATTGTGAATTTAAAATTGTGAATTTAAAAAATGCAGAGTTTTAAGAATTAAGCTTGTACTATCTGCACGGTGTAGATAGAAGTCATTTCTGTTTGTTTTTATTTATTAAATTTGTATGCTGCCAGTTTCACGTGACTCTTGGCAGGTTACAGTAACCGAAATGTCCATGGTTTGCGTAATTCTACAAACAGCAAAACAAACTTGGCAAAAGTAACACTGAAACAACCGTGACAAACCATAACAGACAGTGCAGGTTGGCAAACCGACACCCCGCAGACACGAAACAATCTCTATTATACCTCAGTCAGGTGACAGTCACACCACGTCCACAGATCTCAGTGACAAAAGCAGAACTGAGCTTGGCCCCCCCAAGCCCATTGGGAACAATTCCGACCTTAGTGTTTTCTGGGAAGCTGTACTCTTTGGGGGGGGGGCAGCATAAGTGAGGCTGCACCCTTTGTTTGGGCCTTTGGGTGAAAACGCTCGTTCCTGGCTTCAGTCACCCTTCCTTCCTTCCTTCCTTCCTTCCTTCCTTCCTTCCTTCCTTCCTTCCTTCCTTCCTTCCTTCCTTCCTTCCTTCCTTCCTTCCTTCCTCTGTCCTGGAACGGTGGAGTCTCCCGTTATGCAGGGAGGGAGGAGACCCGTGGGTCCACTCGGCCCTTAGGGCTGCCCTCCAAAGCCAGCCGAGAGCCGCAAGCCCTGGCCTAATGCCGCTCCCGGGTGGCCTTCAGAGGCAGATCTGGGTAGAGCACACGGAGTCGTTTGTACAAGTGGTGGTGATGATGATGATGAAGGCACAAAGTCTTCACACTCTGGGCAAGGCCCCAACTGGAGCACAGGGGCCCAAAGCCTTCCTGCCCAGCCATCCTTTGTGCATCCGGCAGTGGCCGTGTGTGCAGGGAAAGCCCAGTTCATGGACCCGCTTTCTTAAGGGACAATGCTGGGCCAACCAAGAACTGTCTGAATAGCAGGTCTGAAGTTGAACTCAGGCAGCAAGCAAGATGTTGTGTTGAAAAACGGGAAAGGGTCTGGATTCCCTCCACGCAAGCAGCCTGTCGCATCTCCACTTGTAAGTCACCACCTGAAACTGCCCACAAACAAAAATTTAAATGATTCTATCTTCAACATTTGTAAGGTCTGGACAAGGAAAGCTCCTGTGCCATGATTGATTGGACTGACAGGAGAACAGGAAAGGGGAAGCCCCAAATGCACCATCCAAGTCTTGGAAAAGATCCCCAGTGCTCTTATCTCAAATATGAATCTGATCAAAAAGGATCCAGATAATCCACTTCTTCCAGGGTGCTCTGTAATGGTCTGCAGTTGTTGCTGGATTAAGAAAGGGCATCCTGTAGGAAGATGTACCACAGTCTCCAGCAAGGCTGCAGGAATTGTGACTGCACTCATTGAGACACTGACCGTCTCCAAGGTCCCGTCTGTCCTATACTAGTCTTCCCTGTTGGAAAATACATTAGAAAGTGTCCTATTTATTTCAAACCACAGTCTGAACGCCTTTGAAAAATTTTGCAAGTGTCACTGGGGTTACAAGATCACATGGCCCTTTAAGAATCAAGTCTGAGGCAAGCTTGAGTTGGTTTTGGGGCAATGTGTTCTGCGGAGCAGAGACCTGAAGAGACCAAGTAGGAGATTTAGTTACTCCTTCCTCCCTAAAACGGGATTTGCAACTCTGAACGAGAGAGCCTGTGGATACAGAGAGCAGCTGTTTCGCTTCATGATGGAGACCTGAATAGAAATCCTTGAATGCCTCCGGTCGCCTTCCAATCCACAAGGGACCACCCAGGTCATCTGCTGCTAGGCGACGGCCGACCTCTCTTGTCCCGGCTGCCTGCGACACCGTTGGCAGCCTCGGCACCTGCCGCAGGCTGGTCCTCCCAGTCACTGAGCTTCCGTTGCCGCCACCAAAACAGGCAGGATAGCCTTCCTCAGCCGTTTCTCCAGTCAGCCAAGGGGTTCTCTGCCTCCCGCTGCACTGCCACTCCTCACAGCAACTTTCAACCAGATTCCTAATACTGGAGCTTAAAAGTAGCTATTAACTAACTAAAGCCACCCGAAACAATTAACAACCCAAATCAGCTCTCACTAGCTAATGAACAGCCCCCCCCCCCAGTGTCCAGCTTTAGTCCCTCCTGTTGTGGACTTAAAGGTTAATAAATACGGACATTAGCACTGCAAGGGGAGAGAGGGCACATGCATGTCAGGTGGGTCACATGCTTGGAAGGTGGAAGATATTTCCCTGTATGGTGACTCTTTTTAAATCAGTTTAGCTTGGGTTTTTTAAAGAAACCCTTTGCATTTCAGGATTAATTTTGTCTGGTGCTAGAAAAACTCAGAGGTAAGAGAAAAATGGAGAATTCTAGATACTGAGGTATAGCACCAGGAGTTATCTTGCAACATAGCGCCAGTTTCTGATCAAGTCTAGGCAATTATTTCCAAATCCTGTAAAATTTGTCAACAAAGGCAATTACCTACAAGGATCCGATACACAGAGCATAAATTGATTAATTCACTCGTCTTAATTTATTGTGCCTGCTGTGTCATGCTGCCTCCCCCTCCTTCATTTTCAGTCAGGGATACAAGCCGTTCGATGGATTTGAATTAGCCATTGGAAAAAAGAGGCAGAGTTCCCTCTGAGAACGAGCCTAACACAGCCGATGCAGAAGTCTGTAAGGGAAAGGCACGCTGTGGATGGTGCAGAGGGGCAATGTTGCCAGTTCTAGCAATCCTTCCATAAAAGGAGAGCATTAAAAGGCAACAAAAGTAATTCTAATTTTGTAGATCAACTAAGTACTATTTTTCCAGTCTTTGTCTTTGCCGTTATGTATTCTATATGCTAGATTTAGCAAAGCAATTGTGCTGTGAGTGAAATCCTTTCACCTCTTCCTCACCAATCTCTGATTTTCCATTTAGACCAACAACTGGGATGTCAGTGCATGAATAAGGTGGCAAAGTAGGTTTGCACTTTCATATGTACATCAGAGAGAGAGAGAGAGAGAGAGAGAGAGAGAGAGAGAGAGAGAGGCCAGGGCAAAACTGCTTGGCTGGGAAAGAGTGCAGAGGGCATCCACCACCTTCAGGCTTTGCCCCACTGACTTCCTGCGGTGATATTGCCCAGGGTTGTGAAGAAATACGCCATCTCTTCTTGCAGGAGGTGATTTCTCTCCTCTGCGTCTTTCCTTGCCTGCTCAGAGTTCCTCAGCTTCTTTTCCAGCACCGTCTGCTTCTTTTTCTGTTTGACTAGCTCTTCTTCCAGTCTTGTCGCCAGCTTCCTCAATTCTGCGCTTGCTTCTTCCATTCTTAAAGCGAAGAGAGAGCACGAGTTAATTGCATAGAGCAGATGCATTTTGAACAGTTGTGTCACCAGAATGCCTGAAAAAGTCTCCATAGTTATAGCCAACTTTAGTTTGAAGAGATGTTAAGATTTTTTTTTTTGCCACCGTTCATTTCCTTTAGCCACCCCCTTGACCACTTTGCTTGCTGGTGGCCCTTGGCTTGCAGAGGCTACTTGCTGCTCTTGACCACTTCCTCTCCTGACCATGGAGGCCCCCTCTGCCCATAACTCTGGTGACAGAAAACTGCAGGGTTTGGAAGATTGGCAGAGTGTTGTGAGGGTAATACTAAAGGCCCTCCTAATTATGCCATACTTTATCAAGATTATTACCCACCCAAAATACACATCCCTGAGGATGTTTGTGAAAGTTAATGTCTTGGTCCTCCCACAGTTCAGGTCAGGATTACAAGATAATGGAAGGTGAGCAGTAAGATTTTATGAAGAAGGGCAAAGGGTCTCTATAGGAATATGTGCATTGTATACTATGGTTCCTAGCATCACTGGCCAGGCAGCTACGGGAAGATACCAGCTGTTCTTGCATAACCAACTGCCTTGGTTCCTGCCTCTCTTTCCTTGCCTTTTGGACTTGCATACCTCTTAAAAGTGGTGTCATATTCAGATCTTTGTTTTTGTAGCTCCGCCTTCAGTTCTGCGATGAGATCGTGCAGGGCTTCCGAGCACTGAATGGCGTCTCTAGAAGCGAAGGACAGATTACATTCGTCCCTGCTTCTGCTGCAGCATGCTTCTGGCTCCCCACTGCTGCTCTCCAGAGGGACTTCACCCTGTGGCAAGGGGCTGCCAGGAGAGTGTTCCTTCGGAAGAAGGTTCAAGGCCAGGCAGGCACAGGGGGTGACAGAATCCACCGTGAGAGACAGACCACTGGAGGAAATGGAGCAGCTGGGGCTGGTGTGGCTGCAAACACCCTCGGAGAGATGAAGGAGGGGGACATTGTCATAGATGGAGAGCCTTTGGCATGAATCGGAATCTTTGCCTTGTCCTCCACAGTGGCCTTGAACAGCTGACCGTCCATCCACCAGCCGGTTCTCCCATGAGGATAAGCAGTAGCTTTCCAAGAAGGAGCTCCGCGGTGGGTGGTAGAACGACCCAGCTCCCTGCTGCTCCAAAGGGGAGCCTTTCCAAGGGGACAAGCCTTGCTTCCTGCGGCTGGGGCTGATGGGCGGCTGGGTGCTGTTCTCTTCCTGGTTGCAGTCTTGCATGCAAGGCTTAGCTGCAGAAGGCCTGAGAGCTGGAAGTGAGCCAACACGGCTGCAAAGACTGTTTTCTGTCCAGCCACTCGGCAAGTTCCCGTCTACCCAACTAGGTGGACACTGGAGATCGACTTCCGGCTGAAGTGAATCCTGAGTCAGGGTGGGATCAAAGATTTTCCCATGCTCGCTTATCAAAATAGCCATTAAGCCCTGAACCAGCGAAGTACCTGTGAAATGAGTATTCAGACAATCTCATTAGGTCAATTTGTTTTGCAGAGAAGGACATTTACTCAACATGAAGGCATTCAGTATCCTTGAAAACCAATCATTCCGTGCCCTTCTGATGAACTAGTGAGTTAAGTGTGGCCTGGATGGCCGTAACAATAAACTGATATTCAAATGGGGTGTGGCAGGGATCAGTGCTGGATCTGAACTCATCATTTTCATTTAAGGATTTAAATGAGAAAGAGCTGGAGGGAATGCTAATCTGATTTGTAGATGACACAAAATTGGGTGGGAGATCTGATATCTTTTCCTTTTCTGTGGGTGAATATCTTGAGTGGTGAGTTCAGCTCCAGATACCACAATTCAAGAGGGATTCAGCCAAAGACGAACAAGTTCAGAGAATGGTTAGCAAAGACGATCAAGGAATCAGAAACTGAGATTTACAAGAAGAAAATAAAGAGACGATTCATTTCAACTTGAGAAAAAAAAGACTTAAGCAGGGAATATGGCAGCTCTCTTTTGAAGGACCTGAAAGGATCTTGCAGAGAAAAAACACAGAAGACTTTCTGAAGTGGGATGTTAAATAAACACAACCAAGAGTGCTGTGACACCTTAAGGAGTCTCAAATTCAGAAAGGCATATATTCCTTTGGGTGAGTACTCATCAGATGTCTTGATTGGTATTCAAAGAGAGAATCATTATATATACATTTTCCTTCTAGGACTATGTGACAACTTGAGTTAAATCAGAAAACTGAATGCCTCTCAATACACTCAAAAGATACAAAAAAAAATTGAGTCATATTATTTGCAAAATAGTATTTTTCCTGAATGAATTCAACTTTTCATATCAAATCAAACTGAAAATCTAAATCAAATCTGAAGATTTGAATTAGAGCCAGTCCACACAGCTTGGTACCCCTCAAAAGCAACTCACCATTTTATTGAGTCAAATCATCCACTTATCAGCTGAACACACATTTTTTTGGGGGGGGGGTTCTGTCTATTCCTTTGTATACTTCTGGTATTCCAAGTTCAACTCTTCTCAAGTACGGGTAACTGAATTTGCAGCTCCGGGGGCTGGACTGCTGTCCTGTGGGACATAGGGTACCCACCTTCCATCTGAGTCATAGGGTCTTCTATCTGAGGCCGAAGAATGTTTGGCCCAAAGACCGTGGCAAGGTTCTGGACGCTCATCTTGTTATGGCTGGCGTAAGACTGAACTTCATGAAGAAACCTTGAAAGGCCCCCACCAAAATATCAATGAAAACTTCATTAATAATCATTGGAAATTTTCAGTGGCAAAGACCAAGATTTCCAACCTTACTATCATGCCTCACATGGGCCAAGCTACCCACACGGATGCCTAGTTTGGACAACAGGCTCAACCCGGCCTCTGGAGGTGCGTCTTTTTGGGGGTGGGTGGGGGTTAATCAGTAAGCAGGGCGGGATTACTGGTGGTGGGATTTGGAAATGCTGCAGGAAGAGGTTTAAGATTCCCTGACTTGCACAGATGAGCCCTGATCCAGATTGGGACCCAGCCCACATCTGGGTTTCATTTGTTTAAAATTTCTGTTCAACCACATCTGACCCTGCTTGCCTAGGCTATTACTCACACTCCTATGCAGCTCCAGAAAAATTACAGTTAACGCTTTTATTTTCTGTCTCTGAGTCGGTCCTGACTTCTGATTACTGCCTGGACAAGTCCATGCAATTTTCTTGGCACCATTTTCAGAAGTGGTTTGCCATCTCCTCCTCCTCCTCCTCCCTCCAGGGGCTGAGAGAGCGGAAAAGGCCCAAGGTCACCTAGCTGGCCCTATGCATAAAGTGGGGCTAGAACTTACCTTACCTGCACCTGGCCCGGCCAACCTGGATCCCCTTCCCTGCTCTTGGGACTGGACTCACCTGCAGATGAACTTGAGGAGGTTGTAGTTGGCCTGAGGAAGGCAGCCCACTTGTTTGGTCAGTTCCCGAGTTCCCTGAGGGATCACATAAATAGGAACAGCAGGTGCTACTTTTCACGTAATAGCTAAGCAAAAATTATCTGATATTTCTCTCTCTCTCTCTCTCTCTCTCTGTGTGTGTGTGTGAGACAGAGAGAGAGAGTGTGTGTGTGTGTGTGAGAGAGAGAGGCCCCATGGCATTCCTCTTCACTCCAAGGCCTCAGCCCTTGGCCTGAACCTCTGAGGTTGCAGCCTGAATCCAGGACCTCCTTCTGGGCCCTAAAGGCTAAGACTTTCCCCCTTTTCAATCCATTGAGACCTTTTTAGGAGTACCAACCCCACCTGCCGTGTCAGTGATGAGGGGAAAGCCTGTGGTATAAAGAAGGGAAAGGTTAAAACGAGGAGGAAAGCTTTTGCTTTGTGAAATTTTCACACCCAAAAAAGCAGGATATAGATGGGCCTAATTCATTGTCAACATAAAACTCATTTTTTATGAAAATTTTAAAAATCACATTTCAAAAGCTTATAAATTAATAGATATTTATAACTGCCAGTTTAAACTAGTAAAGCTGGGGAAACCTTTAGGCCAGTGTTTCTCAACCTTGACAATTTAAGGCATGTGGACTTCAACTCATTCCTTAAATTGTCAAGGTTGAGAAACGCTGCTTTAGTCTGAGTTTGATTCCTAGTGATTCCAATTTGTTATTTTTTTTCCTTTTTTGTCACCACTACAGGAATGGTTTGCCACTGTCTTATTTTAGGATTTTTTAAAGATCATTTTCCAGAGTAGCTACACCCCTAGGATTCCCTGCAATCTTTCATCCAAGAACTCAGTCAGATGTAACTCTTCCTGATATGAACTGGAACATTACTTGTTTTTGACCTCCAATCTCAAATGCAAGACTAATGAGTGAACATAATGACTCGGCTCCTTTCATCCCTTATACACTGAAGGGGCTGAAAGGTGTTTGAGACTCCCCCCCCCATCTTCCGGTGGTCCTGGTGCTGCCCCCTCCTCCTCCTCCTCCTCCCCTCCTGGAGGCAGCGGAATGCCAGGTGCAACGCACAGCCTGCATCCCTCCCACCATCCCCAGACTCCCCTGGTCCACTTCATGCAGGGGCTCTTCCTTTGGGTAGTTACTTGTGCCGAATCCACTGACCTCGCCTTCATCCTTGGAAAGCAACTGGCCGCAGGAGAGAAAGTCTTCGTAATTCGCGAAAGGAACGACGGGCTCGGGAAGCTCTCGAAGGTATCGCTTCAGGAGGGAGGCGACTGCGTGGACATCGGTGTTTCTGCAAGAAAGGCCCACAAGGGGGTTCGGCAGCCGGCAGAGAAACTGCTGCCCTGGGTACAGACAGGACGGCTGGTGGGCTTCAGACTTCATTGATTTAAAACAAAAACCAAAACCCTTGCTGAGCAGCCAGGACGACACGCTAGTTAGGGGCCAGGCAGGTGCACAGGCAGCTCCTACCCTTCATCCCTCTGGGGATGGGACGCTGAAGTGGGATCTCCCCGTAGACAGAATGAGACACAGCAAAGGTGAGATATGGGAAATAGAAGTGGCAGGAATCGGGCGCGCTCCCTCTTCCAACCTAGTTACAAGCAGCACTCGGGATCTGCTACACAGTGACGCTGCTTCAAAAAGTTATCCTGCCTTGAATGCCAACAGGCAACCTACGCTGGAATACTGTACTATGCGTCTCCCAAGTTAGTAAGAGCGGATGCTAATTGGCGCAATCCCTAATTCGTTCATCATTCCTTCTGCTTGAGCAGGAGATTGGACTAGAAGACCTCCAAGACCCCGTCCAATCCTGTTATTCTGTTATGCCCGTACAACAGTTAAAAAAGCCAGTTTTGGCAACCAACCAATCACTCAGCATTGAGGGTATCTTATCACACAAGCAGCTTATGCAGTTGGAATTGGAGGTGTAGTTTTGCTGTCGATCTGCTCCTTCCAGTGGGTGGACGGGTCCAGTCCAGGGCAGCAAGGGATGCCCTGTGGCCCTTGAATTGCACGAAAGAAAAGTTTGCCCTCTCTTGTTTGCTGTTTAAGATCCAGGCCAAGCTGATGGGTGAGGACTTGCCACCGTTCGAGGGACACCCAATTCGCTGTTGCTACCTCAGAACAATGAGGTATGATGTCATTTCACCGTCCTCTGAGGCTGTCGGGGTCTGGACCAGATGGGACCCAAAGGTCTGAAACTGAACCTAGACAAGATGGAGGCATTATCCTGAAAGAGGAAGTTCACCACCTCGGGGGTGGGGGTGGGGAAAGGAAGGGACTATGGGCATCCTTCTAGGCTGATGTAGCCTGTCGGTGCAGCAGCAGCAGGTGGAACCATATCTGGTGGCCCTTTGCCTGCCTCCAACTGGTGCAGGAGTTGCAGCCTTGTTTGACGCAGGAAAACCTCGCTCGCTGTCTTCACTCTTGGCCTCAGTACCACCCAGGCAGATCATGGCAATGCACTTTGCCTAGGGCTGTTTTTAAAGACCACTCAGAAACTGCACTTAGTTGTGTACATTAATATAATTCTGGATAACTCAGCCCAGTACAAAATACCTTTTTGAATTTATTCTCCTGATGCTATTTTCCTTTCTTTTGTTGACTCAAATTGACTTCCAGCTGTGATTGTGTCTTCCAAGTGGTTTATCTTCAGTTCTGATTTTGCAATGTTCTCTAGGGATACGGCTTTAATCCTGAAAAATCAGTTTTCACTGTGACTTTTGACTCCACAACTATTTGAAGATGGAGCAGGTAAGGAATTTTGAGTTTTCTTTAAAAATATTGCTATTCTTTTTCTACATTTTCTAGAAACCTGACACTCTGACAAATTAGCCATCAGTAGACACTTAGACATAAACAACATCTAGATACTGTGCACAAGAGACAGCAATCCCTACCAACAATCAGCACATAGACAAGCATGGATTGATTAACTCCCAAGATTAACATCAGACCAACAATCAAGTAAACAATACCCTAATCAAGGAACTGCCAAAAAAGCCAACAGTACAAAGAACTTCAATCAGAATAGAACTGGAAGGGACCTTGGAGGTCTTCTAATCCTCTGCTCAAGCAGGAGACCGGCCTGTACCACTTCAGGCAGGTAGCTGTCTAGCCTCTTCTTAAAAACCTCCAGTGATGGAGCAACTTCTGGAGGCAACTTGTTTTCCACTGGTTAATTGTCCTCGCTGTTAGGAAGTTTCTCCTTAATTCCAGGTTGCTTATCTCCTTGATTAGTTTCCATCCATTATTTCTTGTTTTGTCTTTGGTACTTTAGAGAATAGGTTGACTCCCTCCTCTTTGTGGCAGCCCCTCAAATACCGGAAGACTGGCTATCATGTCACCTCTCGGTCCTTCTTTTCTCTAGCCTGGCCATACCCATTTCCTGCCACTGTTCTTCGCAAGTTCCTCTAGGACAGCCCCAAGGCAAGCCACTAGAACATCAACTGAGAGCAATCCCCACTCCTTACTAGCACCGATGATGTTACCTAGTTAGAACATGACATCTTGGAGAATATCTGTCTGGTAGAAGGTAACACCCAATCAGCATGTTCAGTGGCCACGGTGACTAAAAGAGATGAGAGATGCCATCTAAAGCATCTGCACGGCACCATAATAAACTAAGATTCTGTATGGTTCTATACTTGTTTTATTGCCATATTGTTTCACTCTTTTAATCTTCTACCACCCTGGGACACCGCTTGGGGGGATCTCATAACACCCCTAAGCAAATAAAACAGTCACCCTGCAGTTCCAAGCAGGGCAGAGTTGGTCCTCTAGTCCGACGAGGGCCTTGCAGCTCCCTCGGCTGTTCCTTGGCAAACGACCGGCGTACCTGTCAAACTGGGGCTTCTTCCTGCTGTCAAAGGAGTCCTGGAGGTCCTTGACCAGATTGGCCTGCCCAGGCAGGCGGAACAGCCCTTCCTCGGTGAGGCCACGTGCCCGGAGGAAGTCCACACATTGTTCCACCAGAAGGGGCACCAGGTACTGCCCAAACTTCTTTTCGTAGCAGACTGTGTCTTCTAAGCGCTGACCAAAAATCCCTGCCAATGAGAGGAAGCAACCGTTGCCCTGGATCAGCCACAGCTGTACACATGGGAGGGGATATGGAGTCCAGGAGGCCCCCCCCCAGCAGGAAACAAAGGAGAAAGGGAAGGCAGATGCCTTTGCACTTGAGTCGGTCTGCACGCAGCTCCTTTGGGGAGGCAGCCGAAGGCTCAGCCTTCCCCTGAGACTTGGGAAAGGATGGGCAGAAAGATTTTCAGGTTCCAATTGCCCTTTAATTCTTCCATTTTGTTAGGTGGCATTGTGTTTAGAGATTACCACCCAGAGTTATGTTGTTTGAGTTGGCTGGCCACATAAATGTTCTGTCTAAACTATAAGCCAGTAAATATTATTTACCCATTACATGTCCTGCTTAGGGACAACAACACAACAACCAAATAAGTGGAAAATAGAAAAGGGTATAATAAAAATATATTCTTTAATATGCTAAAAATCCCAGCATGTTTTGAAGAAATTATCTCCTTAAAACTTTCTGGGACCTTTGATGTAACATATGAATTATTTTTGCACACTGATATTTTTGGTGGTTGCTTTTGAAGAGGTTCCTGCTATTCCTATACCTGAGTCACAAACAATCATTTTCTTCTTTAAGATGAAGAGTGTTCTTTTCCAAAGTAAATATTCAGATAATTTGCAAAACATAATTTTATTTAGGGTTACATAGGTCCAACTCTAGAGGTCTAGACTTTTCTTTTTCCTGTTGTATTTTCTGGGAAACCTCTACCCAGTTGGTGATGGGTTTGTGCCACACGCTCAGCAACAATGCAATCAGCTGGGCTGTTCTGTGAAGCCAGCCGGTGCGATTCATTTATGGCATTGTATAAACCCAACTAACTTGGTGTTAGTTCAGTAAATCACGGGTACCCTGGGTTAGTGTACTATGTGAACGTGCCACGTTCTACTTAATTATGACAACAAACAAAAGCATGAACCGGATACTCTGAAAAACAGGGAAGGATAAAACATTTCAAGAAAAGATTGGACAGTCATTTGCCCGGGATGGTACAAGGTCTCCTGACATAGGCGTGGGGTTGGGGCTGGATTAGAAGAAAGACCTCCAGGGTCCCTTCCAGAATCCTTAGGATTCTATGACTTCAAAAGAGGAAGGTATTGTGGGCCTTTTCTTTGCAAATGAAAACAAATTCCAGCTTTGTCCTGAAGAATATAATTGTAATAAACTGTGGTGATTGTAGAATCAATATGATTGATTTTGAAAACATTATTTGCATATCTAGCATGGTTTCTTAAAATTAGAGGGAAATCCTTGACGTTGTATGCCATGAAGATGAAAGGGAGGATGGAGTCTCATAGCATTCTCAAACAAATCAACACCAGGACTTAGGGGGGAAAGAAAAGGAATAAAAATCAACTTTACTACCCAAAACCTGTGTTGTTATGCACATTCAGGAGTTTCCATCCTGGCCTTAGAGCCCAGCTGGGTGTTTTATTTGGCTTCATCGCAACCCGTTCCGGAGTGTCCATTCTGCACAATATTTGGTTTAAGATTTAGGGAAAGATCTCTCTGCCTAGTCTGAAAAACTCCCATGACAAATCTGATTGGTTGCTGGGGTGAAAAGGCTTCTCTCCAGGCGGACTCGATTCCTGACATGTTCAGCAGAGCAGAAAGCAGGCCCGAGCCCGTCCAGGGCAGGCTGGAGGGCTTCCAAACCCTCTTAACTCGGCACCTGGCTGGGCGACCCTGGGGGAAGGGAGAGCTGGCCTCCCCTTTCAGGGCCGCCTGCCCGCAAATGTCCCTCCAACAGTCCATCCAGGAAGGAAGAGGAACCCAACACCATCCATTTCCTTTTATGCTGCACCAAACTCCTGGCCCGTGCTGGGATAGCTCGCCTGCGCAAGGAGACCCGGGTTAAGATGGCTAAGCGGCATCTAGGAGACGCCAGAAAACGGCACACATTCAGCACCCGAGAAGCCGATTCTCATGTAATTCATGGGGGCGTATTCCCCCCCCCCCAGCTCTGGTATACAGCCGGGTTTCTCCAAAATAGAGCGGTGATGCACGATACAAGTCTGGTGGAAATCTCACAGCTGATGAAAGTACCCCAGTGTGCTCAGAAACAACAGCCGAAGCACACAAACTCTGCACAGTAGTCTAACCAAACGAGCCCCCCCGCCCCCCCAGGATCAAATGAGCCATCCCTGCGCGGAGACAGCCCCCCCCCCCCTCCTTGCCCCACCGCTTCTCTCGGGCCAACCGCGGAGCGAGCGCGGGACCAACCCTGCCCCCGACACCGGCGGCGCCCCTCTGCCGGCTCTCACCTCTCGGGGCGGCGCAGCAGGCGGAGCCGGGGCAGGCGGCCGGAAGGCAGCAGAAGCCGGGCAAGGCGAGCGGGCCGCAGCGGCCGAGCGGGAAGCCGGGCATCGGGCGCGCGGCGGCAGCGGCGGCGTCCCTCGCTGCGGAGGGGGCTGGTGGCCGCCCATCTCGGCCCCTCTCGGCGCCAAGGAGGAGCCGCCGCGCAACTAGTCGAACGATCCCCGGAGGCCTGAAGCTCTCCTGGGCAGGCCGCGTCTTGCCCGGCGCTCTCCTCCTCCTCCTCCTCCTCCTGGCAGCCAGCCAAGGGCGGGCCAGTCGGTCGGCGGTGCCGGGCCTTCGCCCAGGCTTCCCGGGAGCTTCGCTGCCAGCGCTGGAGCCTCGCACGTAGCTGCTATTCAGCGCCAAGCTTCTGCCCGGGCCCGGCTGCGGCGCTGGCCGCTCGTGCCTGAGGAGCGAAGCCCGGCCTGATCCAGGCGGACCTTCCCACGGGGTCAGGACTGAAGCTGCGCCCCAAAGAAGCAGGACCCGCGTTGGTTCGGCTGCAGGGTAAGACGAGCAAACCTTCCCTGTGGCTTTTCCCCCCAGCGAGGGCAGAGCGGGAGAGCCGAATGGAAGCGGCGGAAGAGGCTCGGGGATGTTACAGGGCCGAGGCCGAGAGGCGGACCTTCGGGCAGTGGAGTCGGACGCGCCTTCAGTTCGGGATCCAGATGAAAACATCGCCGCAGGTTCATGGAGGCGGGGGCCTCCCCCGCAGAGAAGCCGAGAGGCCCGGAGCCGGTCCAAGGGACAAGGGCAGGGGGTCAGATGCAGGCAGGAAGGGCACAACCAGGTCGCTGGCATTGGGCCCAAGAAGATCTGCCCCTCCCTGTCTTCTCCCCTGAATGGTTTTCTGGCCTGGCTCGGCTCCTTTTCTATTTTCCCAGCTTCTCATTCTGTTCTGTTTTCAGATTATTTCTCTGCCAATGGGTGGGTGGGTGGACGGATGGATGGACGGACGGACAGAGGAATAGCCGTGCCCCACTTCTTTGCAACTTTCCAACATTGGGGTAAAAATGAGGGGGAAGAGCAAGGAGTCTGTGCTAGCAAGAATTCTGATACATAAGGCTGCTGGAGGATTTCCAATGAGTGCAAGTCTTAATTGTTGCTTGGGCTGCAGCATTACTAATGCAAGGGATGCTGGTGTTCGCCATCTAATTCCAGAAGTCAAGCGTATTCATCAATGCAGTTAATTAACCCTCTGTGCACATATTAACTGGTTGCTGTAGCATTTAATGGCAAATCTACGGCAGCCCTTGGTTGCTGCAACAAGCATCTCCATCGTGGGCCCAAGGAAGGACTCCAACTGCTCACCTCCCAATTATCCTTGTTGATGCTCCAGGGCTTAAGCTGTCAAGGAAGCAGCTGCTCACTTGAGTCAGTTAAGCTCAAGCAGGAGAATAATGGCAGCAAATTGCCAGATAGCCAGATCACGAAGCTCTTTCATTAATGGGAGTGAGAGTAGGAGGCTCCCACAAGAGAAGCCACAGTCTTTTACAGGCGTATCCGGAATTACGATAATAATCATTCCGTCATCAGAGCAGGAAGAGGAAAGCCAACCGTTCAGGTGGTTCCTTCACGTGAGAGGAACCAGCTCCAAGCACAGGACCTGGAACAGCATCACTCCGCACAAGCCTAGCACCGTCTCTCAAGGACTCTGGTCCAAAGCCTGCCCATCCGAGCCCTGACATCAGAAGAGGCCACAGTGGTCAGCATCCCACACAAGTTGGGTAGTGGAGAGTTGTACGAGGAGTTGCTAGTCTGGCATAGAGGCCAACTGTGTTAATATTTTTGTACTTTAATTCTGGGAAAGCTAAAATTTCAAAATAAGCTAATTATCCCTCTCTGTAATTTACTTGGTAAATTCCTATCAAGGGACATGTTTTGACCTGATGGTTACATACACAGATGTCATGTTATCCAGTTTGATGTACACAGCATTACACAAGGCTCAGAAAAGGAGTAACAAACAGCTAAAGAAATAAAAGTATGACATTAAAATAGGAAGTGGTATATGGGAAAATCCCATTTATCCACAGCTGTCTTCATTTCTTCCAAACTTTTAATTTATCAGAAAAAGACCATATACTACTCTTAACTTTCTCCCTGATGTGGCATGCCTTAAAATTACTCCATCCATTATTTTCTTTAGTAAACATTAAGCAATATTTCCCTTACTTCAGCAACTTCCAGCTGTATGGACTTCAACTGCTAGAATCCTCACCAATACCCCTTACTGCTATGGAATTCTGGGATTTGAAGTTCATTTAGCTAGAAGTGGCTAAGGTTGGGCTACTGCTACAGTGGCACCAGGATCATTACAGTTACATTAAAGTCACAGTAGTCTGTCTTCTCTCGTTACAGTTTATCAATAACCTGCATTGGTTATCCATTTTCTCTGCCAAAATAGTTGTCTTGGTCTTTGATAGATTAATCTCAGATTCAAGCTGCCTCTTGTATCACACAACCTAACATTTGCCACAGATCATTTGGGTTCTTAGATGCACACACAAATACAGACCAATTCACATCTTCAATCAACACACCCCTAATGCACAATCAGTAAACATTCCTTGCACCTTTATCACCAAATCCATGAAATAACTAGCTTATGCCCGGTTTAGGGCTGAATTACGTATTCCAATATCCAGTTCCATAATTGTACAAAACCCAATTGAGGCCCACTTGGTCCTTTTATTGTACATTTCTCCTACATCAACATACATAACAATCGCTTCTCCTACAGGGGCGTTTCTTACTAACCTGCAAAACTCGTCTCTGTTTCCTGCCCAGCCTGAAGCCCCACAGCTACTAGCTCCGCTGCCAGTTGCCACTGCTTTACCATGATAGTTTAAAAATTAGCTGACTTACAGAAATGCAATAAGAAACAAAATAAATTTTAGAGAGAAAAAATCGATTAATTGAAAATAAAAACATTCCCACTGGGGATTTTTCTTAAAAAGTCATTTTTCAATAAACAAGTTTATTTAAAAGGGGGCATTTTGCTGAGGGGGGATGTTTAATGTCCCTACAGGGATGGCCTTGGCCAGGCTGTCCATGGGCTCTGAAGCTAACGGAGGTTAGAGCATCATGCCATGCGGTGTTTGCCCTCCTGAGATTTTACTCAGAGACTTACAGTAGTTCAATCTTCTGCTCCCTCCAGAGTTGCCGAATGGAGCCTGCGGGGCTGACAGGATGAAATAGAAACTTAGTGAGTATTAAAGTTAAGCAATCCTTTCTGAAAGAAGGCTGAAATCAGGCTTCCTTCGAAATCTCCTTTCCGTATAACATTTCCTGATCCAGATTTTTTTTTTTTTAATGCAGAAGAGACTCCCTCTCAATTTCTATAAAATGCTTGTTGTAATGAGTTCGCTTGGCCACAAGATGTCAGGATGGTCTTGCCGGTAGTCAAGAAGAATGACCTGGCCTTCAAGACTGACCTGCCTGAGATCAGTAGAGAAATGTCTCCTTCCTTCCTTCCTTTCGCATCATTTTACCTAATGCTGCTGGCACCCCAGAGACCATCATCCTCTCCTTCCCCCTCTCTCCCATCTGGCATGTGAGGAGTGCTGCCAAAGGCAAATGGCCCTGAAAAGCAGGGGGTGGGCACCTGGGTGGGTGGGGGTTTGGAGAAGGGTGTGTGTGTGTGTGTATGTATGAGAGAGAGAGAGAGAGACTGTGTGTGTGTGTGTGAGAGAGAGAGAGGGGGGGGGAGAGAGAGAGAGAGAGGAGGCCTCAAGCCCCTCAACCTGCCTGGGAATGGCTCGCTAACAGGCCCAGGCTTGGCCCGAACTATGTGTGTGTGTGTTGGAGGCAGAAAAACACACTTGTGGAGGTAAGCGGGCAGAAAGTCACCAGGCTGACGGGGGAGGGATGCCCAGCTGAAGGAATAGATCAGACCTTCATGAGGGATGATCCTCCACTCCCTTCCACGTTTATATTTCCTGCTTTGCAAAAGTTGTGATCATGCAGATTTTTTGCAGAAGTGAAAATAGAATGGGATTATAAGGTTTGTTCACTGAAAGCCTGTGAATGCTCTCTACATCTACATTTTTTTCCCTGTGAAAGCAGAAGTTTCTGGCCACGGCAGAGACCATCACACAACTTATTTGCAGCAATTTTACTTACATTTGCCAAAGTAAGTTTTTAGTGTGTTTTCCAAGAGATCTTCCTGCAAATATAGCAATTTTTGTATACTTTAATACATTTTATCCACCGAAGCAACTTTTATTCCCTTCTGTTCAGTCACGTTTTCCTGGACACGTTTTCTTGGCAAGGTTTTTCAGAAATGATTGCCATTGCCTCCTTCCTAGGGCTGAGAAAAAGTGACTGGCCCAAGATCACCCAGCAGTCTTCATGCCCAACATGAGAGTCTCCTGATTTCTTAACCTTAACCACTACACCAAATTAACTCTCAAAGTACTTTTTAAAAACTATAAAGATTGACACCCCCATAAATTGGGGCAACTTCATTAGATTGGGTTTTGAAAAGATTTTATATGTAGAGTAATATACTTCATGGGAATCTTACATTTCTTAAAGCCCAGGCCCAAAGTCACCTACGAGGTCACCCAGCAAATGAGTCTGTTTTTCTTCCTTGGCCTACCAAGGCCTTCCAGCCTGGCCAGGAGACCAATTCTCCTCGATGATGTTGGGGAGGATATGGCTAAACCATTGAGAGAGCTTTGTAAAGAAATCTTACAGTAACTGAATTGGCCTGACCTTTCCTTACCTAGCAGAGTCTGCTACATGATGTCCAATCTGCAAAATCTGGGCATAATCCCTCAAAGCACTTCATTACACTGACCTTCAACTTGATGGCACCCCTTTATCTCTGTTTGGAAATAGGAGCATTTGGGAATTTACCCATCTGAGGACCGCCTGACTGAGGGAGGCAGGGGGGCTTCAGGACAAGCCTGACTTGGGAAACCCAGGGTGAGTCACCCAGCCCTTGCCACACACACACACCGGCAGGCCATGTGGAAGCACCATGGATGCCTGAAACGGAGTGACTCACTGTGAGCTGAGAGCCTCTGCAACTGAATTAAATGGGGAAGAACTTCTAGAATTTTTTCATTGTGAAACTGGGCCCCTTGAAGGTTTGAATGCCAGCAGCAGGCCTGGGGCAAAGTTTAGAGGCATTTTTTACTATAACTATCTCATCCTCCAATTGCACCACAATTTCTGTCTTACTCAAACTTTGGAATTCCCACTAGCATTTACACTTATTCACGCCCAGCTCACCCCATGGTACTCAGCTCTTCACTATCATAATAGACTTCCTCTTTCTTTTGCTTATGGGTCAGGCTTGCTAAAACTGCACAACCGAAATATTGTGTGATGACCACACCAGTCTCCCATTTACCTGTAAGTTTTACCAGGACTCTGGTGCAAGAATCCCAGACTCTCAAGTCCTGGCCTGCATAGCTCAGCCAGCTCCACCCTCCAGGTGGGATTCACATCCTCCCATTATTCTGAATCCCCTGGTGCTGTGGGAGGCTCAGCACTGCTGCTTTTCCTATGGAAGGGAGTTGCCGCCCTTGAGAGGGTGGTGAGCTGGATTGCAGCCTTTCGGTAAAATTCACATCCAGAGGATGGCACTGGAAGACTGAATAGGAGCTGTGGTGGCGCAGTGGTTAGAATTCAGCATTGCAGGCAAATTCTGCCCACTACCAGGAGTTCGATCCCAACAAGACTCAAGGTTGACTCAGTCTTCCATCCTTCTCAGGTTGTTAAAATGAGGACCCAGATTGTTGGGGGAAATATGCTGACATTTGTAAACCTCTCAATGCCATAGAGTGCTATGGGGCGGTATATAAGTGCTATTGCTATATTCTGAATATCCTAACCCAGGCCATTCTCTACAAGGGGGTGCAATTGGGAATGATGTAACCAGTGTTCGTAATTTAGGTTTTGATATATTTGTACTTCTGCTATTTTAACAGAAATACCCTGAAAGGGGATCAGATGGGGCAAGACAGCAAATTCAAGCAGGTGAAGGAAGTTAGAGCAGCTAATTGAAAACTGTGTATTAGTTAATTTAATTAATAATTAAAAAATACTAGAATGTGAAAATGGACAGACTTACTTTGAAGTTGAAGGAAAAAGAAGAAACAGGATATTTTCAAACTTGGGACTTATTTTATCAATGGCTGGAGAAAAGAATAAGGGATTAGGAATCCAATTTGTATTCGTGAATGATAAACTCAGACAACATGTTTGTTGAACAAGTACTTTTGAACTGTATGAAAAAAATCATAAAACTTTTTTTTTAAAAGAAAGAAAACTATGTATTAGTTTCACTCTGCAAAATAGTCTTTTAGTAAGAAGATGATGATGATAAACCTCTCCACCTTCCAAGGTGCTTATGGGTAGAAGTGGTGAATACTGAAGTCAGCAACTAACAGACTTGTTATTTGGGCAGATTTTGTGGTGCAAATCCCGTCTCCCCTTTCCTTTCCTTTCCTTTCCTTTCCTTTCCTTTCCTTTCCTTCTCCCTTCTGCATTTCATTAAATGTGGAGGAATTATTTGCTTGGCCCAGCTGGCAGTTGTATGGACAGTTAAATAAATTCTTTACATAAACGTTCAGGCAGAGAGTGAATCCCTGGCTGTTGTGGATTCTGACGGGGGGGGGGAAGGGGGGTTGGCGGACCTCTTTGCCAGGAAAAGAAACGTGAATATCAAAGTCTCCCGTGAGTTTCAGAAACGGAGAAACTCCGAGGAAACTCCCTGCCACAGTAAACGGAGGAACCATTTCAAAGGGAAATAAAGAAAACCCCGGTCAGAAAGATGAAGGAGGCTTCCCATTCTATGGCCGCCACCGCTCTCGGCTCCCTCATGTGTTTCGGTGCGGTCGGTTCTGCAAAGCCTGGCCAGATAACACCCTCCGTCGCCCCCCCCCCCCCGTGGCCTTTTCTACCTCCAGCCCAGCTCTGATTCTGTTTGCGCTCCTGAACTTCTGCTTTCGCCAGGAAATAAGCGCGGCTGCCTAGTCAAATGAGTAAAGGGGGGGGGGAGTTGTCGAAAGCCGCTTTCCCTTTCTTGCTTAGACGTGCAACCAGCTCAGGACAAAACTTGCACAGGTATGTCCGAATTTGCCCTCCTTGGGGGTCTTCAGAAATTGCTGTCTCTGTAAGGCTTGTAGAGTTGCCTCCAAATCAAAGGTTTGGAAAGAAGCTGGTATTGCTGTGTAAAACGAGACGCGTGGTTTTGTGCTGTTATCTGGGAGGGGCTGAAATTGTTAAGTTCTTTGGAGTTGGGAAAAATCACTGGTGCTGTTGGCCCAACCGGCTGTGTTTGGACCTGTGCCCCTTCTGCGTGGTCAAAGCCCCTGGAGTAGGGAAGTGTGTGGTTGTGCTCTGCTTAGCCTCTCTGTGAGAGAGGGGGCCTTGGTGAGAAAGTGGTGGGAATGTATCTCTGAAGGGCCCAGCGCTAGGCCCGGCCCCACCGCTCTCTCCTGCATCCATACTGCACCCAGGCCTGTGTCCGGTGCTGGTCCCCACCATACAAAAAAGATGCGGAGGCCCCAGGAAGAGTGTGGAGAAGAGCAACAGAGATGATTGGGTGGGTCTGGAGGCTAAACTGTGTGATGAATGGTTGTGGGAACTAGGTATGTCTCTAGTCTAATGATGAGAAGGATTGGGGGGACATGATAACAGCCTTCCGGTACTTGAGGGGCCATCCACAGACGAGGTCCACCCATTCTCCAATGCACCTGAAGACTGGACAAGGCCATTTGTCTGAAATGGTATAGGGTTTCCTACCTGAGCAGGGGGTTGGACTAGATGACCTCCAGGGTCCCTTCCAACTTTATTGTTATTACTACTACTACTACTACTAGTACTAGTACTAGTACTACTAGTACTACTAGTACTACTACTAAGCAATGGATGGAGTCCGGTCTGCAAGATCTTTAGAACATGCCTGGGATAAAATTAAACTTCGGCTATGCTTCTTCTCAGTTGCACTAAAATGTGTTAGGTGGAAACCATGATTTATCAAGCCATAATGGTATTCATGGCCTATCTGATGATGAGTCGGGCCTATGAAAGACTAAGACTTGACTTGGAAAAAGAAAGGGGAAGGCCATACAGAACTAGCTCAGAATGAAACTAATCTTATCAAGTGGGTGGGTGCAAGCACTCATGGAAACAGAACTATTTCTAAGTATTAAATATATATACAGTATATGTTGCAAAGTTTTTCAGAAGTGTTTTGCCATTGCCTCCTGCCTGAGGCCAAGAGAAAGTGACTGGCCCATGGTCACCCAATTGGCTTTGTGCCCAAGATGGGGCCAGAACTCATGGTCATCCGGTCTCTGGCCTGACGCCTTAACTTCTGCACCCAACAGGCCCTCAGTTATTATATGCGGTTATTATCTTTATATGCCAGGCAAAGGAATGTTGTGGGAAACCCTCTCTGAAACTTTGGCCTTTGAAAGATGGCCACAGTGTGGCTGCTTCCCCACCCTCCAAGGTCCCTTTCCTGCTCAGAAACAGCCCACTGCCAAGTTTAGATAGCACCAAAGTTTGTTTTAATTAGGAATGAAAGCAGCTTAATGCCTTAGATACATGAAGATCATGTGAAGTGTTGATACTGCTTTATACTGCACTGGTGAGGACACACTTGGAATACTATGTCCAGCTTTGGTCACTATGATTAAAAAAAAACATGTTGAGACTCTAGAAAGAGTGCAGAAAAGAGCAACAAAGATGATTAGACTTCTGGAGGCAAAACTGTACGATGACCAGTTGTGGGAAGTAGGTATATCTAGCCTGTCAAAGAGAAGGATTAGGGCTGTCATGATAGCTGTCTTTCAATGCTTGAGGGGCTGTCGCAGAGGAGAGGGGTTGGCCTCTTCTCCAAAGTACCTGGTGGAAGCAAGCTGGAAGATTATTAAAGACAGGTCCAACCTATAACTAAGAAGAAATTTCCTGACAGAACAATTAACCAGTGGAACGGCTGGCCTCCAGAAGTTGTGGGTTCTCCGTCACTGAAGGTCTCCAAAAAGAGACTGACAGTCATTTATCCAGAATGGTATAGGCTTTCTTGCCATGGGCAAGGGGTTGGATTGAAGACCTCCAAGGTCCCTTCCAATTCTGTTATTCTATGTTTTTGTTCTATTTTCTTCCAGATCCTGGCCAAAGCATGGAACCTGTGCTAGAGCTTCCAAAACCACCGGAAGAGAAAGCGGATTCACCAGAGGAGCATGGAAGCCAGGATCCCAGCCTTCCCGAAGGAGGCAATGGGACAGCAGCCAAAGCGCAGCCTTCACACCGTAGCAAAGAGCCTCCATGCCAGCAGCTCCCCTTCCGACCGGAGACCCTGGACCAGCAGGTCTTGGAGTACATGGAGGCGGCTCTTTTCTTGAGTCCAGAAGAACAGCAGAGACGATGGCTTTCCATTCTGACCACTTTTCTGAAGGTTAGTTGGATTTCACATTATATACTGGATATTTTCAATAGGAGGAAGTCCAGCTGATACCCATAGAAAAAGAAAAGAAAAGAAAGAAAGGAAATGGCCTACCTGAAAAGGCATCAGGGAAGGTGCTTCCGCTCTACTTCCAGGCAGAAACAGCGGCCGTTTTCAGGTTGTGAGTCAGCGGCATTCAGGGGATTCTTTAGGAACTGCCTGGTGAGACAAGGACGCGTACAGAGGCACCCCCAGGAGTCTTGGAAAAGGCTCAGCCAGGAGAGGAAGCTGAAGCTGCTTGAAGGAGCACTGAAGAATGTCTTTAAATACCTCTCGTTTCCACTCTATGCTTGGGGGTCTCTCACTTCCACCTTTTGATGTTTCATTATTTTTTTTCTTTATTTACTTTTTTAAAAGGGCAACATTCAGACTTCTTAAACAGAATGTGCCTCTGTGAAGGGACATAAATTTACTTAACCCGTGATTTGTGCTATGGAAGTGTCAACCTTTTGCTGAGGTGAAGCCGAAAACCACAGATTTTTGAGTCAGCTACATTTGATTATAAACTTAATCTTTTATCAGTTGTTCCCGTTAGATTGTTTTTGGGATAACGGTATGATTATGGCAGCTAAGTTGTTGAGGATCATGCAAACTCAGATTCATAACACCCCCGAGGCATTTTTGGTACAAATGATGCCCTGGATCAGATGGAGGTGAATGGGGGATTGTTGTTAAGTGTTCATTACAGAATGCAGCAATGTTGCTTAACTGTGGCTGCTAATTAGCAATGAGGGGCAGCAATGTGAACCCCATCGGCCTGAGCTCTGCTTTGCTAGCAGTCACTGACTAACTTCCAGATTCTTCTTTGTACAAGCGCTTTAAGCAAAGTTCCTTAAATCCAGGATGCACCTAAGAGAACTCTGCACCTAGTTGACAGCACAGAGGCTTCTTGTACTGCTATCATTTCAGAATAGTTCTCCTTTTCCTTGATCTGATTTGTGATGATTTAGCTTTGGTATTTTTCTGTTGTAATCCATTGTATTTCTATACTGGTGGCTCATAACCAAAAACCAACCTATAAAAGTACAACTGACCAGAACAGCAAATGTATTGGGAGTCATTTGCCTAGAAAATAACAAAGTAAGTAAGTGTTAGGGCATATTTTAATCAACACCCAACGTATGTGGAAGAATGGAACTGCACGTCTCTTTATTGTCCACTAGTTCAAAGCGGCTTGATGGACATACGCCTTGTGAGCTACAGATCTCCAAAGGTTGCAGAGAAGGACGGGGCCTCCTCAGCTTCCTTTAAGCTGAGAGGAAGCCCCTGAGAGGTGGAAAGCAGCCATTGGGACAATCCAGTCCTGAGTAGGGCTGTCCAACTGAAGATGCCAGTTCGGAAGAGCTAGCTGGCTTCTCTAGCTGGCCCCAGGAAGGTCCATTCTGGAAGGTGCCGGGGGTGCAGTAGTTGTTAGAAGGCCATGGTAGTTATCCTATATTCCTCAAAAAAGGACAGTCCTGAATGTGAGAAGCTTCCAGCTAAGAACAAAAACCAGTCAGTTGAAAAAAATCATTCTGATAGGGGAAATTACCCAGTCAATGCATTGAATGTCATTTTTTTTCCTGACATTTTAAAAAAAATTGCTTTAGGCCTGGGAGCGGTCAGACGGCGGTATCTGTTTTCCAAATATCCCGCTTTTAGCGAGTGAAACTTCCAGTTTTCTGGTGAAAGAAATCAAGAAGAAAATGAATGGAAATCCAACAGGTGAGCCTCTTTCACGTATTTAACCTGCAGCCCTCTCTCTGCTTTCTGACTTAGCTTATTGCTGAAAAGATCTGTGCCAACCGTGCCCAGCAGACATTAAAAACTCTTTGTCTTTCTAAGCTCTGTTCTGTTCAGGCCAGGCCAGGATGCCGGTTCACTCCTTTAAGGCACGATGGAGTGAATGACGAGGATGCGGAATGGGAGGATTCTATAAAAATTGTAAGCGGCCACAGACTAATAGCTAAAACAGGGCAAGATTAATACTGTACTAGGTATGACTGCAGGGAAAATATCCAGAGCTGGCAAGGAGCCTGGAAATTAGGCTGCTTTCCTAGAACTGCTGCAGTTTAGTAGCCACTTTATACAGCAGTTATTTCTAGCCTGTATTGTATGGATTTCTATAGGGCACATGCAGAGTAACGATGTTCTGCAGCTGTGCCGTATCCTGCTTGTCTGGAGTGCATCCTCACTGGCACCTCTGCCGTCCGCTGACCCTCTCCTTCCTTTCTTGCATGGGGTGAACTTTGGCTGTCGCAAGAACAGAAGCCGCTGGACCACTTGTGTGGCAATTTCTGCAGTGGAAGGGGGAGCTGGATTCTGACGGTTACCTGCTGCTTAAATCAATCTACCTGCTTTCGCTGTACAGCTCGGTAAGAGAAGGACGTTCTCTCTGGTTCAGGCGTTCGTGCGGTTCAAACGTTGGCCCCAAGCCTGCCTGGATGCTGCGTTCACTCCTCGGACTCGGATCTAATCAAACCTTTATTATGGTGATAGACCAGCATAGGAAGGGTGGGTGGTCAATTAACAAGCGTAGAATCTACATCAGAGTCTAAAAACATTATGAAAAATGGAAGATATAAAAATGTATATATCAAAACATAAGGCAACTATATAAAAAGCACGAGTCGAAAAGAATGTAAAAGGATTGCTGGGAGCGCTAGATGGGTGAAGGGGAGCATAGAGGCTCAGGTGAGGAAGACCGTCTCCCTCGCCCCATATAACAGGGGAAGCCAGAGGCTCATGAAGTCTACTTTAAGACACAGGTCATCACCCGACAGACTTTAAGTGCTGTGGTGCAGAATCAGCCAACACGTGCATGTCGTAGCAGAGACTGAAAGCAGCCCATTTGACCGGTGTGTCCTGGCTATTTATGCAGTCATGGTGGGATGAGGCTCCAGCCCTGGAGAAGGAGGTGCTTTGTTGTCTATAGAGATCCTCCGTTCTCGTCCAGGTCAGGGTTGTCCCAAAGGCACATTTTCAAGAGGCAGCTGGACTTTCTTGGTGTTTTTCTTTTTTCCTTGAAAAATCACTTTTTTGCTTCTAATCCAAGAAGCTTCTTCAGTTCTGAAGAGCAAAACTATTGGCTTGACACTGAGTCCTGCAGATATATCGTGGCCACCTTTTGCCCTGAGGAATATAAGGATGTGTATTTTCAACAACAACAGTCTCTGTGGGCTTTCCTGCTGCTGGCACAATGGAGGATTAACTCCCCAGGTGTTTGAAACAAGAGACCTGCTCAGTCTTATGGCCATCGATGCTCCAGAAATGACTCTTGGGACTGGGGGCAAAAGCCAGGATTTTAGCTTTCTGCCAACTGAGTGCCAGCTTGTCTTCCATTCGTTACTGAGAGCTCTTTGAAGACCAGCAGGTGCTCTCACAGGCACAGCTGCCTCGGCTGTGCAGAGTAGGGCAGAGCTGAGCCTTCTGGGTGACTGCTAGGGAGTCGAGAGGACGGGGGACAATATATAAGCCACCGGGCATTTCCACACCATGGAGGAGCTTTAAGTGCCAGTTGTCCAAATTACTTCAATGGTCCCGTCTGTTTTGGAGAATAAGAGAACCCAATGAACAGCAAGTCACTTCAGTTTAAGCACATTCCAGGAAGGTACAAAACTTTTAAGATTATGCATGTGATTTATTTATTTTTTGCCCATACATAAATGTGTATTTTTTTATTCTAGAGTTTATTGGATTCCTGTTGGGATAATGAGTGGTGATTTGGATGTTTAAACACTCAGAATACCAAACAAGTTCAGGCCAGCAGCTCTGAGAATGAGAAGCTACTAGTCTGGGGTGGAATTTTTTTTTTAAAAAAGTCAGATAAGTCAGGACAGGAAACCCAGAAACAAAGAGGGAAGAAGAGGTAAGTAACCGAAGGAAAGAGAGAAGTAGGTGGACACCAAACTTTGGAAAAGCTGCAAGAGGGAATCAATAAACAAGTCCTAGAAGAATCACAGCGAACCCCTTTTCTCACCGGTCTTGCTCCCCCCCCCTAAAAATGTTCTCTGGGCAAGTTCTGAAATGAGGACCAAACATTGTATTTATTTTCTTTGGGGCAGGAACAGGAACTCCGGTGGAATATGATCAAGTCTGGGTTGCCTGTGACGTTGCTGCAGTGCCTGCACCTCTTCTTTGTGTCTCCCCCGGAGGCGGCTCCTGGTGACAGGGAGGAGCATCAGGGCTCATGGAAGACCCAGGACATGTTGGTGCAGGTGGGCGGCCATCGCTGGGCCTTCAGGGGCCTTGACCCACAAATAAACAGATTAGAAACAGAAGTTTTGTTCTTTTTAATAAATAAATAAATAAATCCAGGATTTGTTTGGCAAGTTTTGTTTGACACAAATAGTATTGTTGTTCTTGTTTACTTTTAGACGATGATCAACATTTATGCAGAAAAACAAGGAGTGGAGATGCTTCTTATGTCTGGTCATCTTAAATCTTTAATCATAGCAAGATCCTCTCTCTGGGACCGAAGCAGCCCTGGGTGGAAACAGTCCGTAAGCCAAGTGCTCCAAACGATTTCAGAGGCCCTTTCTACAACCACAATTTCATACCTGCAAGGTAACTGGCCCCAGTTTCCCCTGTCCTCAGTTTGGGCGTGCCTGCATGGGGCTCCTGGTCCTTGGCTCAAAGCACACGGTACGCTTAATGAGCTGGGGGGGGGCTGGTCAGGACACATTCGTTTGGATTCTTCATAATTACCATAATGACTCTTTGGTTTCTAGTGGAGCACAACTGAATTCCCTCTCTCCTTTCAATCCACTGTCCTCTCTGTTTTGCAATATGTGTTTTTTCTTTCCTTAAATGCGCAGGTCCTGTTTTACCGGCAAGACCCTGATCATTATTTCTAAATTTTCTGTCCAAAACATCTTCTGTGCCTCTTGCTTGTGACTGTTACTTTCATTACAGAGAAAGCTGGACGATATTCCCTATGGAAGCTGCTTCAGTTATCAGTTCGCCTTTTACCTTGTATTCTGCTCTTTGAATTGATAAAAGACTTTAAAAAAAATTAAAAAAAAATCATCAGCTAAAATGTAGCCAGTTTTGGTGGTCATTTTCTTCAAGGACTGTTCATCTTCTCTTGCTGGTTGACAGTTGGTGTTATTTTTTCTTTAAACTTGTGCTGCTGTCCAACTTTTAATAGAGTTCTGATTACAATAATCCAATTTGAGTAATCTAGCAGGTTGCAGATCCTTTGACTGGATCCAGTAAGGCTCTGGTTATATTCTTACACTTATCCTTTCTTGATTTAAACATTATTTTTTCCAGGAGTTCAGAAGTTGTAGGTCATATTTTGGTATGTATGAAGCTTAACATAAATTAATATTATGGTGCCAGAAGAATAAGTAGAAATTTCTACACAACAGTGATGATGATGACTACAATCTTACATGTGGTGGTTACTTCTTATGTGCAATACTTTTCTATCTACAGATTGCATCAAAACTTCTATTCACAATTTGTCAGAACTTGATGATTCCCTGCCTACTTGGGAAGTATGTGAATCCATCAATATTATCCTGCATTTTGTGAGGAATTCCTACCCAATTTCCCCAACCTTGCTTCTGGAGTATGAGAACAATGGAGGGCACCAGCTGCTGTTGAATTTTTTTTTAAGGCAAGTCAATTGATAGCATAGTGGCTGCCTAGATATGACACTGACAGATTTTTGTCTTACTGTTTTGTTTGGGGGGGAGGGGAAAATACTTTCTAGTACCTTTTAACATTCATACACCCTTGTAAATGCACATTTCTTTAAAGTGATGGAATTGAGGTGTTAAACCATTCTCGACAAAGACTACAATAACATGTTGTACCTAAAATGCAAATTATTCAGTTTTCTTGTATGGACTTTCCTTTTTAACACTGGACAATTTTTCTTCAGGGATAGGCTTATATAACTTTGTCCCACATGTCTTGCAAACATAAATCAAAGCTTGCAGCTTTTTCTAGACATGTTTGTCCTGTTCAGGACAGAACAAAAGAACACAACTATTCGTAGTATCAATAGATCAATAACTGTAGGCTCAGTCCTTGCTAAAGCTGAGCAGTGCCCATATTGAGATTTTCCTGTCGTTCCCCCCACACCTCCAGTGAACTTTCCTAATGCAGCACTAAATGGAATAGTTTACCTCCTGGGGTTGTGGATGCTCCATCACTGGAGGTTTTCAAAAATAGATTGAACAACCATTTGACTAGGATAGTAGTAGAATTTTCCTCCAATGGGATTTTACCATGTATTTTACCAGGAAACATAGATAGGGCAGGCTACAAAAGTCAGTGCCCCCCTAACCATACCCAAGCACTCCGAATTTTTCGGCAATGTTCATTTTGCTCTCCGCCTTCATGGTGACCTAACCGTAACCCTAAGTGGAATTTTCCTCCAATGCGATTTTCCCATGTATTTTACCAGGAAACATAGATAGGGCAACCTAGAAAAGTCAGTGCCCCCCTAACCATACCCAAGCACTCCGAATTTGTTGGCAATGTCCATTTTGCTCTCCACCTTCATGGTGACCTAACCCTAAGTGGAATTTTCCTCCTATGGGATTTCCCCATGTATTTTACCAGGAAACATAAATAGTGCAGCCTAGAAAAATGAATGCCCTCCTAACCATACCGAAGCACTCCAAATTTGTTGGCAATGTCCATTTTGCTCTCCGCGTTCATGATGAACTAACCCTAACCCTAAGTGGAATTTTCCTCCTATGAGATTTTCCTATGTATTTTATCAGGAAAAAGAGATAGGGCAGGCTAGAAAAGTCAGTGCCCTCCTAACCACATCCAAGCACTCCAAACTTGTTGGCAATGTCCATTTTGCTCTCTGAGTTCATGGTGACCTAACCCTAACCCTAAGTGGAATTTTCCTCCAATGGGATTTTCCCATGTATTTTATCATGAAACATAGATAGGGCAGGCTAGAAAAGTCAGTGCCCTCCTAACCATACCCAAGCACTCTGAATTTGTTGGCAATGTCCATTTTGCTCTCCGCGTTCATGATGACCTAACCCTAACCCTAAGTGGAATTTTCCTCTTATGGGATTTTCCCATGTATTTTAACAGGAAACATAGATAGGGCAACCTAGAAAAGTCAATGCCCTCCTAAGCATACCTAAGCACTCCAAGTTTGTTGGCGATGTCCATTTTGCTCTCCGAGTTCATGATGACCTAACTCTAACCCTAAGTGGAATTTTTCTCCAATGGGGTTTTCCCATGTATTTTACCAGCAAACATAGATAGGGCAGGCTAGAAAAGTCAGTGCCCTCCCAACCATACCCAAACACTCCGAGTTTGTTGGCGATCTCTATTTTCCTCTCTGAGTTCATGGTGACCTAAGCCTAACCAAACGCTGAATTTTCCTCCTATGGGATTTTCCCATGTACTTTACAATGAAACATAGATAGGGCAGCCGAGAAAAGTCAGTGCCCTCCTAACCATACCCAAGCACTCCGAATTTGTTGGCAATGTCCATTTTGCTCTCCGAGTTCATAGTGACCTAACCCTAACCCTAAGTGGAATTTTCCTCCTATGGGATTTTCCCATGTATTTTAACAGGAAACATAGATAGGGCAGGTTAGAAAAGTCAGTGCCCTCCCAAACATACCCAAGCACTCCGAATTTGTTGGCGATGTCCATTTTCCTCTCCGAGTTCATGGTGACCTAACCCTAACCCTAAGTGGAATTTTCCTCCTATGGGATTTTCCCATGTATTTTACGATGAAACATAGATAGGGCAGCCTAGAAAAGTCAATGCCCCCCTAACCATACCCAAGCACTCCGAATTTGTTGGCAATGTCCATTTTGCTCTCCGCGTTCATGATGATCTAACCCTAACCCTAAGTGGAATTTTCCTCCAATGCGATTTTCCCATGTATTTTACAAGGAAACATAGATAGGGCAACCTAGAAAAGTCAGTACCCTCCTAAGCATACCTAAGCACTCCAAGTTTGTTGGCGATGTCCATTTTGCTCTCCGAGTTCATAGTGACCTAACCCTAACCCTAAGTGGAATTTTCCTCCTATGGGATTTTCCCATGTATTTTAACAGGAAACATAGATAGGGCAGCCTAGAAAAGTCAATGCCCTCCTAACCATACCCAAGCACTCCGAATTTGTTGGCAATGTCCATTTTGCTCTCTGAGTTCATGGTGACCTAACCCTAACCCTAAGTGGAATTTTCCTCCTATGGGATTTTCCCATGTATTTTAACAGGAAACATAGATAGGGCAGCCTAGAAAAGTCAATGCCCTCCTAACCATACCCAAGCACTCCAAACTTGTTGGCAATGTCCATTTTGCTCTCTGAGTTCATGGTGACCTAACCCTAACCCTAAGTGGAATTTTCCTCCAATGGGATTTTCCCATGTATTTTATCATGAAACATAGATAGGGCAGGCTAGAAAAGTCAGTGCCCTCCTAACCATACCCAAGCACTCTGAATTTGTTGGCAATGTCCATTTTGCTCTCCGCGTTCATGATGACCTAACCCTAACCCTAAGTGGAATTTTCCTCTTATGGGATTTTCCCATGTATTTTAACAGGAAACATAGATAGGGCAACCTAGAAAAGTCAATGCCCTCCTAAGCATACCTAAGCACTCCAAGTTTGTTGGCGATGTCCATTTTGCTCTCCGAGTTCATGATGACCTAACTCTAACCCTAAGTGGAATTTTTCTCCAATGGGGTTTTCCCATGTATTTTACCAGCAAACATAGATAGGGCAGGCTAGAAAAGTCAGTGCCCTCCCAACCATACCCAAACACTCCGAGTTTGTTGGCGATCTCTATTTTCCTCTCTGAGTTCATGGTGACCTAAGCCTAACCAAACGCTGAATTTTCCTCCTATGGGATTTTCCCATGTACTTTACAATGAAACATAGATAGGGCAGCCGAGAAAAGTCAGTGCCCTCCTAACCATACCCAAGCACTCCGAATTTGTTGGCAATGTCCATTTTGCTCTCCGAGTTCATAGTGACCTAACCCTAACCCTAAGTGGAATTTTCCTCCTATGGGATTTTCCCATGTATTTTAACAGGAAACATAGATAGGGCAGGTTAGAAAAGTCAGTGCCCTCCCAAACATACCCAAGCACTCCGAATTTGTTGGCGATGTCCATTTTCCTCTCCGAGTTCATGGTGACCTAACCCTAACCCTAAGTGGAATTTTCCTCCTATGGGATTTTCCCATGTATTTTACGATGAAACATAGATAGGGCAGCCTAGAAAAGTCAATGCCCCCCTAACCATACCCAAGCACTCCGAATTTGTTGGCAATGTCCATTTTGCTCTCCGCGTTCATGATGATCTAACCCTAACCCTAAGTGGAATTTTCCTCCAATGCGATTTTCCCATGTATTTTACAAGGAAACATAGATAGGGCAACCTAGAAAAGTCAGTACCCTCCTAAGCATACCTAAGCACTCCAAGTTTGTTGGCGATGTCCATTTTGCTCTCCGAGTTCATAGTGACCTAACCCTAACCCTAAGTGGAATTTTCCTCCTATGGGATTTTCCCATGTATTTTAACAGGAAACATAGATAGGGCAGCCTAGAAAAGTCAATGCCCTCCTAACCATACCCAAGCACTCCGAATTTGTTGGCAATCTCCATTTTGCTCTCCGAGTTCATGGTGACTTAACCCTAACCCTACGTGGAATTTTCCTCCTATGGGATTTTCCCATGTATTTTATCATGAAACTTAGATAGGGCAGGCTAGAAAAGTCAGTACCCTCCTAACCATACCCAAGCACTCCAAATTTGTTGGGAATGTCCATTTTGCTCTCTGAGTTCATGATGACCTAACCCTAACCCTAAGTGGAATTTTCCTCCAATGCGATTTTCCCATGTATTTTACCAGGAAACATAGATAGGGCAGTCTAGAAAAGTCAGTGCCCCCCTAACCATATCCAAGTACTTCGAATTTGTTGGCAATGTCCATTTTGCTCTGTGAGTTCATGGTGACCTAACCCTAACCCTAAGTGGAATTTTCCTCCTATGGGATTTTCCTATGTATTTTATCATGAAACATAGATAGGGCAGCCTAGAAAAGTTAATGCCCTCCTAATCATACCGAAGCACTCCAAATTTGTTGGCAATGTCCATTTTGCTCTACGCGTTCATGGTGACCTAACCCTAACCCTAAGTGGAATTTTCCTCCAAAGCGATTTTCCCATGTATTTTACCAGCAAACATAGATAGGGCAGCTTAGAAAGGTCAGTACCCTCCCAACCATAGCCAAGCACTCCGAGTTTGTTGGCGATGTCTATTTTCCTCTCTGAGTTCATGGTGACCTAAACCTAACCCAACGTTGAATTTTCCTCCTATGGGATTTTCCCATGTACTTTACGATGAAACATAGATAGGGCAGCCTAGAAAAGTCAGTACCCTCCTAACCATATCCAAGCACTCCGAATTTGTTGGCAATGTCCATTTTGCTCTCCGCGTTCATGATGACCTAACCCTAAACCTAAGTGGAATTTTCCTCCAATGCGATTTTCCCATGTATTTTACCAGGAAACATAGATAGGGCAGTCTAGAAAAGTCAGTGCCCTCCTAACCATACCCAAGCACTCTGAATTTGTTGGCAATGTCCATTTTGCTCTCAAAGTTCATGGTGACCTAACCCTAACCCTAAGTGGAATTTTCCTCCTATGGGATTTTCCCATGTATTTTATCATGAAAGATAGATAGGGCAGCCTAGAAAAGTCAGTGCCCCCCCAAACATACCCAAGCACTCCGAATTTGGTGGCAATGTCCATTTTGCTCTATGAGTTCATGGTGATGTAACTCTAACCCTAAGAGTCTCCTCCATTGAGAAGAGGGTTGGACTGGAAGACCTCTGAGGTCCCTTCAAGTTTGGTTATTGTATGATTTTTATGCTCTGTAATTGTATGCGAACTTATTCGTCTGCCAATTAATTCTTCCAGTTTTGTTTCCAGATATGAAGGGCCACTGGACAAAAAAGAGAATGCCAGCATCAAGGAGACGTTGGAGTTAGTGACACAACTGACCCTTTGTGGGGAAACTGAACTGAGTGTTTCACGCAATATTGTATATCCACAACTGCCACAGTTTGATGAGAAACAGCCTGTTTCTTCTGGTAAGGAACTCAGATAGGAGTGAGTTAGGACATTTCCGTCCATGACATGCACAGATATGAGAAAATATGTCAAAGATTTAAATTTTGCCTAATAAATGGAAGTGTGTGGGGGGGAAATGGCCAGTAATGCAGATATTAAAACAGTGCAATGTATTGGTGGGTTTCCTGACCGCAAATATGGCTATTCAAGAAATGCAACATAATTTTGTTTCAAGAGAATTAATATTTTACATTGCATTTACCTTTTCTGGTTTCATTGTTCGTTCTAAAATGTAAATTAAAAGCTGAATGCTTTAGGATAGACTTGAGCAGATATTTTTTTATTATTAAAAAGTGGTGATAAATAAAAATGATAACTCTGCCTGAAATGTTTATAAAAGTAAAAAAATGGGACATAAATTAAATATCCTTTATCTCTGTCACCAGTACCACCATGTACAAACATACTTCTAACTAAAGATTTCCAAATTCAATTAAATTCTTCTTTTTTTAAAAAAAAAATAAGATTATTGTGCAATTGAATAACAGCTTATAGAACTAGGTTGTATTTATTGAACATGTAAGAGCTGTGGGGGCGCTCTCGTTAGAATGCAGCATTGCAGGTTAATTCACTGCTCACTGCCAGCAGTTCGATTCTGACCGGCCCATGGTTGACTCAGACTTCCATCCTTCTGAGGTGGGTAAAATGAGAACTCAGATTGTTGGGTCCAGATCGGCTGGCTCTGTAAACTGCTTAGAGAGGGCTGTAAAGCCCTGTGAAGCGGTGTATAAGTCTAAGGGCCGTGGCTATTGCTCATAGTAAAGTGCAAAAGTACTTTTCTTCATGCTGTGTTTGAACAGAATATGGGCGGATGGGGAAATGTGCAGAGGGCGAACAAGAGAGGCACTGTGAGGCCCCCTTGAAAAGGATGTGCAGGCTTCACCTGGGAAGATTAAAGATGGCCATCAGGACGGCCTCATGGAAGACAGACGATCCCTGTTTTCTGCTCTAGACATCTATACTAAGACAAACAGCTGCAATATAACATGTTTTCCTAGATTTAGCACAAGGAAGGGAGCAACAATGATTTAAAAACTATTACAGAAATTGTTGATAGGATTATTGTTTTCACAGGAAAAAGAATAAGGAACCTGAAAGCTTTTCAGGTACTAGAACTGCTTTTTCAGAAATCCAACAACCCAAATCTCTGCCAGTACGTTTTGCACGTACTGAAATCCATCTGGATGTGGGACCCCATGAATTTCTTCCTGCTTGAGTGGTCTCTGCAGCCCATCTGCCAGTTTGTGGGGGTCATCCCTCTCAAGCCCTTCCTGGTCCAGGTTCAGTTCTTCCAGCTGGTGGAGTCGGTGGTGGTGGACCTGTCTTATATCCCTCATGAGATCTTGAAGAAGGTTCAGTGTTTGGTCAACGAGAAGGCTGATCCCATATGCGCCTCGCTTGCCTTGGGCTGCCTCCACAGTGTCACACAGAGAGACCCCCTCTTGACGGACATCTTCCGAGATTCAGGACTTTTAGGAATGCTGCTTGTTCAATTGCGTAAAGAAGCCAAAAGACTGATAAAGAAAGGTATCTTTTATGCATACATACATACATACATACATACAAAAATAAAAATGTGCTTTTCTAAATCTTTTCCAAACTCTTCAGGCTGGGAATGGATTGACATCAGCTCCACCCCTTTCTCTGGTTGCCTGTGGTCTTCAGTAGCCCCTTCTGAAATTTATGTTTGCCTTAGGGACCCCAAATTTAGCTGCAACTCATGCTTGGGCCATCTGTCCCGCAGGATGTGCTGCTTCCTCCTGCTGGACCTTCTTTTAGTGCCCGCAGAAGTTGACATCTTTTCAGGGTTTTTTTAGGAGAACAACATTTTTGCTCAGAGAAACTCTTGTCTCCTTCTCCTTTCCCTCCACCATTCACAGCACATAAGCAGCTTTCTGAGATTCTATCTGCTCAGAGCTTCATTGGAACCTTCCCCCACACTTTCCTCATACTTTTGTTATTTTCCCACAACCCCCCAATAGGTTCCATTTTAGCTTCACCCCTCCACGCCCCCCAATCTCTTTAACCAAATCCTGGCGCTTTTTTCCCCCACACTGTCCAGCTTCCAAAGCTGTGGCGTCTCCTCATCTCTGAGACAGCTGGTCCAAGTGAGCTCTGTCATTCTGAGAATTTATTTCCCGTGTGTAGAAAGGACAACCATCTGTACATAGTGCTACTCATGAGGAAATCAACCTGGTTTCTTGTCATGCAGGAAGCATCCAAGCAGGTCCTCAGGTGTCGGAAGTGGAGGAACTCCTCAAAATGATGCTGAAGATGACGGCCGCTCTGGTGGTGGGATCTGTGAGGAACACAGGTAAAGAAAAAAAGAAAAAGAACCAGCCCAGCTTCATGGGCCACCAGGTGAGGGTTGCAGGGGATTAGTTCGTAAGAGACTTCATCCGTTGCTTCCTCTGTTGAGCCTGAAGCCAGCGGATGGTCCAATCAGCTGGCAGATACTTGGTTTCCTAATCTTGCCACTGCGCCAGTCTGTGGAAGATTCATGATTCAGGCAACTCTCCATCAAAATAAGAACTGACTGTGGGAAAGAAAGAGAAGCAGCATTTTCCCACACTGCTTTCTGAGGATTATTTCCTAACCTGTGTAGGGACTTTGGGACCTGGCTACGGATTCAGAAAAATCTTGTAAATTTTAGAGAAGCTTTAAGGCGCTTACATGCAAATATTGGGTTAGGCTAATTCAACAGAGGCAATTACATTTTCTTTTCATGGAATCTAAAGAAAGTCCAGATAATACAATGCTATTTCTATCTCCATTTATGTCTTTCTCTTCATTTTTCAACATTTTCCTATCTTTCTTAATCAGAAAAAAAAAACTTAAAAGGGGGACAGAATTGAAAACTTTTTCATGGACATTAGAATGGTTGTGGCAGGCGCCCTCCAGAGATGCTTTCCCATCTTTCCGTGGGAGGAATTCAGATGGTGAGACAGGAAAGCAGAGATGGGCTATAAAGAATAATACTTAGGAACCCCCCCCCCGAGAACTAAATACTCCAGAGGTATTTACAGTGCGGCCATAGCAGCATACAGTGATCTGCACAGTGGCATGAACCACAGTGCCTTACTTTCAAGGAGGAAATACTTAGAGCCAAAGGTTGAGACAGAGGCTGCACCAATTTTGGCACATGTTAACAACACCGATTTTTCAGGGGTGGGAGAATAAATATTTTATTTACTCTTTTGGTACAATGTTGCATTCATTGTGCTACTCAATGAAATTTAATTATTCTAGTAACAGGTCTCTGAACTTGGTCTTATATTGTAAAATAATCTATGAAATCATCACATTTATATCATTAAGTGACCATCCTTCAGATTCTGCTTGGAATATGGCTTAGTAGCAAGTTATACGTGCGATTTCTCAGTCATTCTCAGGGACTATGGCATGGTGCCTTACATCAAGATTTACATGGACAATGAGCAGTACCGAAGTGATGCCGTGAAGATCCTGGAGCAACTGTCCATCGTCAACCCTGAGGAGTACATGAGCTCCATTGTTGGGGCTCTCTGCTCCGCTACTCAGGGCGAACTGCACTTCAAGTTGGATCTGCTTAAAGTAAGGAATAGTAAATGCCAGCTCTATCTTATCTGAAAAAGATTAATGGTTGGGCTTTGTTCCTCTACTAGGCCATGAATCACCGGGAAATTCTAAACTATGGAAATATAGTTATTTTGCCGCATAGGGAAATAATGCATTGAAATGTGTCATCGGCCCCTAAAACTGACTGAAAACTGAAAATACTATTTGCCTTAGGAGGAATTACCTGGTAGTAAGTCCTGTCCGAGAGCAGAACAGGCTGCCTCGTGAAATGATACCTCCGCCTTCCTTGGAAGTCTTCCCAGAGAGGCTGGGCTGGCACCTAAATCTCTAGTAGGTCCTGCAAGGATCAGGGATGGGCAGTGGGAGAGATTTCTCGGGTATCTTCCAACTTGGTGAACGATGTGTATCTGTGTTCCTGGCTGCCCCTGAGGACAGGGCCTGATGTCGGATACGTTTCTTGGCCTCTAAAAAGTTCCCTGCTGCTGCAGTAGTCAGCAACTACCTAAAGTAGGTCGATGGTCCATTAAAGGGATCGGGGGTGGGTGGAGAGAAGACCCTTAAGAGCGATTATCCTTTTCAGGGGCCTGTGAACAGCCAAGGTTTGGATACAATCCACAAGAACCCCAGTCTGGCGCTTTTGTAAGGCCAAGAAGGCTTAAAATAAGATGGGAATGAGGATTGGAGTAGAGAGAGCAGATTTAGCCGGTGTGGCAATTTTCATTTCCATCTACCATCATCGGGAGGCCTCCAGATACGAAGTGTTAGAGAAGAAGAAGGGGAGGACGAGGCTGCTCTCGGGGCAATGACCCCCTGGTGCAATTTCCACGGGATCCATTTGGCCACAGGGAAGAACAGGACGTTCGTCAAGAGGCCAACCCTTGTTCTATGACCTGCCGTGTCTCTTTTTGGGCAGGACACAGGCAGAAGCCATAGAAAGGCAGCAGCTGGCAACTGGCAACTGATCACTAGAACCTTGGATTTTGAACACAATACTCTATATGGCCATATTGCGCTAAAAGCTAAACGTAGAGATGGTTGTTTATAATCACAATTTGACTAGGTTGTGAAGAGGGTAAGTGTGTCAGGCAAAATGCAAAACACAATTAATTAACCAAGTATAGTAGTAAACTATTTAGAAGTTCAGATTTAACTTCCCATGTTTGGGATAAGAGCCACGGTGGCGCAGTGGTTAAAATGCAGCATTACCGGCTACTGCTGCGCACAGCCAAGAGTCTGATCCTGACTGGCTCAAGGTTGACTTCCATCCTTCCTAGATCAGTAAAATGAAGACCCAGATTGTTGGGGGGGGGGGGAGATGCTGGCATTGCAAACCTTCCAGACAGTGCTGTAAGGCAGGGGTCCCCAATCCCTGGTCCGTGGACCGGTACCGGGCCACAGCATGCCAGCAGCTGGTCCACACAAACAAGCAAAGCCCCATCCACGGGATGCAGGCTGTCCACAAAACCTGCAGAAAAATCTCTCTCCACGTAACTGGTCCTTTTGGGCACCTCTGCTGTAAAGCACTAGGGGGCGGTATATAAGTGCTATTGCTATAAACCTGATTTTATATATATAAAATTATATAAAGATAATAGCACCTGTTCAGAGGAATTTTTCAAGAGTCTTATCGTCCAGTAAGTTCACCCACCTAGAGACTGATGTGGCTTCTAGTCCCTGATAGCTACTGATGGAGAAAATCATTTGGACATATTATGGCAAGTCTACTTTCCTGAGGAAATGTGAAAAAGGGGTGGTTTCTATCCAGAATGTCTTATTGCTGAATTATTAGTTCTGGGAGGAAATTCAACCTTCAGAATCTTTGCTCAGAATAATTTGAATCCCACTGATTAACACTTTTCTTGTATGCTCCTGATTCTTTATATTCCTTTTTTATTTCCCCTAGAAGGCTGGGGGAGGGGGGGAAGGCTATAGCCTCCCTGTTAGAGGGAGTGAAAGGAGATAACCCAACACCCCCCCCCCCATGCTCTCTGTCCAGTGAAGAGAACAAATCTGCCACAGCTACAGCTAATCTAAAATTCTTCTTATGGCAAAGTTTGCTGCTTGCCTGAACTGATATAAAAACTAATGCAGCTTTGATGCCTAATTCTGACAAATTATAACTATATTAATACATAATATAAGAGAATGAATTTACTAGCTGTAGCCTTTGGGATCATGATTGCATTATGTTCAAATTCAGATTGATTTGCTAATTTATATTTAGCTGTTAAACCCCAAGTGCAAGTGCTAGAGAGTTCCAGAGCGGCAGGCGGTGGGCAATTATGAGGAATAACGAAGAAAGCCATGCAGAAATAAATTCTGTTAGCTATAACTTAGTTAGGGATTTCCACTCCAGGCAGGCCTGTTACAGATTAAAGCCAGAAGAATAGACAATTAAATTGTAACAGAGTTAGAGCCAGAAGAAATGTGGTTACGACTGACCTCTCCAGATTGTGTCAAAGCCATTCTGATACATCAAGGTCCAGTTTATTAGGTTTATGCCTGTTCAGGAGTTACTGCCTGGTGTGATACATTAGCATGCAAACTGAATGGCAGTAACTAAGCTTCCCCCTCCAATCTCTGGCACGCTACTCCCCCCCCCTTTCAGAGGAGGAGGAGGAGGAGGAAGGCAAGGGCAAGGGGGAGGAAGAGGCAGGATCGGCATCAGGGAGAAGTATGTATAGGATGAAGTTTTGAAATCATATATCTTTAAAAAATTAAAACCCCTTACAGGCAAACATATACGTCACATCCTCCTAAGTTCACAAAGGCAATCTTCTGATGAAGTAAGCTGTAGTTCACAAAAGAATTATGTCTTTTGATAAAATGTGTTACTCTAAAAAGGTGTTGCTAGATGCCTTCTGATGGAAGGATAATTCATTTTGTCTTATGACATGATAGCTCTGGTTTGTGGCCTGACACTGTATGGACCAAATGTCCCGACATAGTGACTCAAGACGTTGCCCTCATGCAATTAGACGACTACAGGGCATTCAGTGTGGGGCTGCCCGTAAAGCCACTGCTAGTTCAAAATGGAGCAGTTGGCTGCTTGATGGGTCCCAGCCCGTGCAGTCCTAAGAAACCTATTTTAAAGGCCCAGGTTGCACCTAAGGCTTCTTGTTCGTCAGTGGCCGATAGGTTTTCAGGTGCAATTCGGAGTGCTTGTTGCTATGCATAGGATCCCAAGGAAGCCCAGCAGGGCGTGGCTGCTGCCAGGGGCGGCCGCCTCTTTTAACCTGTTTGGGGTTCCCCCTTCAGGGGGAAGCTGCTTCTGGTGCCCAACCTCCAGGAACCGAGACCAGAGAGGGTTGCTTTTCTGTCCTGGTGCTCGTGTTATTAAAAAATGGCTAGGCGGAACCCTTCTGTGGAGGCTTTCTGGAAACGATGGGTCTTTAGCACAGCAAATTCTTCATTTGAAGGACTTTAGTCAAGACCAGTTTTCCTATGGAGTTGGTTGTTGTACTTTGCACATTCTGTGTATGCAATGACAGATTCTTCTTCCCTTTTCCCCCCAACGCTAGTCTCTCCTGAAGACCCTGGTGAACCCCAAGGGCCGCTCCGCCTTCAGAATCAGCAGCGGTTTCAATGGGCTGCTTTCCCTTCTGGCTGACATGGAAGGTGCCTTGCAGGACCCGCCTTCGGGTGTCTGGGCCTCCTTTGCTCATAGCCACCTGCTGGAGCTGGTACTGCGCCTTCTCCAGACCACGGCAGCCGCTCTTTACTCGGACCCTGCCAATGCAGACTTCTTCCAGAAGAACGCTCTCTTTGAGAGGATGGCGGAGGACCTCGGCCTGCTTGGCTGCTTTTCAGCACAAAGGTGGGGACAAACCCCTATGCAGATCAACAAACCACGATCCTTCGTTGAGCTTTCAAATGCAGCTGTTTGCTCACCTGAGCTTTTCCCAGCACGGCTAAAAAGCTGCATCAGGATATTCAGCTTCCTTGATTCCATGGCCAAGAGGAACCCCTTCGACTTCAAGAGCTGCTTGGTGGAAACAGATCCTCCCACACTGGGCATTCAGGATGGGACAGAAAACCAGCAAGAAGGGTCTCTAGGGAATCTTTGGGCCATCCAGCCGCCAGAATCCCAGAGCAGGTAGGCTGTCGATGTTTGAAGTACTCATTTGGATGTTCTAATTATCCTATTTCTTACATGTCTTGGAACCTATATTTTCATGAGTGTACACATTTGTAGATTACTCCAATGTAGGTTTACCTACAAGACAAGCTCAAAGGATTTAATGTTAATAGCAGACTTAAGTATCCTCTGTGTTAGTCGCAGGAAGTGGCACAATTATTTCAAGTGCAAAGGAAGTTATTGATAAATTTTCTTTGCTATCACTTGCCATCAGCAGCTCCTCTTCTAAAGTATTTTCCCACTCTTTTAGAGAAAAGTGGGGTGAGGAGCACCTTCGATAGGACAAAAGGGTGGTTTGCAGTTGGATTTGGATTCTGAATACCATGGGATTTCATTCCCGTTCATGCGTATTTGGGAAATATAAAGGTAAATGAGGCTCCCATCAAACTGACTGGCATTTTTTCATAGCCTTCTGGATCTTTCTGCTTTCAAATAATGCTTACTTATAAGTAGAATTCTACACACATATCAATCTAAATGAGTGTTTCTCACTTTGGCAACTTTAAGATGTATGGATTTCATCTGCCAGAATTCCCCAGCAGGCTGATGTCCACTCATCATAAAGTTGCTAAGGTTGAGATTCCCTGGATTCTTATCCCCTCTCAGCCCTCTCAGGTAGACAGGTCAACAAGGGGACACGGGCACACACACACACACACACACACACACACACACTCCCGGAAGCCTGTCCAAGTTTCTAGTAATTAAGATGGGATTATTCTTAGCTTCTTTCTCGTGCATGATTCAGTCTCCAGACTGTGCAGTCTTTTCTGGAAGTCTCCCCACTTTTACACCCTGTTCATTATATTCCATTTCTACAAAAGAGATTCAGCTGCATATGTTATCTAGATATATGGGAAGTCTTTGATTGCGTACATGGACTATTCATTAACAAAATTATAGATATTTAAAGTTGGCTCTAAATTGCAAAGTATGATAGCCAATATTTAGCAGCCCATAACAGATCAAATAAAGACCAACAATTTTAATTCACAATAATTTATCATAAGAAGAGATGCCAAACAGGAATCTTCCTTTTTCTCTTTGCTGTTTTTCAATAATAATAATAATAATAATAGTAATAATAATAATAATAGTGATGATGATTATTATGATGAAGAAGAAATTGGAAGGGACCTTGGAGGTCATCTAGTCCAATCCCCTGCTCAAGCAGGAAACCCTATACCATTTCAGACGAATGATTGTCCAATCTCTTCTTAAAAACCTCCAGTGATGAAGTACCCACAACTTCTGGAGGCAGGTTATTCCACTGGTTAATTGTTCTGACTGTCAGGAAGTTTTTCCTTAGTCCTAAGGTTGCTTCTCTCCTTGATTAGTTCCCATCTGTTGCTCCTTGTCCTGCCTTCAGGCGCTTTGGAGAAGAGCTTGACTCCCTCTTCTTTGGGGCAGCCCCTGAGATATTGGAAGGCTGCTATCATGTCCCCCCTCCTCCTTCTCTTCATTAAACTGGATATTCCCAATTCCAGCAACCTTTCTTTGTATGTTTTAGCCTCCAGTCCCCTGATCCTCTTTGTTGCTCTTGGGAGGAGCCATAGTTCATTCACAAAATTATGAAAAGAAAAGGCAATTAAAGTTTCCACTCATTAATTTTGTTTAAAAGGCAGTTCCAAATAAGCAGATACTTCTCAAAATGTTGGAAAAACTGAGATCACAAATCAGAACGCCTTCTTTGGTAACCTTGAGGAAATAACTCCTTCTACTCAGACACAACGAAGAGCAAGCTAACCTTTACAGAACATTACAGGATTAGTTTTGTTTTTTCTGCCTCGGGAAGGAAGATCTGAAGCACAAAGCCTGCTCCTTCCCTTTCTCTCCTGATAGGAAGTGCTTGATGGGACTCCATGGGGGAGCTTCAGCTTCCCCAGGCCAGCTGGGAGAGCCACCTTTTTCTGGGCTATCCTTGGAAGAGAAAGGTTGCAAATTCTCCTCCCCTCCCGGATGGCAGAAACATTTGCTTTCCTGTTTTTATGCAGGAATGGACAAGAAGGACTGTGACCTGGTTCCTACTCTTTTGTTTTAATGTGTACAAGTTTACAAAAATGCAATAGGAGTCCTCTGTCTTTTCTCTGAAGGCCACGAGGTGAGGACTCGATGATCGTGTGTCCTGGAGCCCTGTGTGTCATGGTGACACTGATTGGCAAACTCTACAATGAAGCTTATCCAGAGGTGAGTCGATAAGTGACTGATGCCCACCAGGGTGACTCAACTTCATGAAGGTGAGATTATATAGCATAGCATACTCATTATTCCTTTCAAAATATTGTATTATGCAAAAGAGAAAAGTAAAGAAAGGAAATGAAAGCAAAAGAGAAAGGAAATCTATTCTACACCCATCCTATTTCCAGTGCCCTCTTTCATCTGTATTCATAGTCACTTGATACATTTGTTTAGTTAAATAAAGAAATATAAAACACCACGACCCCAAATCCTTCATCTCAACCCACACCGACACCAAACAGCCTCAGTTTGACTGGAGCAGCACAAAAAACATTGGCCACGCTACCACCTGCCACATTCCTGACTTCATGGAAGCCTGGCCCTCCACCAGCAATTCCATCCACAGACACACTGACCCACAACCAGCCCACAAAGCCCTCAGGATCCGAATCAACTGCACAGCCAGCCAGAGGCAGCAACGACCCTCAACCATCCCATACAAGCCCCCCCCCAACCAGCACTTCACTTCCCAATGACCCCCACCTGATGTAACACCCCCTCCCCCATCACAAGCCTCTCTCACTGATGACTCACACCTGGCCCATCACAAGACCCATCACAAGGCCTTCACTTGACACACCCACACCTGAAGCCCTTATAAAGAGAAGAGCACGACACTGACATCCCCTAAACGCCCAGCCTGGGAACGAAACCACAAGCTCGGAGAAGGAACCACATCCTACACCAGAGTCACAGATATTCACCACTATTGCAAATAAATATGGTCACCCAACTACAAAACAAAATAATAAGGAGTCGTATATTAGCATCATCTGCCGTCCTAGTCATGTACAAAGTGCAATTCGCGAGGCCCTCCAAGTGTGGAGCCTGCTGATAAGAGAAGAGGGGGGCCGCTTCATAACAGCAGGCGTGTGCGGTGGACCGACTGACACGTTTGCCCTCAGACGTCGTCCTGGTGCAAAGTTGTGGGCTTCTCTGCTGATCTGTAGTTGCGTCTCCTGGGCCCCTGACAGACTCCGGGAGGGATGCGTAGGGAAATCAATCCTATAACAGCTGGGGAAACAGAAAGTACTTTCCTGACACCATTAATTTTTTTCACTAAAACCCTTTTTTCCTGGAACGAGCATCTCTGAAAAGAGCACATTTTATTCAAAACAAGGCAATCTCATTATTGGCAGGACTGCTGTCATAATGCGAACAATCAATTCCTTGTACTCCATTATGGCTCTATTGAATTTGTGAGGGCAATGCGGATTTACTGAGCCAAGATCTTCACGATGTCATTCTTGCCCTTAACCTTGCTTTTTTGCTGAAGCAAAATTATTATTATTAGGAAGAGCAATATTTAAGGTACAAAAAGCATTAGAGCCTACTTAGAAAATCTAGATGACACTTTCTCAGTTGCTGGTGAATCAGAGGCCCCAATTCATGAAAATCCTTTGCAGCCCCAACTGAAGGGAGCCGGAAGTGACCCTGAATGGGTCCCGTCCCTTTTGGTAGCTTCAGCTCAATTAACCTGGGCAGATCCGAGCCGGCTCGGGGGTGGCCATCCACCAAACACACCCATGACAGGTGACCGAGAGACCATGGGCAGCTTTCCTATGTCTTTGGTTCTCAAGCAGGGTTGTGGCTAAAACACGAACTTGCTTGCACTGCCGATCTTTGGCTGGCTGAGCAGAGAAAAACCGTGCTCGACAAAGATCTCTGCTTGGGTTACAGGAGAGCTTTATATAGTATGTGTGCCGGATATCCCATAATGCCACTGTTTATTTTTCAGATTTATAATTTTAATGAACAGATTTACCAAAATACCCCATTTATTATAGTTTTACACTACTTGATACAATTTTTATTTGCATACTAAATAAATTCAAGTTGTTTTTTAAAATTACTATGAAGAAGATGGCTATAACTATCACCACTTTTTCTTTAAAACATGTATTCAGTTAGTTTCTGCATAGTCTGTATTTTCCCAAGTTTTAAACTAGCAATTCTTTCTAATTGGCATAAGTTACCAATTTTCCACTTAGCCGTCAGAATCCCTACCTTTCTACGGAGGAAAACATGCCTTAGATCAGGGGTGGGGAACCATGGGCCCCTTTATGACTCGTGGACTTCAACTCCCAGAATTCGTGAGCCAGCCATGCTGGAAGTTGAAGTCCACCAGTCACAGATGGACCCATGGTTCCCCACTGCTGATCTAGATCATGTGACGAAGCTGGATCAGTTTTAATTCATCTGAGCAACCCAGACTGATCATCAGGGATATCAGAAGAATATAGGCACAATCAATCACCTTATATTCCCCCCCTCCAAGAAATGTAGCAACAGGATCCAGATTTATCATATTTAGAAACCTAGATAAAATGTAGCTTATTTATTTATTTTAGGTTTTTATTTTGCTTTTTTTATATACAACTTGGTGGTGAAGATACCTAATACTCCCTCCTCCTATTGTCTTCCCTACAACAACCCTGTGAGGTGGGCTGATAAAGAGTGACAGGCCTATTTATCCTGCTGAATTTTCATGCCTAAGATGGAGAAGAACTCACAGTCTCTCAGCCAGCAACTTAATTATTAATTAATTAATCTTAATTTCCAACCAATCTAGCTTCATTGTGGAGACAGCATATTACAGTGAACATAAACATCTCTGAACATGTTCTGCTGTTGTGTTTGATTTATCTGATCACATTTGTTATCTTAGCCTTTTTCCAACAGCCATTTCATTTAAATTTTGAATTAATTTCCTGTCTGTTGTATTTTACATACATTTATATCATACACAAAAGTGACTGCAGAATGACTTTAGGTGCCCTATTTCTTTCTAATTTCTGATCATGAACATGTGTGCTAATATCAGTCAAAAATTAAATATTCAGCAGCAGAGTTTGCAACTCTAAAATTCTCCAGCAAAATTTGTGTGCAGTGGAGATAACACACAAAGAGGCAACTAATTTCAATAAAATCTAATATGGAGCAATGAATGATTCTAACAAAAAGCACGCAATAGTAAGCAGCATTTGGCAATTTTATATTATTTCTAAACTTATTTATTAACTGGGTTCCTACATCATCTCTTAAATTTTTGTTTAGAAAGTTGGACTTAATGTCTGCAATGGTCCAGGGCTTCTCTGTGCTCATTATGGCCGCCGGCTACTGGTTGCCCTCTCGTTACCAGCCCTCCACTCAGGTGTCTCCTTCTTGCCCTGTCTTGGCTTGTTTCAGTTATCCCTGGAGATCCAATTCGCTGCAGCTAACCACATTCAATCCTCGATGGGCTTGGAGAAAAACCGCCAAGCGGCTTGTGCAGCTGGCCTGCTGGGCAGCCTCGTCGGCTCCTGCCCAGAAGTTCTGCATGACGCGAGCAGCCCCCTCCACCCGCCTCTGATCCGGCTCTTCGAGAAGCTCGCCTCCCAGTCCATTCAGCCCGGGGTCTTGAGGTGACGCCTTGGCGGGGGTGTGTGCCTGGGGCTTTGAGTGACTGGGCCTGGGCAACAGGTTTCCAAATGCCTCACCAGCAACTGTGGCTGGTGTTTTCAGAGGTGACCTATTTCTCCGTGTATCCGTATCCTGCCCTTATTTGTTATTTTACAAATAATAACTCAAGGCAGCGAACATCTCCAGCACCACCTCATAAAGCAGCTTCTTCTTATTATTTTCTTATTTTCTTCACTGGGAACAACACTATTGGTAACATGCCACAGAGGTACAACTGGTAAGACTCTGAAAGTTCCCCAAGGCCCGTGACAGCCTCTTTCAAGAATCCTGTCCTCCAGAACCGCTGGCCGATGCAACTGGCAGTCCCGGGTTTGGGGAACACACAGTGAAGTCTTTAAGGCATTTCTAGGACCTTCACCCACCCACTTCGTCTTTGCCCCTCCACCTCTGCCTTGCACCTACTGCCTAGATGCCTCGTCCAGGAGTTCCTTTGTTTTGGTTGTGTGACATTTGTCCTTCGCTCGATCTCTTTCAGACAGTTTCTGTGCCCACGGATGATGTCCCTTCCCCTCGCTGCCCCACCCCGTGTGAACCTCCCCCTGGCACCCCTAGGTGACAGAGAGGAATTGGACCGAGTCCAGAGGAGGGCAGCCCAGAAGATTGTGGATCTGCAAACCAAACCCTACGAGAAGCAGCTAAAAGGTCTGTTTAAACTACAAAAAGATGTTAGTAGCTTTCAAATATATGGAGAATTCTCAGAGGGAAGAGCGTATGGACTTGCCCTCCCCTGCCCGAGAGGGCAGAGTCAGTACGGCAGACCCCCCACTTGGCATCCATTTGTTCAACAGCCTTTTGAAGTTATGAGGGTGCTGAATGAAGCATCCAGCTCACAACTGTGGAATGCTTTGCTGGTGTTTCTCTAGTTACTTCTTTCTGCCGTGTCTCTCAAAGTTCCCAGGTTGGAACCTGCAGTGGTATCACTGACTTGGCGTGTGTCTTGCATCAGGTTCTGGAACAGCTGCATGGAACGACAGCACAAAGCCTCCTCACACCCTGTTGGGCTCTGACACCCCCACGGGCTCTGCAATGGCTCTCCAAACGGCCATGAGCCTTATTTCCTTGGCAACACCACGCAGCCTGCACCTGCAGAGCGCCTGCCTGGCGCCTTCCTTCGTGGAGTTTGACATGTCCCTTGAAGGATATGGGTAATACATTGATTTGTGCTTCCCCTTCCGCCATTCCTCCTCTCAGCCTCCAGGTCCTTTGCCTTTGGTTCCATGGAGGCTACTTCGATGGGTGGATAGTTCAAAAATCAATTAATCAATCAATCATGTTGTTTAGATGCCTTTGTCACCTGAAGGAATGTCACCCATTTATGGGGCAAATTAGATAAGAGTTGTAGTTCACAGCAACTTTACGGACAGAGGTTTCTGATTTCCCCTTTTTGTTATTACTCATAGTTCTGTAATGTATAATGGGAAATATGCATGGAAATTCCCCTGTGGCTAAGTCAGGAAGACTATCCTTGCATATCTAGTGCTGTTTACATACATGAGCAGGTCATTCAAGTCCTCCTTAAGGTGTTTTGAGCCAATCCTGCTTAGTGCAGGCCAGAGATGGCCAATTGTTTTGAGCTGTTTTTGAATGGTGTCTGGGGGCGCGGGAACACCCATCCACAAAGGGCATGATTAAGATGAAGAATTGAGTAGGGGGTAGGATAAAATGTAATTTGACCTTATTTAAGTTTTTCAACACTTAAATTTAAATGCACTTAATATTATTTTTCCCTACGTATTTAAGGAGAGAATTACATATTTTGCTGGCAGCATTTAGAGCATGTGTGGGGACCACTAGGGTGCGTGTGGGGGGAGTTATTGTATATTTAACCTCAGGGATGAAATGGTACCAGATGGATGTCAAATGATGTAGCTCTTTGAATTTCACGTAGAAGCATTTTTTGTAGCTCCTACGGTTACAGTGCTGAATAACTATTTCTAAGCAGCAAGGAAGTCCTTCTCTTTGTATCACTTCCTCATGTGTTCAGATACCTTTATGGAACTTTTAATGCACATTTTGCTATAAAGGAGAACAGGGAGCGTGGAATTGCAGAATTCAGAGAAGTACAAAAACAAAGCTGTCTTTGTGTATCTATCTTTGAATGGCCAGGCTAGCTACCTCACATGTTAGGTTAGTGAGTTGTTGTTTATCTGGGATGAAGAGCAATTCAGTTATTCCTCAGTGGCTGAAGCATGGATACGGCCCTGTTTGGAGGCTCTGTCTTCTGCATGAGTGGAGGAGAAACATATCGGTGGAGTGGGTGGAGATAACCAGCCTAGAAGATCTTTTCTCGTGCCAAAGTGTGTGTGTGTGTGTGTGTGTGTGTGTCCAGCCTGGCTATGTTCAACACACATTCTGGAGCTGCGATAACCTGGGTGAGTTTCAGCATATATCAAGGCTGCCCACGCCCAGCACACGGCGGGAAGGTCCACCCCCCGTCCACCCCCTATCACTGTGGGATCCCCTCCCCAGTGCAGGTTTAAGGGTGTGCTCTTTGCCTTCCTCACAGCACTTTCGGCAAGGGCTCTGAATGGGCGCTGGCTTTCTCCCGACCGCCGTTGTTGCCAAACCTGGTCCAGAGCCAGCTCCAGGCTGGGTAGTTTGGCCAGCGCTTCAGGGTTGCCCACGCCTGGGGAAGGCCCCCCCTCTGGACCGTGGGGTCTCCTCTTTCTTGGGGGCATCTCTGTGGGAAAAGGCTGAGGGGCTCCGAAGCTGCAAAGCAACACGGGTTTTTGGGGGGGAAATTGTTTTGCTTTGAGAAGTAAATTGGGGCCTTTCATTTAAAGTCTCACACAGCACCATTATCTGTGAAACTGTAAAGTGAGGAACTGCCACTCTTCAAAAGATCTGTCTTGTCTTATATTTCTGTTGAGTAGTCATAGGAATTACAAAACAGAAGGGGGTGACTCAGGAGTAATTGGGAGAGAGATTTTGCTTTATGTTGGGAAAGTTTGTGGTCGTTAATCTCTATTTATTTCTATTCCTTTAAAAAGAAATACCATCTATTACTGTTTTTACTTTCTTGTGTTTGCAGCTGTTTGTTTATCCCAAGTGTGGCCACCAGTCTGGGCCAAAGCACCGAACGCTCTGTTTTGGGAGGAGCCGGAAAAGGTACATTTTTAAAATACTGTCTTCAAAATGCTGGCTGTATTGCTACGGATAGCAGTGCGTTTATGGCTCAGAAGTTTGAAGGCTTGAGGCCTATGTTATAATTAGGTTATAGATAGATTAATATGTACGTATATAGGAGTTTTATAAAGTGTACTTCTCTTGCGATTTTGAGATCATCCCAGAGAAGAAAGGATGGGAACAGCAATAAGCTTTGAAGATAATTTGCTCTTGTTCAAGAAAGGCTGGACCTAAAAGCTTCACTAATTCATTGGGGAGTTTATTTTTGATTCAAGACTTTGAAATGCCTGATTTTTCTTGCATAAACTGGATGTATCCATCATACAATCTGCTCCTTCTGTGCCAAAGTGGAAGTTGTACGTTTTGTAAACTCATTTTTCCTAAGGGGCTTTGTGTCACAGTGTCTTGTCCCACCTGGCTTGGACAGTATCTCTCCCTTGCTCTTAGCAGTCTCTGGTTTATCCCTTTCTCTGCCCTCCTAGGCATCAGGCAGTTCCCTCCACCTGAGGGCCTGACTTTTTCTTCCTGGTTTCTGATCAATAAGATGAGTTCTGCTCGTGATTACCACCCGCTACGTTTCCTTACTTTGGTGCGTCACATGGCAAGAACCGAAGAAGTCTTTGTTTGCTTTGCCGTGAGGTTTTCTCCCACGGAAGGTTGTCTAACCATCTCAACGGAGGAAGTGGCATTCGAAGCTTTAGGTGAGGATCTCAGGGCCGGAGGGCCTATCTACGGCCTCAGTGAAAGGAGGTTGACAAAGGCCTGAGATGTAGACCATTTAAAATCCTCAAGCCCTGAGTTACTTGAAAAATTAAAACCCAAATCTGAATTTGTGCCCAGAAAACATTTTCAGTTCTTCAGCACAGGCATAAATGCATTGTGCACATGCTTTCCAAATTCTATGTGAGATCTCCTTGCAGTTCTCTAATCAAGATATGGCCAAGCAAAGAAATTGAAGCTTCAGTGACCACTGTGGTTAGAGAGCTTCTTTCCAAGTGTGTTTCTGGAGCACGTGATGCTCACCCTTCATTTCATGAAGAGACTGGGTGCACCATTCCGGGTCATTGCTCAGATTGCAGTAATGCTCTTTCTCTCTCACTCTCTCTCTCTTTCTCAGGGCTGCATTGAGCCCCTTTGCAAAGTCGAGTTTTGGAAGCAGCACTTACAACTGCCTCTAAACCATCAGAGCACACAACAGGCTTGCTTCAAGTCTACAAGGTCCTTTGGATTGAGTGCAGTTGCAAGCTTGACACCTGCCTCCTCTCCTTTTAAAGCAGCAGCATCTGAGCAGCTGCTGTGAAGGGTTCCAGGCAGGCGCTGCTTTCATGCCTTTCCGTGGTCTGAAGAACCTTTTAGGACTTGAATGCAAAGCACTGCAGAACCCTAATATAAAACTCCCTTATTCAAATCCCCAGTTACCTTGGAACTGAAAAACCTAAGAGATCCTCTGCCCTCATCAGGTCCCAATTTCCTCTGAATCCAAATTCGTATCTACACAGAAGTCCTTTCAGTGGCTGCTCTTTCTTGGTGAGGCCTTGCCCGTAGTTGTGTCTGGGAGGGTCTTTGGGGCTGTCTGAGGTTGATGTCCAAAAAGTAGCTAGCCCTTCAGTGTTCAAAAGGAAAAGAAAAAAAATTGCTAGAGAATTTATCACCATCTTGCCCCAAACATTTTTTTCCTGACCTTGTGGTAAAACATTTCCCTTTCGCTTCACCATAATGTGGCAAATTGTTCCTTTTTTGTGACAACACAGACACAATGGTGCCTGACTTTGAAGATGAGACCTCTCTCATGTGCCAGGCTCAATTCAGATGTGCCCCACTGCTTGTGACCGGGCAGTGGCATCACCTTGCTGTGACGGTGGCAAAAGAAACGAAGCAGATCTGCACCGTTTCGGCCTATCTGAATGGCAGCCTGGTGGGCTCTGCGAAGGTAAAACGTTTTGCAGAATGAGACCCTTCCTTCCTTCCTTCCTTCCTTCCTTCCTTCCTTCCTTCCTTCCTTCCTTCCTTCCTTCCTTCCTTCCTTCCTTCGGCTTTCCCTGCCGGCCGGACTCAGCATGAAGAATTCTTTGCCTTAAGCTCTGCTTCATGACAAAGATCATGGCTGAAAAAAGAAGGGTTAGCTAATCTGATTACGTTTCATGCCAGGTATTTCTTTTCAGATTGCCTTGCATAGAGGGAAGGGCAATTCAAGAAAAGTAGGATAGGTTGCAATGTTCCAGTAAAAAAAAACCTTCTAAAATACATAAAGCTGGGTGCTTGAGGAGGAGGCTCAACATGTATGAGTATGTTTCAATACGCAGCCAGTTCATTCAGAATAGAGCTTCAAGAGGCCTTAGAAGCCTTCTAGTCCAACCCCCTGCTCAGGCAGGAGACCTTGTGCCCTCGAGCCTCTTCTTAAAAACCTCCAGTGATGGGAGCACCCACAACCTCGGGAGGCAACTTCCGGTTCCTGGTTAATTGTTCTCATTTTCAGGAAGTTTCTCCTTGATCAGTTTCCATCCGTTGCTTCTTCTCCTGCCTTCTGTGTCCAGGCTCATTTCCCAGGGAGAAACTACCTCAAGGGTTTCAGCTGTTCCTTTTTCTTCTACTACAGATGCAGTACATCCGGTCACTGCCAGGGAGCTTCACTTCTATGGACCCTGCTTCTTTTATCGATGTCTTTGGCTTTGTGGCTACACCGCTGATGTGGAAAAAGAGGTCTTGCTTGTCTTGGCGCCAAGGCCCCATATTCTTATTTGAAGAAGTTCTGTCCATGAAGATTCTGCAGCTTATGGAAAAACTTGGTCCGAGATACTACAGCAATTTCCAGGCTGTGGAGCTTAGAGGTAAAACCTGTAGCTGCAGGGACTTCAGTAAAAGAGCTCTCATGTGATTGAGCATTCACTAGATCCGGTTATGTGACCGTTCCTACTACAGTATAGTAAATGTATCTTTCAACCTGTGTTGGATTCAGCCATGGAAAGGTAGAGAAACCAGATCCAGCTATGGAATTATTTTGACATATTTTGACAGAAGGAGAGGTAACTCTCACAACCAACTGCGCAGACCCTAGCATCATGGAATTCTCAAAGCATCCAGAAAACAAGACTGTCAGGTGGAAATGTTCAATGACATAAAAATAGACTATTGCAGAAGAGAAAATTAGGTCTAATTAAGCTTGGGCAATAGGCTAGCCATTGACCTGCCAACTACAATTCCTTTTCCCCAAAGGATTTGCAACCATTAATATGTAATGGTTGGAATCAGTCCAAATAAATGTGGACACCAGTTTTTGAGGAAATATAATTTTGGCTCAGAGCATCACCTGACTTGTTAAGTGTGGGGGGAAGTCAAGGATTTTGTTGATTTTTGGAACTGGAGATTGAGAATTTCTGGCTTCCTTTGATCCCTTGCATTGTCTCCTTGTGTGTTTCTTCCTTCAGGAGAAGGCTCCCATGGCCATGTGCAGATGGCTCCTTTGTTGCCACCAGAGAAGATTTCCTTTGGAATCAACGCCAGATGCTCATTGTATGCAACAGTTAAAGGCATAAAGGACAGCTATGGTGAAGTGGATGGGCGTCTGGTCGCTAAAGAGGTAAGTCCTTTGCATCATTCGGTGCACAGAAAAATTAGAGTTGTCCCATTTCTCGGACAGAGAAGGAGTTGATGCTAATTAGATATGGATGTTTGACCAGGCTGTCTTCATTAAGTTTGAGAGACAGGCTTTATCCAAGCAACCGCCTTAAGAAGAATCAGAATGCTAAGGGATTCCAAGCCAGGAACGTGAAATTAAACCTGTTCCCATGTTTTCACTATATAGCATTTTAAAATGTAAGCCACCCCTTTTCTAATGGTTTTCCAGTCTCAGCTTTCTAGTCAAGGAGACAGATGACAAGTAAGGAGAAAGTAAAGACTCAGAGTTTATTATTGCACATACTTCTATGCTGTTTCGGTCCTGCAGCTCTAAGCAACGAAGGATCTATATTATTTTCCTCCCAACAATGCAGAGGTTATTTGCCATCAGCTTCTCTTACTATCCCAAAGATGCTTTTTCACGAGGCAACGGGACTTTCCTCTCTTACCATGTTTTTCAACTTTTAAATTTAGCTTACTGGTTTGGCCTCAACTTATTTTGATTCCAATTCACACAAAGTCAGCCAGATCTTGTCACTTGCTGAGATAAGATAGATAAGAAGGGGGTTTTTCTGTTAAAAAACATTTGGGAAAGAGCGTTTCACTAGAGATAACATATTTAGATTAAACGGTGCTTTATTACTACATGGCTAATCTAATCCTTGGTCCAAGGAACAGAGACTCACTGAGGCTTTTTCAGAGATCTCCCAGCAGAGATTATTCCCAGTTGGAGATATTGATGCCCAATGTCATAAAATTGACACTTTCTGTGAGAAATCTATGATTCTTCTATGGCCTTGCAATCACTGACATGTGGCCATTAACATTAGCTCAGTCCCTCCCCAGCTTTAGTGGCACATTTGTCTCTAAGTCTCTAAGGACACTTGACAAATATGGATGAAACAGAACAGCCTCCCTTTCCTTTGAGCTCAAAGCTGGAAAGTTTGCGTGGGCAGCTCCGCTTGAAAGATGCAGGCCCCACAAAGACCTTAGAATCTCTTGCTATTATCTGGCGAGGAAGAGAGTTTGGTACCACAGACACTATAACTTCACTCTGGTTTCTTTCTATGCCAATAATGCAAAAGTCACTTTCCAGGTAGCTCAGGATTTAATCTGAAATTCTTGGTGAACAGTCTAGAACACAGGTCGGCAACCTGCGGCTCCGGAGCCGCATGTGGCTCTTTGAGCCTTCCCCTGTGGCTCCCAGCCTCCTCTGCCATTTGCAGAGAGAGAGAGAGACAGAGAGAGGCACTTACGCTTCCCTGCTTCTCCTTCTCTCTGTGTGTGTGTGTGTGTGTGTGTGTGTGTGTGTGTGTGTGTGTACTGAAAAGCTTACTAGGCAAGGCTCCTCCCTTTGCTACGTCTCTGCAGGAAGCAGGAAGGGCAGGAGAGAGCTAGCTAGCCCAGCTAGGCTGACTCAGGAATTCTGGGAGTTGAAGTCCATGAGTTATAAAAGAGCCGAGGTTGCCTACCCCTGAGCTTGTTGGAAAACAGCTTGAAGCCAGTTTGCCAGGTGAGCAGCAGATAGGAGAGGGGGGGGGGGAGAGAGAGAGAGAGAGAGAGAGAGAGAGAGAGAGAGACCCTTTTGAGATCTAAAATGAAGATAACACTGCATGTATCCTTTTTTATCTTTATTATTTATGTGTGTGTGTGTTTGTGTGTGTGTGTATAATATATGTATGTACGTGTGTGTGAACACCAGGAATATAATAAACTAAAAAAGTTTAATACCATCACCAATGTTCCTTGCCTATAAAGGAACTCTCCCATAGACTAGCATTAACCCTGACGATGTCAGAAGTCTCTGACGAAAGCTTGGTGATTGGTGATGGTATTAAACTTTTTTAGTTTATTATATTCCTGGTGTTCACGATTTTATTGGCTATTTAGAAGATATATATCTATATACAAGAAGTTTTTCAGACAGACAGGTCTGAATGATTACACCTTGAGACTTTTAACTGCTATACTGCAGTTATACTTTTTACAATCTCTTTTGCCTTGCATATGTATATATGTATATGTGCGTGTGTGTGTATACGTATACACACACACACACACACACACACACACACACAATAAAGGTAAAAAGATATATGCAGTGTTATCTTCATTTTAGATATCAAAAGGGTTTTGCAGCTCCTAGTGTTTTGTTTTCGGTGGGAAACGGGTCCAAGTGGCTCTTTGAGTGTTTTGGGTTGCCTACACCTGATCTAAAACATCTGAACTATTTCTTATAAAATCAAGATGAATAGATTGTAAACATATAAATCAACCAGCATAGTATTTGAATTTTTTAAGAAACAAACCAAAACATATTTTCTGTTTGTTTTGTCTTCTAATACAGCATGCTTTTTTTTTTTTTAGCTGAAGCTGTCCTCCCGTGATAATACAACACCTGTTTTCATGGCTCAAAATACTGCTGCAAAGCTCCCTGGGTGCTTAAGAACAATTGGTGCCGTTGTGGTGGGCCAGCATGGTAAGCCAAAATCCATCCTGAACCACATTTGTAAAGTATGAACCATCCAGAGGCATTTAGGTGAGAAGGGCAGGGTAGAAATATGATGAATGAATAGATAAATAAAATCTGTAAAATGAAAGAGCAGAAATATAAAAGAAACGCAAAGCTTCATCCTATATAGAAAATTGTAGCTTCCTAACATGTATTTAGACCTATGCCTAACCCTAACCTTTATTCCGCCAACTGGCGTCCAAAATGATGGAGAAGAAGTCTTTGCAAGCTTGAGAGGATGCCACTTCTATGGTCAGGAACCTCTAGATTGCTGGTCAGGAAACTTAAGATTGTCCTGATCTAGAGGGACAGAAAAAAAAAAGAAGAAAAAGCTGCCGCATCTTGAGAGCAATATTTGAAAAAGCATAAAATAATTCCCTTAATTCAACCAACCTGGACAATTCTGTGATCTGCTAGTTTATTTTCTGTCTGCACCGGATCTGCACCGGATCTTGTGGGGAAGATCACCTCTGCTCCAAAAAGAGCTGGTTTGTGGATTGTTGTCTTTGGGACAGTATTTTATCAGGTTAGCTATTTGTTGGTGATTAAATAGTCAGGCTCATAGTAGGATTTTATGCATGGAAAAAAGGCCCATGAAGTAGAAATAATTGTACTAAAAAGCACAAGACGTGGTGTTTCTTGTTAAATGCAGGGCAAAAATAACATGTTCCTTTAACAATTGATTTTTCTAGAAGAAAGCATTTGAGATATGTAAATCTATATGTGGCATGAGAAAATATTTCATTTTCTAAATTACTACTATTATTATTATTTTTGTTGTTTCTAAACACCTCTAGAAAGTTTTTGGCTGTTCATTTTATCCTGTGCAGGTTTTCAGCGACAATTCAATTCCTGTCAGCATTTTCTCTCTCTTTCTCCAGGAACGCGGGTCTTCCAGTCCTGTCCGGCAGTGGTCAGTCTGAACTACCTTGGTGGCCCTTCTCTTCTGCTGGCTCTGCTGGCCAGGGCTCAGGATGACCACGCTGTTTATGCGGCTGTCAAAGTCTTGCAGACCGTCCTGAGCTGCAGCGCAGTGAGCGAAAGCCTCATGCGGGGAGGCGATGGGTATCAGGTGAGACACTGCTGCCTCTTCCTGGGCAGTTTTTGGGAACTGGAGCTTGAACGGGTCCCCCCCGCAAAAAAAAAAAAAATTGTGATTGTGCTTGTGCATTGATTCAGAAGTGCAGGACTTGAACAGCAAGTATTTGCTGGCAGCCTGATTTGTGGCTTACACTGAAATTCATTACAAAAAAGCGGATTGTCACATTCTTTCAATATTTTCATATTCAAAGTTAATATAATTTTTCATGATTGTTTCATTCTATTTTTGGAGGATGAGATAAGGTATTTTCCCCAGTCACTTCCAAAAGTTTTGGAGCCTGGAATTTGGAGTCCTTCTAATGAAAAAGACCTCCCCCTTCCAACAGCAGTCTTGGTGGCAAGAATCCCCTTCGGAAAGCCCACTCCAGTGGATGAGCGAGTCAGACGGGGAAAGGCCAGTTAGTCTCATTTCCCACAATGGGAAATGGATTTTCCCAAGTCTTTCTTTGTGGCTGAAGCTCTGCTTAAGAGGAAAGGGCGGATTTAAAGTGGACAGACAGAGTTGTCCTTTTGATCTTTGAAAAATTGGAATGCTTACAGAATTCTGAACAAGGTTAAAGTTGACAAGTTTCATTACCTTCTAGATGTTGTGTCCACCTTGAGTCTTCATAATTCTGCAGGTTTTTCATAAAATTAATTAAATAGCTATATTATGTAATTACATGGATTGTAATACTTGGCTATTGATGGTTTATCCAATAATAAAAATAAAATACTGTGGAATTAGCATCTCTGCTGTGGTTTTGGGTTATATTCTTTTATAGATTCTGGCATATCTGTTGAAAAAAAAGGCCCACCTATTAAACAGCAGAATTCTGCACCTCGTTCTTTCCATTGGAGGCACCTCGGAAGCCAGCTTAGAACAGCCGACGATCAAGAACATGGAGATCTTCCAACATATTGTGTGCAATTTTCAGGTAATTATGCCGTTATTTGTTTGTTTGTTTGTTTGTTTATTGGCAGCAAGGTCTGAGTAACCTGGGTGATTTATGAGGTTTTTTTAGTCCCTGGAGAACACAATCTTCCTATAATTTTACTTCCAAAATTCTCTCTCAATAAATGGAGAGAAAATTCCCCAATCTTGTTTGGCAGTAAAAAAAATATTGTGAACCTGCTCACTTATGAGACATCATTAATTAAAATTACTATATGCCATGGCAATCAGCCTCTCAAAATACATATTAAAACAAAACTACTTGGCATACAGAGATGTCTCCTTCTTAGAAGCCCTTTCGGTGTATATGAGACAGTGGCACTTGAGGCAGTAATTCAGGTCATATATTATCATATATCATATCATATATTATTTATTATTACACCACCCATCTCATCGGGGCGACTCTGATGGAATGATTCTCTCTATAAAAAAAGCCCCTGACACATAATATTGTCAGGAGTTCTAGATTTCCCCACAACCTGCCAGTTTTCCAGGAGAAAAGAATGCTTTCTGAGAATGATGACTGAGCTGCAACAATCTGGGCAACTAGAAGGCAGAAAGAGGTAGCCATTGCCTGTTTCCTGCAATCTAGGCTGACCCTCCCCCTTTCTTTAGCATGCAGACCAAACTGCCTCTCTTTCTTGCTTTGCTTCCCTTTGGCTTCCAGCTGTGGTGCCCTGCCTCGGAAAATCTGGACCTCCCTCTGTTTAAACATCTCACGGAAGTCCTCCAGTCCTCCAGGTACAGAGGCCGGTTAAGCTAAGCGGGTCAGCAATGACAAGTATCCTGGGCTCACATGGCAGCCATGCCATGGGACTAAAACTCTTAATTGTGGCACCTATAAATCCATATGATTGACAATGCCTTTCTCTTTTTAAAAACAAACAAACAAACACCAGACTTTACTGCATGTTTCCACATGTATCCATAACCTTTTGCGCTGCACATGTCTATGGAAGCATGAGGCAGGCTCCTGAGATTCCAGAACGGCAGTCGTGCTTTGTAAATGTAAAACCGTGAAGATTTGTGAATGCCATTTCTTTTTTATTGAAAAACTCTTCAGGATTCTGATAATGTAGTGATTTTTGTCAAAGCAGCACTTACTTCCTGTGCTGTGCAGCTCCAGGAATCAATAATTGGTTTGACTTGAACTCTCTTTGCTGGGCATCGTGCAGGAGAAGAGCTGAGTCGATGCAGAGCAGAAGGTGAACTGGCTGAGAATCTGATGGCTGGTATCTTGAGAGCTGCCAAGACAACATCAGAAGCCAAGAGTTCAAAAGCAGAAATACAAATAATGTTGTGGCTATATTATCCCCAGGAAAAGAAAAATCTCTTTTTTTAAATTATCTTTTTGTCTTTTGTAGAGAAAAGAATTCCACCGTGACCCTCATCCAGCAGGCGCAGATGGTGCCCAAGCTTCTCCTTCTCCTCGGGGACTCTGGGATCCCAACCTCTCGCGTCCGTCGGATCTCTGCCCTCCTCTGCCATTCCCTTCAGGGCCACTTCAGCATCAAGGATTTGCACTGGTATTTCCGCTCCACTCCTGCAGCCTGTCAGCAAACAGAACCCCTGGGTTGCTTAAACTTAAGCCAAAAGATTTCCCTCACTACACAGTTCATGTTTTTTCAGCTACAAGCGAAGACCCCTTTCAACAGCTCAATCAGTGGCAGGGAGAAAAAGTGGAGGGGCAGTTTGTCCATGCTAGGTCAACCCCGGAGGAACCAGGGGGCCCTGACCCTGTGCAGCAATGCCTCTGCTCACCCCTCGGTTCCCGTGGGTCTTCTCAGCATCTTTCCTCTTTCTAGGAGGGAGGGTTAGCAACCTTTAAAAAAGGGGGACATTAGTTCCCGTCTGGGCACTTCTGGGAGCTAAAGTCCACACATCTAAAAGTTGGTGAGGGTAAGAAGCACCGCTTTACAACATCAGAGGAGGCTTAGCTCCTCTTTATGACAAACATCTTGTTTTGGACCCATGAGTAGCCTCCTCGTCCTTTGTGAGTTTGCACATTATCCAGAGCAATATTTATTTCTCCTGTGAGCCACCTGTAAAATATTATTTTGGGATTCCCTCTAAGAGTGATTTGAAGGCCTTGCTTTTGCAATTTGATCTAAGTGATTTACTTTTTCTTGTTCAGGATTGGCTTATTCTTGGTTTACACTTTATGTCCTGCATCTATTGATGAAAATGAGACCTTCTCCAATAGTATTCCAGAGTCATTTGGACAAGGTATGAAACAGAATTGTGTGTTGCTAAAAATATTTTAGAATATTTTTATTTACCTGTAATATAAAAATAAGGCACATAATGGCTTGCATCTTTGACAAGTGATAAAACATACATTGCAATACAGACTCAAAAAGTATTTGCGTGCAACATCACAAAAGGAGAACGATGTGATATGGAACACATTTCATTGCATCACGCCTTGTTTTCCAGCAGTCTGCTTGTTTCAGCTGTGGCTTGGACAGTTGTTAATTAATGGATTGTCTAGTTGTGGACTGCTCAGGTTACACGTCAAGAAATAGCACAAGACATAAGGTTACTGTGGCCCTGATGTCTCAGCCGTCGTCTTCTTGGCCTCTGTAGCTGCTTATTGCTAATATTCTGTCTCTCAGGCCCAAGCTTTAGTCCCGTAACTCCTGAAAAGCTATAAGTTGGGCTGAAGGAATAGAGCATTAAGGCACCATCCATGCAGCAGGCAATTAAGGACCTGCTGGTCATTGTCTCATAATAAATGGGGGGGGGGATTATGAACTGATGCCACTCTATGGTTGTGACAGCAAGATTTGTAGAAGGTTTGTGCTCCTGCCTAATAATTAGCAGACATAAGTTTGCCTCAGGTGGAAGGCTGGAGGTGTGGCTGAGGGAAAGAGAAGAACAGTGGAACAGCAGATATCCATAATTTCAGCTCAAAAGGGAGAACCAAACCTCCTGAAAATAGCAGGAGCTGCAGCAGCTGCTGATCCAGGCAAGGAAGCAAATATTGCACAGACTTTGCAGGTCAGATAATGCTTCCCTCAGTGTCCGTCTTCCCTGCGGGCTCCACTAGCCAAACTTCTGGTTGTTCCCTGCCTGCCTGAGGGGAGACTGTGAGGAGGAGGAAGATGATGATGATGATCATCATCAGCAGCAGCAGCAGCAGCAGCATCTCCTGCTTGGAACCAAAATTGAAATGCATAGAAAAACTTCCAAAAGCTGCTTGTTTCTTTTTCATTACTCTCCTGTTATGCTTCTAGTAGCTAAGAGCGTAAAGTGCCTTAAGGGTACAAAAAGAAACATTTAACTCCATGATGCAGGAATGGAAAGAAAACAAAGTCATGGCGCAACGGGATGCTTTGTGCTGCTCACTGGGCCTTCCAGAATTGCGCTCTAAACCTCCCGCCACAGAGAGGTGCCAGCGGTTCCCTTCTTTTGGCCTCTCTGCCCAAGGAGAGAGGGTGGCAGCCAAGCTGTCCTGGCAGCAGAGCAGCCGCTCGAGAGGGCAGGGAGGGAGGCCTGTCTAACAGTGGGGCCAAAAGCCAGGCTGCCCTGCCTTTGCCTCATGCAAAGAGAAGGCTTCTCTTTGGGTAAAAGGCACATTTCTTCTGAAAGTGGACTATAAACCTAAGAGTAAAGCCTTATTACAGAGTGTCCGTTCCTCCTAACTCTACAAACTCTACAAGATAAAATAAAACAAGAGATAATCCTTAGGATAGACTTGATCAACGCTTCTCGTATTTGAAGAGTTTCTTATTACCAGTCCCTGTGTATTACCTGCTGAGGCTCCCTTCATTTTGTATCCTGCATTCAGTAAAAGTCAAATACATTCCTATGCAGAATTTCACATCCATTCTTTGTGTTGTTTGAATTTTAGATTTAACTCAGACATCTGGAAAAATGGTCTGGCTTCGAAATCAGTTGTTGAGCATGCTGCTGGATGTAATTCAGCCAGATGAACTTCATTTGTCCTCCGAGTAAGTAAGAGTGTATGTGTGCATGCGTGGGTTTGTGTGTATACAATCTTCTTTACAGCGGTTAAAAGTACAATTATAAACTTACCTCTCCTTTGCTTCGGAGGTGCCCGTACCTCAAAATCCACGTCCACCTTGATTTGCTTTCTTTGAGTTACCAGCTGTAGAAGACTGTCTACACAGGGTTAGGGACTTTTACTTATTTCTACCTAAACAAGGTTAAGATTAGGCTGTAACTGTTTTATAGATGGCACCTTGATCCACAAAAAATGTCTTTTATGTACCCTGATCTACAACCTAAATGTTGGAGATGTGGGTGTATGGATGCTACTTATTATCATATTTGGTGGTCGTGTAGAGAGATAAAAGCATTTTGGATTAAGATATGGTGGAATATCCAGAGAATTTTTAAAAGGAGGGTAAAATTTACTCCGCAATTATTTCTGTTGGGTATAGTTACTGATTGTGATACAAAGGAGGTTATATTGATGTTAAATTTGATTACAGCCGCGAGGCTGTTAGTTGGACAATATTGGAAGAAGGAATCTTTGCCTACATTGCAGGAATGGTTTCTTAAAGTGTCTTATTTGGTGGAAATGGCAAAGATTTCGGCTTTCTTAAAGCAACAAACGCAAGAGAAATTTCTTGCTGTTTGGGATAAATGGATAAAATTTATACAGTTTAAAATGGATATTAAAAAATATTATATAGCTTTTTTTTAATTTTTATTTTTATATATATACATATATATTTTAAAGTATAATTTTTTTGATTGTTTTTTAATTAAGCCTATATTCTGCTCTGGGAAGCTCGGGGGGGGGGAGAAGGGGGGGTGTTTGGGGGAGGTTGGGGAAGGGAGGGTTTGTTGTGTAATGTTTAGTTTTTTTTTGTATATGTTTTTTGTCTTTGTATTGTTTTGTTTTTTTCCTTTTCTTTTGTAAAATTTATAAAACTTTTAATAAAAAAAAAAAAAGATTAGGCTGTAACTGTATTTTTGTTATGTTTGGGATACCTAAGGGATTTTAAAGCCACAACAGTAGCTCAGGAGCTAGCAAATGTTTTCAATTTTTGTTGTTCCAGTAAGTCCACCATGTAGTATAGTTACAACAAATAACATTTAAGTATTGTGTCTTTCAATCTGGTGTTTCCCTCACAGGATCCAAGAAAAAATGTTCCAGGCCTTGGGCCCTGACTGGTTCCTGATGTTTATGCAAAGTCATGTAAATGATACCACAGTTGTACTGGCAGCCAAATTGCTTTTCCATTTCTTGCACAACCGTGCACACCTGCATGAGTTCAGAGACGGGATGATGGGGGGCCTGTGGCTGAGAAGCAGCTTAAAGGGGCTGAATATTTTGACTGGTAGGTCCTGAGTGCTTTCAGCTGGCTTGCAGTGTGATGCTGAGGCTAGCTGTGGATCATGACTAATTATTTCAATAACTCTCTCTCTCTCTCTCTCTCTCTCTCTCTGTCTCCCCTCTCCCCTCTCCCCCTCATCTATCATCATGTACCCTCTGTCTGTCACTGCTTGATTTCTATAGAATGTATTAATTATTTTAAGATGTTTTTGCCTTTTGTTTAAAAATAACCCTAAGAAGTTCGAAGGAAAGCTAGCAGCCCAGCCTGGATGCCAAGGAATTGGTGACTGTGTACCAATATCACTTTCACTGTGTCCTCTTTGGGCCTGATCTTTCATGCTTCAAGTTTGACCTTCTTAACTTGCTTTTGGTGTCTTATTTGCTGACCAATACAATTAAATTCTGGTTATTTGGTTGAAAAAAATCTTCAGTCCACATTAAGACATTGTTTTATTTCAGGTATTAATGGAGACTGAAATGAAAGCAGGAAAGTTTAGACCAGCGACAGTCCACATGGAAAGAGAAGAGAATGGAGCTGGGTCTTGGGGAGAGCATCCATTTAGTTCATGCAAAGGCTTCTAGCCTGGCTGCAACAGCCCCCCTCCCCCCAATAGCGAGCTTCTGTCACTCAGAGCAGCCTATGAGGATCACAAAGAAGGAGATCCTGGGGAATCTAGTCTCGGTGCTGTCACCATGTAGAAGCTTCTCTGCTGAGACCATCCACGACAGATGGCTGTATTGTGTAGCTTTTCCTTGGGTAAATAAGATCAGTTTAGTTCCTTCCTGTGGACTTGTTCTTCTTTTATCCAGTAGGTCAGTTCAGAGAGAGCCTGAGGAAAAGTTTCTTGTTCTTTGTTTTAGACAATTTGAAGAGTTCTCCCCAGTTATTTGAGTATCATCCATATCCGCTCTCTGGATTAATGGAGCTGAAGATGTTCCTGAGCTACTCACTCCACATTCCGGAGATTTACCTCCTTCTCTCAGGACTTCTTCTGGACACACCACTGTCCAAGCCACCAGATGAAACCCAAGTAAGCCACTGCACTGACACAGTAAAGCACGGGGAAAGGTTTGTAGCAGCCGAAACGGTTTATTAGACGAAGCGAAAGGACAGAAACTTCAACCACGAGCAGGCCCTAGGAAGGGAACCTTCACAGAAAAGGCAACAGAACGAGGAATGGCAGCCTTCAATGGAGGGATCTTCCTCCAACTGTTGAGAGCCGCCTCACCTCACAGGGCGCAGCAGACGCAGCCCAGGTTACCCCCTGTGTAGCCCCTTTCCTGGGAATCAGATCTGTGCGAAAGCTCAACTCTGGGGAGGGGTTCAAAACCTATTTTGTATACTATCATGTGTATACAATGATTCACGTGTATTGTTTACATCTCGTGCCTGTCGGCTATCAAAACTCTACTTGAAATAGGATCAGCTCGTACAGCTTAGACTTAAAGAAGGGTCATCGTGTGGCCATTACGTTAGTCTTTGGAAACAGTCCCACAGTTTAAAATATTTCTGTCTGCATACATTTTTCTTAACTATACTGACATTGTTGTTTTAGTTTGGGATATTTTGAATATTCGAATACTAATTTTCTTGTGTTGGTTGGCCATCTCAGTAAAGAAAGATATTAGGAGGAATTTTCTGATAACGAGAGATATTAACCCATAGAATTAATTGCCCCTTCCCCAAAACATGGCTGGAGGGCCATCTGTCCTTAGGGTTAACAAATGAAAATTTTAATAAGGTCTATTGTCATAGGTAATTATCAGCCTGCGTGTGCCTATTGATTAAACCACAAAAAAATTGTGTCTGTGTGTGGGGGGTACGCATTCAGGTATACCTTGTTTAATTCTTTGAGATGATGATGTGCATATACAAATTTTTGCAAAGTAAGCATAACAGAAAAAATGCTGATATAAATAGGCTACTGTCACATTTTGCTTTCTCCCCCCCCCCCCGAAGATGTATTAATGAATACTTTTCATTAACACAAGAACACTTAAGGAACAACAAACTGAGCAGTGTTTTTTATTCTGGCTATCTGCATCAAAGGAGTTTTTCTCAAATGTGTGTTGTGATGCGATGTTGCAAGTTCTGCTCCTTATTTACTTTTTTTTAGTGTTGTAAGAATTTGCATCACAATATTTTGATTCAGGTTCCCTCATTTACCTATATTTTGAATAGAATTTAGAAGTAAAAATCAATTTGAAATGTGATGACAGTTTTGGAGGTATCTTTTTTTAGAATTCTAGGTTTCCTCGTGCTTTCCAGTGAATACAGACCCGATTGCTTCAAGAGAATCCACCCAGACTCCTGCATGGCTTAGCGGTGGGGTAAAGCTCGTACTTTGGGACACTTTCTGCATCTTCACGAGATGTTTATTTTCCAGGCAGGTTTGGGTGCAACACTAGAGTGGCTGCTGTGCAACCCTCACACAGGGACAGTGGTCAAAGCCGGCTTGTGCACAGAAGCCGCTGTTCTGCTGCTGGAGATGGTCTCGTCCCTCACAAGGCAGGTGAGTCCTGCTGTCCTGGGGGGTGTTGCAGGATGAAGCCCCACAGCCACAACTGAGGGGGCAACCGAGGGGGTGAAGCGGTCCCAGCAGCTGATTGGTCTCTACATACATCTGAGCTTAGGCTGTTTTGAAAATTTAGTACAAAATTTAGAACAAAATAACAGAAAAGGGGTTAAAAAATATGTCAGTAGACAGACTGTCAGGCTTGAGCTTCTGTCGTGTGGAATACATCTGGATGGAGACACCTTTGTGTAGGACACCAAACCCTGTTTGTCAACTGGGTCTCAGTTACTGTATACGCAGTAGCTTATTTATTTTATTTAACCAAAATTCTTTGCTGCCCATCTTGCCAAAGGTGATCCTAGACATTGAATAAAATGCAGCATAAAACATTGAAACAATAAAGATCGCAAATGTAAAAATTCAGTTAAAATAAAATTAAACAGGATGGAGAGGGAAGGATTAAAATATGCACAACGAGGAGGAAAAGCTTCCAGAAAACAGGATGGAAATAAGGAATGAGAAAAGAAAGACAAATTGCCCTGAAAAGGAAAAAATAAAGAACAGCCAAATAGCTTTACAATTCAACGGCAGGAAGCCTTTCTCAAGTTCTTCAACAGCATCTAAACTTTGCTTTCTCTGCTATTTTTTGTCCATTCCACTCATTTATTTTCTATTCTCTCAGTGAAAGTAAAACCTAAATAATTGGATGGTTGTTTGATGGTGTTTCATGACTAAGTTTTATGTTCTCCTCTAGATTCCAGCAGAGGGAGAGGATTCTTGGCAAACCAGCTTCTTAAAGGACGTCCTGCACTTCATCCACCTGGTGTACCACAGATCCCCTCAGGATCCCCTCTGGTCTAATCCTCACTTCCTCCAAGCCGCAGCCTTGGCTGCCTTCCCCTCTGGGCCATCCCAGGTAGGAAGTGCTGCGGTTTTGTCCAGTTGGCTGATTGGCTGACTGGCTGATTCTGTTCTGTTCAAGAGGCTGGTTCAGCAAGCAAGCAGCCCCATAGAAGTAGATGGAACAGACCAGGAGTTGGTACAGAGGTCTTGAGGAATTGGTATACTTGATTTTATTTTAATTGGATAAACCTAAGATCCAGACAATATTATTATTCTTATGGTTGAGTCTGAAATTTGACATTCAAGGACGATATTCAAATAGTACCAGATGATTAGATGACAGAAAACAAATTGATGCATCATCCCGATTGAACTGAAGTCTTCAGTCAGTGAAAAGGCAAATTAAAGAACTGCTAACTGTCTTGAGAATCAGTTTGAAGGAAAAGTCAGACTATAAAATTAATAAATGATTCCTTCTTTCAACTTTGCTTGATCTAACTCTGCATCTACCCAAGCCTAGGCTGTACTTTTTAGGCAACATATAATTTATCTAGATATTATAAGGCTAATATATGGGAAAATGCTCATTTCTGACCAGCTACGTGTTATGCCTTAACTCTTTCACAGAGACATGAAGTTGAGTGGACTTTTCCCACCTGCATCTAACCACAACATAAACACGCCTTGGCAACATCTCTGTTGTGTCCTCATAAGATGGTTTAATCTTGTGAGTGAGACAGCATGAAGCAATCTCCATCCACATGGAAGTTGTGCTTTCTCCCCCCTAAACCAACAATGTCCCAAAGTGCCTCAAAGTCTGTAAGAGGTTTATGTTAGTCTTGGTCACTTAGTACCCAGGACGGAGTCAGCTGACTGCAGTGACTGGAAACAGAGACGGGGATCAACAGTGGATACCGATAGAGCAAAGTTCAGGCTCGTCTGTTTTTCTGCCCATTCATGGATGGGTGGATGGCACCCCAGCTCAGCAGCAGAGAAAGCCCTGTAGTGATTCCCACAACATCTGTTGGGGGACAGACTCTGCCCAGCAGTGCTCTTCCAGGAAACAAATTCTCCTTCTTCAGAGAGTGAAGGAAGGCGCTAGAGGGCCCAGTCTTGCTGACCCCAGGCAAGGCGATAGGGGCGACTTAGCTGAGGAAGCGGAGTGGCTGAAACCAGGAGCAGAAGCATCCGGCTTCGTTTAATAGCACGAATCTTGGGTACAACACGTCAGTCAAGCCCCTTGAGATTACAGATGCTGTGGCTTACGGGAGAGCAGAGGCCATCTGGAAAAAGTTTTCCCGCTTTCCCTCCAGTCAGGAGTTTAATCAAGTTGGTTGCTCTCCAGCAGCTCTAAAGAGGCAAAGAGGCCAAGTTCTGTTCTTCTTACCTGCCTCTCTTCCTGCCTCGGGGAAGAAAGTTGCCCACGCGTTTGTTTCTTGCTTCTCTCACCCCACAAGCAGCCCTTAATTTAAACCCCAGGATGGGAAATGCCAGGCAGCCACACTAAAAACAACTTATGCTCAAGAATTTCTAAAAGAGAATAGTAGAGTCTTGGAATTATAGTTTGTAGCTGCAACCTGAAAAGTGTAAAGCCACCTCAGAAATCAGGAAACCAGATTATAATTGTTGTTGTTGTTGTTGTTACTATTATTTTATTTTACAAATGATGGGAGGGGGCGGACGAAAAAGGAAAGCATCATCAATGCTGGCCACAACTCAGTAAGGACTCCATTACTCTTGCAATTGCTCTCCACGCGGCCATCCGACTCTGGGAACATTAACCGAGTGAGATGCCGGCAGGTCCTAATGTGCTCTTTGAGCCTGGAAGAAACAATTTTGAGCGAGTCCAAAGTGCCAGTTGGGGAAGGGGGCATCTGGATTTTCCTACAAAGGATGAGCTCATTTAAAGTGGGGCTCCAGATACTCTTGTTGACAAAAGCCATCTTTGTCTCTTTTCCCACCAGAAATGGTTTCAAAGGGCTTTTCATTTATAGCATCCTTTACTTCTGCCGCTGCTCATTTTCCATATGCAATTTCGTCTAACATCATGACTGCTGCTTTATTACATTTTAGCAATCTGTCTTATTTGTGGTTTTATGTTTATATACAGTTGATCTTCCAGTTGCTGATCTATTTTTCACCAGCCTTCCGCATAGGGGATAAAATGTAACTGTGGAAACACAACCCAACCTGCTGGTCCCACGCTGGGATTGCTAATGTTTTCCTGTTTTTCCAAGATGGCGGAGGGAGCGGGTCAGTTGTTGCCTCCTCCCAGGAAAATCATTCTGGCCTTTGTGATTCTTGGTTTCAGCCTCCAGCTAGGAAAGAAGTTTGGGACTTGGTTCAGCGTCTCCTGAGGGGAATAATGCTGCTGGACTGGAGGGACAAAAGGTGGCACCCGCTGGAGTTCATTCTTGAGGTCTGGTGCTTTTGTCTGTCCCTTCAGTTGTGGGGGGGGGGTGAGATGGCGGGAGGAGAGTTGGAAGTCCAGGATTGTCCCTTGCTTGCCACTGACATATTCTGTCCCTTGCTGCTTGCATTGTTACTTAGGAAAACTCTCTAGGTAGGAGAATTTGATAAAACAGAGGGGAAGCAGATGCTTTGGCTCACTTTTGGCATTCCAGAGTTTTTGCAAGCTTACTTTCCTTAGGGATCTTATGATGTACAGGTATGGCTCTCTGTACAGCCTCGTTAGTGAACTATGGAGTATTAGGACCACTGCCAACCTTTTATTGAGGAAAAGGCCTGGCTCTCTGGAAATGGCTGCTTTATTTTTATTGTCTCACTCTTTTAGAACATTCTCTGAAAATATTTTCACTCCAGTGTAACCTTCCTAAGAACTGGGTTTGTTTTTTGTTTGCTTACAACGCTAACCCCGCAGATTCAATCGTTTATATATTATTGCTATACAGGCCTCTCCAGAGAACGCTGCTATTGAGCAAAAGACGTCCTTCCAGACAGAGCTATTGCTTTCCATTATGCAGATTGTCTACAACCTTGGTCAAAATTACAAGGAAGCCTCCGGTTCAACAGGCGAGTATCACTTGCAGTTCAGCCACCTTTCTACCTGAGTCTACCTGAAATGCACAGAACGTACCATGAGGTCAGGTATGGCTGAACTGCAGATCCCAGCATTTTTTTTTTTTTTTTTTGTAAACAGCCATGCTAAGTGTTGGGAGTTGCAATTCAGCTGTATGTTATCTAACCTGAATCCTGACTATCCGGGGAGCCAGTAACAGCAAGACCAGCCAGTGTGCTGGAGGTCATAAATAACATAATAACTTCCTAATCAAAACATTATTTGTAGAAATGAAAGTTTCTTCACTGAAGGCGTACATTTTCCTAATTGCTTAGACTGCTTGATTGCCGAGTATAAGGACTGATAATTACCTATATTTTATTTTATTTATTTATTTGAATTAGCAATATATTTATTAGTAAATGCAGTATACTAACAATAAATATAAAATACAAGGTAATTTTTTTCTCTTTTTTTCCTTCTTAGTTTGTATTTTATATTGTTTGGGGTGGTCTCTTTTCTATTTTTTTTTAAATTGAAGATCGTTTCTGTAATATTAGAAAAATAAAAATTAAGAAGACAAGAGAAAGCCACCGCATAATATTTTGTAGAAAAAAGTACGCAGAGGTTCCATTGTTTTTGATTGCATTTTAGAAGTACATCCTTCTCTTCCGCCCTGCAGGAAGTGGTGATACCAGGAACATTTTGGAATCTGCCAGGCCTTATTTTCTCACAAATGTTTGCTATTTTACTCAGAAGCTGGTAGGCAAACTTCATGAGGGAATGTGTGTCACAGACCCGAGGAAGACCATCCTTTTCATTGCAGAGCACGTGCAATTGGTAAGAGCTTCTTCACTTCTCCCCCCCCCCCCACAAGGGCCCTTCCCAGCCATTTTTAGAGAGCAGCAGATGTAAGACGTGATGGCCGCTGTAAGCTTATTAGGGATGGTTTCCACCCCAGGGATGCTACTTCTGTGACAACAAATAATTACCCTAAATCCTCTTTATAATGGATTTAATTTTCATTGTGAGGGGATTGATAGCTTCAGTGCTCACATTTGCTCAAGCCTGTTGGATCAGGAAAGTAGTTGGATTAGAGAAAATTTTGCACAAGGCAAACGGGCGTTTAAGAATCATGATTGGACGTGCATTTCAGTGCACATTCTCACATGCCACAGATTAAAAATAACAGAAACGAGAAACATCTTCATTTGTATCTGCATGTGACTGAATGTCTGTAAAAACAAGCAAAAACAAATTCCACGAAAAGCAGAAGAATGGACAGCATTTCTCGTTCTGGAATATTTTGTTTCAAATCTGTATGCATAATTGCTTTTAAGTGTCTTAGATCAGAATTATTTTTAAATTTTTCATATTTTTAGGGACGCTTGGGTCTTATCCTTAAATTCAGAGCATTTTGAACCTCTTGACTGTTTTTTAACAGGTAACAAGAAAGCTCTTTCCCCACAAAGAATCAATTTTGAGCAACTTGTACAACTGTTTGAACCACAGCATCTTGTACTATTTATCGGACCCCTTTTCTGGGTCACAAAATCTTCTGGAAGTTCTGCACACTCTTCAGACACAATGGGACATCATCTTTGCAGCACACAATTCTAGCCTGGATTTCATCGCAAGCTTTTTGTATTGCCTGCTGCAGCTGAGATCCATGAGGTGCGGCCGGGCTTTCTTACTCTGGCAGAACTGTTAGATGCAAGAGAGCAGAAATTTAAAGAAACCTTTTTTTCAGAGACGATATGTTTCCTTTAGGGCAGTGTTTCTCAACCTTGACAATTTTAAGGCGTGTGGACTTCAACTCCCAGAATTCCACAGCCAGCATTGCTGGCTGTGGAATTCTGGGAGTTGAAGTCCATACGCCTTAAAATTGTCAAGGTTGAGAAACACTGCTTTAGGGGTATGCATTTCAAGGGTACTCATTGAATAATTCCAATGTGGTCAGTGTTGATTTGATCTTGAAGAAACTCCAGGAGTTTAATGTAGAACACGGGAACAAATGTGTCCAGTGGATGTGTCCTATGGAGTTGCAAGGACTTCCGTAATGGCCTCTTTGTTTCTAGGCATGTTTCCAAGGGAAGCTGCCCACCTTCAAAGCTCCCTCTGTTTACCTGTCATTTCAAATCTGGGGGAAGAACTTCTTTTGATGTTCCCGAACTGAGAAGGGGGATTCCAGCACCACGCATGTGGCACTATGAAGTCCCCATCGTGAGAGAGTAAACTTTCAGTAAACCTGTGATTATTCTTGGTGAATAAGTAGCGTCACCAACTTATTGTCAGATCGTAAGTGTGGCACATTCCTTGGCCCCAGTTGTCTCTTACTTTATTCTGGTTTTGATCCTTGGATAGTTTGCCATTTGCTTGCAAAGTCTTAACAGCTCTATTTAGGCTGTTTTATCGGAAGGCTGCATCCTCCTGTGGCTCAGTAGAAAATTCCAAGAGCTGAAATAAGACAGGTGGCAACGAAGGACGGCCATTTCGCTGTTAAGAAGGACCCAGATGCCGTTTCCCCTTAGATTTGGAAAGGGTTCTTCACCTCGGAAATGACGGCACCCATCCCTCACTGGTGGAACAACAGCACCGCCTCCAACTTAAAGAAGAGGATAAAGATAAAGAAAAAAATGGATCCATAAATGGAATCCATCCTAGGGACATGGAGACAGATACTTCTTTTACCTCGAAATGCTGTGTTTGGCCAGAGTAAATCCCCAAATAGCAGATATCAAAGCAATATGTCTTTTAGTTGTTGTTCTTGGTTATTAGAGTTCTTAAAAATAACCATATATTTTTAGAAGTTTTTTGAAAATAAATATATCAGGATTAAGATGTATTAAATAATCCACAGCCCAACTTCCCCCCCCCAACTCAGATAGTGGTCTTAATGAATCTGCTTGCATTTCAGCCAGAGCTATCCTGAAAGTGGTGAGGCGAAACGGATGCCAGCTTTGGGTTGCCCTGTTTCTCTGGCCCCGAGAAAAGAGGAAGAGAGAACTGATGGTGACCTTCCTGCCCTGGAGGAGGGTAAACATGACGAGATTGGTGTGGAAACGGGGTGTGTGGGGCAGGGGCTGGTCAAGAGAAGGACAGGAGAAGGCCTTTGTGTGCGTCCTGCTTTGCTCTGTACACTCTTTAAAACACGGGTGCATTTTGTAATGTAGATACAGGAACAACTAGCACCGATGATGTTCCCTAGTTTGGGTAGTGAAACGTCTGCAAGAAAACAAGCAAGCTCGGAGGGCACCCCTCAGTTACCCAAATTGTTTATAATTTACTGTATGGCAACAAAATAAGACAATGTTACACGAGATACGTGGGGAGAAATGGACCATTTATTATTTTAGTCATGTCTGCTCTGATTTCTACATACATTCTGGACAAGCAGTATCAAAATCTGGAGTGCTGCGAGTGATTTTGCTTTCGTAAGCGTCCTGGTTTCAATAAATACCAGCAAAGCTGCTGGTCAGGCTCACCTTGGCAGACCCGTGAATCTGGAAGTGATGCGTGGCCCTTTTGTTGATGTGATCCTTCCACACCAAAGCACGTTTGCATTTCATTTATTTCTAGTTCAGCAAGAGATCCAGAGGGCAGCTGAGGAAATCTGGCTCCGGCTTCTTTCTGGGAGAAGAAAAGATTTAGAGGACGCATATAAAATCTCTTTATTTAAAGAGAAAGGCGATGGAGAAGAGACAATGAAGATGGCTGACGTAGCTCCTCTGTGGGAAGAAGCCATGAGGAAGACCTGTCGGGGCTTTCTAGGTCTCTGCCCTTAAATTGCACAGAGTCTTTGACGGACGTGGCGTCACCGCAGGGCTCTTGGCCTTTGGGGGGCGGAGGGGGAGGGTTAGGGTTTGTTAGGAAGCTATTAACCCTGATAGATGTGACCAAGCAAGCGGTGGGACAGGTCCCGTTGTGATCTAAACTTCTGAATCCACCTGGAGGGCTATAACTAGTAACGACAGGTGGGCTCCGGTTATTTACAGGGCAGAGATGTCCTGAGCAGCCCATAGCTGGATGCAGTGGAGATCTTGCTAGACAGCAGAAAGCGTCTTCTAGATTGCTGTTTGGAAAAACAAGCATCAATAAGGTCAGAGGAAATGCAACTGGCGGCCTATGAGGTCAGCTCTCCTCTGGGCCTTGCCAAGCCTGGGCTCTTGGGGAATAACCTGAAGCCCCTGAGGTGCTGCTTTGCAGGGCCTGGCATCCACGGTCAGGAATAGGCGTTCCGGGGCACCTGAAGGGATACAGCATAACAATAGCATTAACTGCACGTGTTGTTCCTTTCCTCTCTGTGGTTCCAGTGTCGGACAAGAAAAACTCCCAGAGCAAAATTCTAGTCAGTGCTTCAAGCAAGATGAGCCCTTTGAACGAGACCTCGACTCCCAGCAGGAACCTAAAACAGGTGATAACACAAAACTGGCATAAACTGGCCTTTCCAAATCCCTGTGGGAACCTCAGGTGCCAAAAAAAAAAAAAAAGGTTGTAAGTAATATCTTGAGCTTCCTGACTTGAAGTCCTAGTCCTGCTCTATTTGATGACAAGCAATGGCCAAATAACCAGGGGACCTTTTTTCCCCAGCAGCGCAAAGTGCAATGAACGGTGGGTGAACAAACTCAGGGCTAGTTTTTTAGCTATTTTTGTTGGCTGAGAAAGAGATTCAGACTAAGTAACTTCCTTCCAGGTGTGATGGGAATACACGTTACTGTTCAGTGCTGACACCAACTATTTGCCTTGGGGTCTGTTTAATTATTTCTTAAAATTAATTTTGATTATTACAACTGATTACACATCAGTGAGCAAAGTAATTGATATTTCTTAATGTATCCCAAGGAACATTTTGTACAACTTGTATTTGCTGTTGAAGGTTAAAGACTGTTATTGGTTTTTCCCTAAATGTGCCCACATCATTAGTTCTTGTGGTAGGAAGGGAGGCCATCTGGAAAAGGACGAGTAGACGCATTATTCAGGCACAAGTGCATGAAATTGGGGTTCCTGCGTCTTCTGTCTTTCTTTTCTAAAAAGGAGAGGCTTGTAATTAAAGGAGAGGCTGAATTACAGGGGAACATTACTCATTTTGTGTTGCTCTTGGTGATGTCAGGAACTGACACTTCAAGATCTGATAGACGCTTCGCTGTAGTGTGACATGCCACCGAGCCTGCAACTCTCGGCTCTCTTTCTGCTGCAGGCAATTATATTTTTCTGTGCTTTTCAAGGAAATGAGTTGTACAGTGGGCTAAATGACTGATTGGAGATCTTTGGGTCTTCCAGATACACAGACAGACAGAAGTATATTCTTTACAGCTCTGGTGCATTCGGGGTGGGGTGGGGTTGTGCACCTTGGAAAGAGAAGAATTCACAGTGCTGGTGGTTTAGATTTCTGCTCCCTCCTAGATTGTTTTAACTGTTTCTCCACTCAGCCTTCTCGCTAAAGGAGGTTGGCAACCGTAAGCAAGCCAGGTACAGAGAGAAGGACAGGAGGAAGAGCTGACCAGATTTCAGAGCCTTTGTAGATCAGTCCTGGCCAAAGCGTCCTTTAGGAAATCAACCTGGCATGCTGCAAGGGGTCTTTGGGGGGGGGGGTGTTGTCATGTGCTGCTTTGCCTCCCCAAACTCAGCCCTCAGCCCCTTTGGAGACAGTCAGGAGAGGAGGCTGATGAGGGTGTCAGGGTGGACATAGGTCAGAGGCTGACCTACTAGGGCGAGGAACTTTATAGGAGCTGAGTGGTAATACAGAACCACTGCTACAAAATCCATGGCCAGGCTTATTGTCTTCTTGCATTTTTATTCAACTAAGCAAGTACCGTTGATCCTATCCTAATTGCCAGAAACATTCCCAAGTAGAGTTGGTGCCTTTTTGCCACCCGTGTCTGTGTTAGGCATCTTCTGGAATAGATCTCAGGGAACCAAGATAGATGCCTGCTTGTGATATAAAGAGGGAAGTCAGCCATAGTACCATAAGATCATGTTAAAAAAGAGATAACTCTTTATTATAATCAACATGTGGATCTTTTAATTAGAAGATTTTGAAAATATCTGACCCCAAAGAATGAACCAGTTTGAATCTGAGGCTGGGCAGATGTTGCCTCACATCTGACTTTCCAACTGGAGAGGCTGGACACAGTCTTGCCCTTGGAGAGGTTGGTCTTCTGCATCAAATTTCTGTTTCTGCTTTCAACTGGAGGGTTTCTTTTTGGCTCTGTCTCTTTCTCACCAAAACATGTGACTGTGCCCTGATCTTTATAGATCTTTATTTATTTATTTATTTATTTATGAGACTTATATACCGCTTTAAGTGCAAGCACTCTCTAAGCGGTGTACACCAGTAAGCAATGTATATATATATTTTACATTGCCCCCAACAATCTGGGTCCTCATTTTACCTACTTCGGAAGGATGGAAGGCTGAGTCAACCTTGAGCCGGTGAGATTTGAACCGCTGACCTGCTGAACACAGTCAGCTAAAGTGGCCTGCAGTACTGCACTCTAACTGCTGCGCCACCTCGGCTCTTCCCTCATGTTGGACCAAAAGCTTCCCTGAAGGGTTTCCTCTCAGAATAAATGCCTTTCCACCGACATGTCTGAATCGGAACTTCTCTCTCCCTACAGTATATGGAAATAATTTGCCACCAGGAGAAATTTTCATAAAGTTTCTTCATTCACTAGTACAACTCTCAACAACGAGCATTTTCTTACAGCTCAAGCACTTAGTTGTTCTCCCAGCTTGCAAATAGAAACATAGACTTCAAAAAGCAAAATGTCCAAATTTAAAAACAAACAGTATTATTTCCCCAAAAGGAAAAGGGGAAATAGTTGTTTTTATAATCCAAGCAGAGGTTCTTGTACATGTAGCTAATCATTTTTTGGTGAATTCCAAAGACATCACAACTTTTAACCCTTTCTTCTGCAAAGATGTTTTTAATATTTAAGTCAATCCCTTTGCTTTTTAACACAATGGCTGTAATTAGGGAAAGGCTGTCTGAATGTCATACTCAGGCAAGCTCCCTTTGCCCACCCAGATAAATGAAAGGAAGTTGAGGCAGCGCAACCCATATTCACCTCTACCTGCAACTCATTTATTCTGTTTGGCTTGGCCAAAATATGATGTCCGTGTCCCCTTGTGTACTTTGTTTCAAAGGAAGCATATAATGTTACTGCGATATATGCAGGGCCCTCCAAGACATGTTTGCTAGAAGTCAATTGTTCTGAGCTCACCAGAACGTCCAGTGGCTGTGCTAGCAGGTCACCAGTCCGGATGTGAGTTTTGCCTGCAATCCTTTTCACAGCTGGGGTTTCATCAGCCTGTGAAGTGCACAATGTCAGGGTCTCTTCAAGTCTCTTATCATAATGCCATGTATATTATTTCGATTTCAAGAGACCAAACAAGCAAATTTATAATTAATTATATTTCTGCTAATCATTTGTGTAACATCTTTATCTTCATAATAGAAAGATAACATCACTGATTATCTAATTAAATTCATTAAGCATCTACCGACAGTGCTCTGTGAAGCTGACATTATGTTCCACTGTCAACAAATGCTTTGATTTCTTAGGAAGTAATTAAAATGTAAATTAGCATGCCATTAAATACACAGGGGGACTTTTGAATCTGATATTCATTTCAGAACTGCTCATGGCAACCCTTTTTTTTCTTTCAGTGCAACCAGAGAATTTGCTTTTAATGATGTATATTAACTTTTTCCCCACTGCAGCATGAATGTCTTTTTTTTGATATCTAGTTCACAGCTAGACTAGAAATGACATTTCTTTAAAACTGCTGATTTGCTGGTAAATCTGGGTGATTTCTGTCGATGCAGGAAGAGCTTTTCTGTCTGCATGGCCAAAACTGAGATCAGATCATAGAGTACCACTAATAACACTAGGGATATTATTGTATTTTCGTTTCTTCATCAAGAGGAGAAAATTTGTTCCTTCTGCTGCAAATCTTGGAAGCCAGAGTACTATACCGGTTGCTTTATTACATCCTGGCACGGATCTTGAAGGCCATGGGTGCTCCATCCAGAAAAGAGCGGGCAGCTGCTTGTCTGGAATAGCAGAGGGTCTCCTACTTGAGCAGGACTAGAAGGTCTCCCAAGTCCCTTCCAACTCTGTTACCCGGTTATTCTTTTTCTTTCTTCCTTTCTTCCTTTTTTCATTCTCTACCTTTAATTTTCTTTATCCCCCCCTTCTTTGATCTCTTTTCTTTTCTATCTGTGCCATCACTCTTTTGGAAGTGCACACATGCACACATACACACACACAAACACACCCTGTTTTTAAATGTCTGGTTTTCCCAGTTTATCAAGGGGACCTTAAAAAGGTTGGTCCATGACAGAAAAGACTGCGAGATTCTCACTTAAAGACTTCCTAGCACAATTTTAAAACTCATTTAAGATTTACTCATCAAATGTGAAGCACAAATGTTTTGTTACAGACATCAGTTTATTAATAATTTTTGTTTTAAATCAGGATTTTACATCATATTTAGAAAAATGCAGGAGAACTGGCCAAGAACTCTATGCAGCTTTGTGCAAGGATCACGTTGAGGTAAGGATCTATAAAGTCTTGTTTTTCCCTGGCAGGAAAAACAAAATAGGGTTGGATGCCTCCAGGGAAGGAGAGGGGATGGTTCTATTGATTGATTGGCTGATTGATTACATTGATCACATACTGCAACCATCAGGAGACTCTGAGAAGTTTACATTAGTAAAAATGGAGAAAGAAAGAAAATAGTAAGATTGAGAAACGAACCATAGTTCTAAAATCATGATGTCCATCCAGTGGAGTTGTTATGCGTCAAATTCCCTTGAATCCTTATTCTCTTTCTGTTTTTTTTTTTTTAAGTAAACATTATCCAAGCAGGGGGTTTCTCTTTATTTTGAGTGTCTTTGTTTCACTTTCACTTTCTTAACTCATGTTTACTCCTTTGGGACTCATGTTTACTCCTTTGGGGATGAAGCAGAACCTTTTGCTGTGCATATTGCCTCCTAACAGCAGATCCTTCTGTTCAAGGTTTCGGCCAATCACTGATCCGGTGATCTATTCCAGATTCATTTGTGCTTCTTTGGCTTTCTTCCCATTCAGATCCCTCTCTGTTACAAAATACCATTTTAATTTTATTTTCCTGCAAAGCTTTGGGGCCCCAAATGTATTAATATCTGCATTTACTTCTCCGTGACGCTCGTATATCAGTGATATAGTAGTAGTCACTACCTGAATTCATTTCTAGCAGGAGATTTGATATTTATCTGCTTAAAATATAGTGAATTGATGGGAGTTATTGCTCTGAAAGCAATTACAGGAAAAAATACTTCATCACTGCTCACTGAGTGAGCTAAGAGGATTTGACTCACAAGATGTCCCATTCTGCCTATGTGACATTTTAGAGCAAAGTACTAAATGCAGCCCTCTTTACTACCTTCAATTTATTTCATTTTGATTGCATTTAAATTAAATCAAGGGTAGTTTATGAGTCCTGATAATCCTTCAAAAGCCCTGTGCCTCCCTTGGTCCCAAAGAAATGATCAGTTCTCGCATAAAGAACTCCACAATAGGTGGAGCTCTGGGGATAGAGCGAGTGTGCAAGTCCCTCCTCAGCTACCGGGGAGAGTTTCGTCTCATCCCAACCTGCCTTCTGTGGAGCATAAGTGGAGGAGGAGGGATACCAGGGCACCACCTGGAGCTTCTGCAGGTAACTGAGTTATTATTATTATTATTATTATTATTCTGCTTTCCTTTTCAAGGCACAGATGCAGCAGCTGGGTAAGAGTAGGAGCAGAGAAGAAGACTTTGCTCTTAGGGATTCTCTCTTTCCTGCAGAGATTGCTGTGCATGCACTCTAAGTCTGCCAAAGCCTGGACTGAGCTTGAAGATCGACTTTTTAGGAAGGGGGGCCCGTGGGGCTCTGCAGTAGCTTCTCCAGTTGCAAGGTGGGTCCTGGATGCCTACGAAGGTCCTGCTCGGATGAGGAAGAGGATCCAGTTCAAAGTCGCCCACGATCCAGCGGAACCACTGCAAGACAAGGTAACCTGCTTTCAGGGCAGGAGACGAGAAAACAGGCTCCAGTCCCCTCTTGCCCAGGGTTGTCTCATCAACCGAGACTTCCCCGAATGACGGATCGCTGAATTACATTAATTGCAGTTGAAAACTTAAAAAAAATTAAATTCTGCCTTACTGTGCCCCTGGTGCCAGCCAGGAAAGGAAAAGAAGAAAAAAAAGAGGCTGCTTTGTGTTATAAAAGAGGCACGCTCAAAGTCTGCAGTTTAGCCCTCTGAGCTGGCAGGCTGGGAGGTTTGCTAGCTGTTGATAAGGCTGAAGAGGTTATTTCAGTTCCTGGCTTGCCATGCAAAGTCCTAGGGTGACACTGGGGGATTTCAGGCCACAAAACCAGAAAACGGGCCAGTGAAGCCGAGCTTGCGATGCAGAGCGATTACGAGCAAGAAAAGAGTGGGAAACAGGATTCCCTCCCGCCGCCGGCTGAGGTGGCGTGGCAGGTGACTCTTAGATAACTGCATGAAGGAAATAAGCTGATGGGCTGGTACAGTGGTTAGAGTGAAGGATTGCAGGCAAACTCTGCCCATAGCCAGGAATTCGATCCTGACCAGCTCAATAGCCGTAGCCATAGCACTTAGATTTATATACAGCCCTCTCCAGCCTGTTGCCCCCCCTCAACAACCTGGGTCCTCATTTTACCCATCTCGGAAGGATGGAAGGCTGAGTCAACCTTGGGCTGGTGAGAATCGAACTGCCAAACTGCTGGCAGACGGCAGTCAGCAGAAGGAGCCTGCAGTCCTGCATTCTAACCACTGCGCCACCACAGTCGATTCAGCCTTCCATCCATTTACCAGCTGGGTAAATGAGGAGCCAGATTGTTGGAGGGGGGAGGGGCAATAGACTGACTCTGTAAGCGGCTTAGAGAGAGGGCTGCAGAAAGGGCTGTGAAAGCGGTGCATAAGTCTACAGTAAGCTGTTGCTTCTGGTTCTAGGCGCCTCCAGGAGTCAGTCCCTGTGCAGAAGCGGCCTGGCTCCGTCTTCAGGGCCTTCCCTGCAGCTCAAACCTTTCCTCTTTCCAGGCTCCCCAGACACGGAAGGCGGCCTCCCCTCCAGCTCTTGTGGCAGATCAAGGTAATCTTCCCAGCTGAGGTGCCGTGATGGCACAGAACATGCCGGCCTGACTGCAGGGACCACACAGAGGCCTGGCAGCCTTTGCTAAAGCCAATATTTCCAACCCTAACCCTTCCCGCCGCCTGCTGACGTGCTTTGTAAGAGCAGGCAGCACACGCTTTTTTTAAAAAAAAATCATATCGCGTTCCTAAGCTACAGTATGTGATAAAAGCAAAGATTAGATTTTCAGTTAAAGAACAGAGCGTCTCATAGAAGGATCTTCTTGTTCCACAGTGCTATGGAAAGCTATTAAGGTGCTGCACAGTTTCTGCCTTTTATTTTAACGCAGGTGAACGACCAGCCCTGAGCAGAGAAGCAGAAGCAGGTCGGGATCAGCTGACATTTTTTCCTGCCCTGCATGAACATCTCCATTCGGAGGAGTTCATGGAAGTCTGTGTGGAAAGGAAAATCATCCTCCAGGAATTAGTACAAGATGAAAAGGTACAATCACAGCAAGTCTGGAGCACGTGGGAAGGGCTGACCGGTGCTCTCCCCAAATTTCAGCCGCTTCCACGTTCTTCCTCTCCTGTTGCGAAATGAATGGGCAAGGCCAAAGGGGGGGGAGGCGCCCCCCTTTCCAATCAGGAGGCAAACTCTTCATCAGAAAAGCAGGGCTATTTTCACCCACTCACTACGGCCCCTTTTTGAAGCTTTTTATGGTTAGGATTAATTAATTTCTCAAGTGACTAACAATTATTTTAGTATGAATAAGTCTACATTACGGATGGAAGGGCATTTAGAAGCAAGTGTTGCTCAGTCAATGATTCTTAATTTTTTATTTGTAAAATATTAACAGGGCAGAAAAAGTTAGCAGGGCCACGCAGTTTACATGCATTGCCATCTTCCCTGTTTAAGATTACCTGCCGGCTGTCTGTGGTGATAGTTGACGGACACGTAGCGTTGGAAGGGGCGGTTCTCTTTGGCCGGGACCATTTCTACCTCTGCAAGCATTTTACTCTGTCCCACCTGGGGGATGTTTATTGCACGCGCCACTGCTTGTCCTGGTGAGTGGTTCCCTACCTGAGCGGCACCTGGGGTTAAACGGGCTATTGCTGGTCAAAACATGCCCTGTCTCTCACCTTGCTACCATGTTTCCCGGAGAGATGGCTTTACATCCAGAGAGGGAAAGGAGATGCTGCCCTCCATCCAGACCCCCCCCCCGCGGGTCTCAGACTCCATGGTCCCAAAGGGTTCGGGCTGGCTGAGGCTTTGGAAAAAGGGCTCCTCTTTAGGGGAGCAAAGAAGGTGCTGAGGAAAGAAGCCAAATGGCTTCCTGTTTATAGGGCAGGAGCTGGTCTTATTTTCTGACTCAGATTGACGGGCCTGGAACAAGTTGTCATCTGCAGGTTTTAGGGCAAGGCAGAAGAGGACAACCGCCTTGCTTGCCACTAGCAGAGTCCAATGAATGATGCAATGGTTGTTTAATGCACACTTCCTATGTTTGTTTCTAGCATCAGTGAGCCATTCCTTTACAACTTGTGCCGCTCAACGGAGGCCATGGCTGTGGAGCCCACGTGTTCCTGCCATTCCTACGGTGACATTCGGGAGATCCGGCCAATGCGTTTCCTTCTGCAGGTAAGAACCAGCTGGCTGTGCACCTAGACTTTCCTTTGAGGAGAGGACACCTAAGGAAGACAAACAAAGTCTTGGATAGATACTCAGTAGGTTAGAGTGAAAGAAATCATCAACTATTATATAAATGCACAAACTGTTAAATGCTTCATTGGATGGCAGAAAAAGCCAGGATGATTCTGAAAATATTTGAATGAATTCCATATCTACATTTGACTTGAATGTGCTCTAAATCCTCAACTTGATCAGGGACAGAGCAAGAATAATAGCAACAATAAACCAGTGAAGTTAACCAAGTATAATTTTTTTAGAAAAAAAACTGCCTGGGTTTTGCCAGGTTAAATGAAGTGGTTTCTGATTTTGACATTTCTTCCAAGCCTGAGTCTTCCTGTCAGTGGGATGCTTTAAGCAATCGCAGAACTGGAATTGCATAGATGAGCAAGCTGAACAAAAACAATTGTTCTTCCAGCAGAGCTCTTGGAAACCTCATAAGGTTTTCAGCTTCAGGACAATTGACCGACTGCACGAGCGGCTGTGCTGTGGACCCGGAGCAGGGTTCTGGGTTGGGAGTTCTGAACCTTTCGGCGGGTCCTGCCAGAGGCCATGCTCCAAAAAAACAGCGGCTAAGTCCGGGAAACAATTCTCTAAGTCATTCATATATATACTCTCTAGCTGTATCCTTAAACGTAAAGTTCAGTAGTAGTTTTTGAAGATGCCTGGAGGACAAGCTTTCTGTAGCTGTCTGATCTGCATCCCTGACAATGAATTCTAGGGATAGCAGCATGGAGTTCCCAAGGTCCCTGGATCTAGTCCGGTTGGCTAGCCGATTGCAGCTGAAATCGCCTAGAGAAAGAAGCATTTTTCCCTTTCCCTTGCCAGCAGACCACGCCCCATTTGGTTTGTCTTCACAGGAGGTCGCCCTGGAGATCTTCTTAAACAACGGCTATTCCATGTTCCTTGTATTCCACAACAGCGACAGGAAGAAGGTCTTGACAAGGTACCTTTTGAGCAGCTGTGAAGAAGCTTTGCTTTCTGCCTGGTCCCACAGGGTTTTCTTCAAGAGTTCATTAGAAATCTTACTTTTCCACATACAGTATGCCTAGCTATTTGCGCTGTTTGAGAAACATTTGTTCTGTGCAACAGACCATACGTTACGTGTTGCCGTGTCACCAGCATTTGCACGTTTTCGCATCATTATCAAACATTCTACAGAGGCCCACAGAGTCATCTATTTGTTCCAATTATATGAATGTAACAGGTAGATTTCCAAGACCTTCTTTGTAAACCTGTGTTTCTCTTGTATCTGCAGAATATTAAAACAGACAATCGCTAAGCCCAAACACATTCTGGCCTTAGTCAAGTGGGAATGAGAGTGACAACTTGGCTTCCTGCCTTTGGCAGGCAAAATCGGGGCACGCTGGATGAATTGTTCTTTCTGACCCTGTTAGAGCGATGATAGAACAACCATGAGAAAACCATACGAAAAATCAAGTGGACCTAAGAAATAACTAACTCTTGAAGAAAAGAGCAAAATATAACTATAACTATAACTATATCTATCTATCTATCTATCTATCTATCTATCTATCTATCTATCTATCTATCTATCTATCTATCTATCTTCCCCTCCGTGCATCCCTGGGCAAGCGAGAGAGGTGCCTGTTGGGAGAGCTGAGGATGCTGGCAATTGCTCGGTTCCAAAGTCTCTCCTGGTCACATGACCCAGAGAGGACCCTAGGCAGCTTTGGAGAGTCTCCCAGGCAAGCAGCCCCAGGGAGGCCCCCGGGTGCCCCATAAAAAGCATGAGAGGTAGACAACTCCCGGATGCGGCGGATGAAGGAGGACCCCTTCTGCAGGCTTTCCCCGTCTTGTTTGCTTTTGCGCAGGTGTGGCTGCATATTTGTGTGCTCTTTTTAGAAATAGGATCCCCAAACAAAGTCGTTCCAATCCTGTCGGTGGGTGGTAATTGCTGTATGTCCATCATAAATATGCAAGAATTTTCAGAATGAATTGTCTAAGGCTCTCACCTTCCAGAGGAATAACGCTACTTTTCCCCCTCAGATTTTGTTCAATGAAATCAAAAGGCACCACAGATGAGTCTACTCATAAAAGGTATATTTGCATATCCTAATATAGGACCAATTAAATGTTGTAGTTTTTTGTATTAGCCCTTTCCTGACATTTGCCTTAGAAACACTGAATTTCAGCTTTGGGGGACAGATGGTTCTTTCTCTAGCAATCATTTTTACTGCAGCTGTTAAGTGAGTCACATGATCATTAAGTGAATCTGGCTTCCCCAATTGACTTTGCTTGTTGGAAGCCAGCTGAAAGGTCACAAGTTGTGATCAGGTGACTGCAAGACACAACCGTTGTAAATGTGAGCCAGTTGCCACCTGCCTGAATTGTGATCACGGGGCGCCGGGGATGGGGTGGAGGTAGAGCAACAGTTATAACTTTGAGGACAGGAAAGTCATTTTTTCCCAGGCTGCTGTAACTCTAAATCATTTTTAAATAAACAGTCGTAAGTTGAGGACTACCTGTACACATTCAGGTATAAAGTAAATGGATTTGCATTCTCAGAGGCTAGCATGACGTCAGAGTTCAGATCTTGTTCTTCCACGCTCGTTTACTATTTGGACATATTAACATAACACTTAAATAACAAATGAAGGGATTTCCAGTTAACGGAGGAACAGAATGAGCACGGAGCACATGAAAGTGTTTAAAGAAAGAAGCAAAGCATATTTCTTTCCAAACAAAGAAGATTTCTGCCGTATTGACCTTTAGAGGCTCGTATAGCAGTCCTGCAGAAGACAGAGAACATTAACAGTTTCTGTTGGAGCTGATTACATTTCTCCTTTTTTATTTTTATTTTTTTAGTAAATGCTAAACACAGTATTACAGTAACAGAAATATATGGGTATTCCAAGAAGAAAGTTCAATGAACAGAATTACCACATTTACAGTTTTGTTCATTTCTTAAATCAGCCTTTGATGGACGCAGATACGTCAGGATCATTTACTACATCCCTCTTCTAAATCCTGTAACGCCAGGCATCATTTGCGCTTCAGGCTCTGCCTTAATTTCAGCTATTTTGTGTGCCTCTGACCGGGAAGCCTCTGGATTTAGCTCTCAAGAACAGCTGATTCATGCTGTTTTGTTTTATTCTTAGAAACCTGGGCTTTCGTAGATGTCTCTAGAAACATTTTTTGGATTCAAAGTGTATGGTTCACTTCAGGGTTTTTTCCCCTTCCTTTCCCTTCCCTTCATCTAATCTCATCTAATCTATCAGGTACATAGTCTGCATTTGCTTTCCAACTCAAAACACTTAAACAGAACATAGAAAGTAGGATGCATGTTAAGAAGTAGAAGCATTGTATTAATACTGAAGCCATTTCCCAGGCAAACGTCAGAGGCTTGGAGGACGTAGGGGAGGAAAAGCCTTGGAGAAGCTCAGGAAAAGACCTGGCTGGAGAGGTGGGCTTCTGAAGAGGTGGGCTTCCTGCCAATCTTAACAACTAGCTAGGTTTAAAACTGGAGACCCTAACTAAGCCATTTAGGACTTTCAGGGCTAGTATCTTAAATTAACAGTACAGAGATAATGTGATCCCTGTATTTGCACTAGTTAGCAGACAAATTTGCAAAATTATTGGCTGTAGATTTAATTTATGTTTGCCTCTTAAAATGGTTTTGGGAAACTATATGTTCATCATAGCACAGAGGTTCATTGCTCCTTGAATGACTTATGATAATTACATTCCAATTTTTGCCCTAGGCCCAACATTTTCTTTTGGCCCAGAAACCTCATGTCGAAAGCAGCATCCCTGGTGTGTGAGGAAGGAGTGCCTCATGTGTTTTGGAACTCCTTGGCTGCTCCTTTGAGAGGAAATTCTGTAGGGAAGCAGCTTGGTTTTTATAGAAGACGGTCAAATGTCCTGCATAAATGTGACTCGGGATCATGCATGTCCATATCGATAATCCATGATGTTCTTTTGACTAGTTCTCATATGCACACGAGATAGCACACAAGGACTAAATGCTAGACATCCGAGTGCTGGCACATGGTCGCTTTCAGATAAGAGTTTTGTGGGTACACAATAAACGCTAGGTCTGTGTGAAATGGCTCAACAGAAGCAGAGATTAGGGATGACCTGGATGGAAATATGCTAGAGCCGAGGCAAAAGGGGCTGAAACTTTTTCAAGTCCCGAACATCATGACAACACTTGGAAGCAGCTCCCACAAAGACATGTCGTGAATTCATTGAACTGCAAGGAGGAGAAAAACAGCACAACCAGGTTTTCCACATTCTGTTATTATGGCCAACCTCCAAATGTAGTTTTAGCCTTCTTGTGGAGTTGTTTTCCTGGTCTGGTGTACCTAGGGGGACTGACAATAGGGGCCGCCCAGTATGTGATAGTGGCAGCGTAATCCAAAGACCCTCACAACTGGTAACATAACAAATGTGCAACGTATCTCCATAGCCTGAGTTGCAGAGTCCCCTTCTGCATGCACAGCAAAGTCTTGTGACTCCGGATTGCAAATGATCGAGGCATCCCTTATCCATCTTCATAACCTGAATGCCGTCTGTGGCCCCAGGCTGTAAACCTCTTTTCTTCTGCTTGCAATGATGCATCCTTTGAATTTTCTGAAGGCTTTGTGTCCTGGCCAACGTTGTGTTTAAACGCTAGAGAAGCAACTCATTTTGAAATTCTCAGTGTACTAATTCATCTGACACTCTGAGATACAGAGAAACTGCAAAACTCCATTATGGGTTGAGCTGAGGCATAAAATAGGACAATTTAAAATAGTAATTTCCGTATGCAATTACCAAGGTTGCCAGCATTAACTCTTACAAGCGAGGCAAGAAAAGGAATAGGTCCACACCCAGGAAATTTCAACAATTGATATGGTGTTAAAGGTTCACAATCAAAGGGCTACCAAAATACTGTAAAATTCAAAATGCAGTTAGAGATTTTTTCTTAGGCCAAATATCTAAAGAATTTTGAAAGGAGCGACTTCCGGTGGATTTTGCGTGCGTGATGGCGGCTACTTTGTAGCCGTCCTCCTGGGTAAGTGTAAGAACCGCTATGAACAGCAGACACCAGCTGTTCAGCGGTTCAAAATCCCCCTCCCGGGCAAAGGGGGGGGGTAGAGAGTGTCTGAATAGTGGTAGAGCCTCTTTCGCACCCCCCAAGTTTTTTTTTTTGGGGGGGTGAAAGGAGTGCTCCCACGGAGTTCAGACTTGTCTCCGCTTCCCAGCTGTTTTTGTCCTCAGGGACAAAACGAGCCGCTGCAAACACCTCCGTGCTTAAAGAGAACTGGTGAGTTTTTTTTTTTAAATGGACAGAGCTGAGTAGAGGATTTAGTTTTTGCTTTCTTTGACTTATTTGGATTTTAAGTTTTAAGATTTGTTTCTATTTTTATTCTCTCTTTTTATTTTTTTTCTTTGTTGAAAGGGAAAGTAAAATGGCGATCGGCAAACTCCTCGGTGTTTTTTTTTTCTGGAAGTTAGAATGCTGACCGGCAGGCTTTTTGGTGTTTTTCTTTCTTTCCTTTCCCTTTCTCTTTTTATTTCCTTATGATTGGAATGGTTGTTTTTGGTATCTCTAAGTATTTTTTTTGGAACGGACTTTTTTTATTTAATTATTATTTTTTTTTTCTTCTCCCTTTTTTTTTCCTTTGAACTCCCTTTTTTTTTATTGTAATGACCCTTTTTTGAAGGACTTTTTTTCTGTTTAATTTTTTGTAATTTTTAAGAAGGAGTAAAACTTTTTTTTAATTCTTTTTCTCTTCCTTTTTTTCCCTTTTTTCTTTTTATTATAATGACCTTCTTTGGAGGGAGTTATGATTTTTGAAGGAATTTTTATAATTTCTTAAGAAGGACTAAAGGTTTTTCTTTAAGATGGCTCCAAAGCGTCCAGGGATTTCTACAGCTTCTAAATCAACAGTTTCACCCTCTTCTGGGGGTCAGCTAATAACTATGAAGGACTTGCAAGACATGATGGGAGATGTTATAATTCAAATTAGGGCAGAAATGAAAAAGATTTTAGAGGAAAACAATAAGATCTTGAGACAAGATTTTGTTTTGGCTTTAGAAGGTGTTGCTTCTGTTCTTGAAAAGGTGAACTCCCATGTGGAAGAGGTAGCTGAAAAAGTGGACATAATGGAGGGGAAAATTGAAAGTATGGAAAAAGAAATGGAAAATGAGATTCTTATGCTTCAATATGGACAAATGGAATATGCCTTAAGAATTAGAGGCCTGGGAGAGTCTTTGCAAGGAGATCTGAAGGAGATGGTTGCAAAGGACTTTGCATTGATTTTGAATAAAGAAAAAGAGGGAATACTTAATGAAATTGAAAAATTATTTAGGGTTAACTCTGTGGTGGCAGCACAGAAGAATCTGCCAAGAGATGTGGTAATTTACTTTGGTAAAAGATCTTTACGCAATGAAATTGTGCAAGCCTATTATAAGAAGAGATTTCAAATTGCTTCACAAGATGTTATAATTTTTAAAGAGATCCCATCTAAAATTTTAAGAAGAAGAAAGGAGTTTGCTTTTTTAGCAAATGAACTTAAAAAGAGAAAAATTTCATTCAGATGGGATGTTCCGATTGGAATGGTGGTGAATTACCTGGGGACATGTTATAGACTTAATACTGTTTCTCAAGCAAAAGATTTTTATACTTCGGTCCTGGGGGTATGTGCATCGCCATCAATTAAGTTTAAAGCTTTGGAAGAAAAGAATGTAGAATCACAGTTTGAAGAGCCTATATTTATGAAAACTGGAGAATCTTTGTGTGAGAGGCCTCAACAAGTCCAGGTTGAGGAGCAGAAGACAACTTGTGCAGTATATAATCCCAAAGAAAAGCAGCAACAGAAGAAGGTTAAGGAAGTTTCATATTTAGTGGTTTCTGAATCTCTGGGAGATGTTAGACCTACAAAGTCTTTGGAGCAATCTTTAAGGGTGGAATTGTTGCCTGAAATGGAAACTGGGAAATCTCAGTCTGAGGGGCATCAACAAGAGAGGAATGGGCAGAGGATAACTTGTACAACTTACAATTGTAAAGATCAATACAAGGAGGAATTTAAGGAACCCTTATTGGCTTCGGAGTCGATGGGAGATTCAGGAATTTTGGAGCAGTCTCCTAAGGCAGAACTTGCAGCATTTCTTACGAGTTTGATACAAGAATGGAGAAGGGAAATGGAAGAATGGAAGAATGGAGAATGGAAAAAACTGGAATGTGAATAATTAATAATACTAATATAATTGAGATTGATAAGGATGTAGTTTTTTACGGATGGAATTAGTTATTGGTGAAGATTGAAATGTTTAATGTGTTTATTAACTTTGTTGTTTTAAGTTTTGAACCTTTAATGATAATATTGTTTAAATTTGTGTTTTGAAGGGATTATAATTTGCTTATTTTAGTGAGTGGATTCTAATGTTTTAAATTTTAAAAATTTGTGGTTTTGGAGGGAGTTTATATAGAGTGATGATTGTATTTAGATTTGTTTAGGATTTAAAAGTGTTTTTAGTTTTTAAATATTATTATTAATATTTTTAAGACAAAATAATTTGTTTAATTAAATGTGCTTAGATTTGTTTAGGACTTATAGGTTTTTTAAGTTTTTGTTTTTTTTTTTTTTCTTTTTGGATAGGAGAGAAGATTATGAAGATTGAAGGAAATATGTACTTACTTTAAGTTCTTTAAGAGTATTTAGCTTTAATGGTATAACAAAGATTTGTATGTTTATTTTTTCGTTTTAGGATAAAGAAAGAGGGAGAAATTAGATTTTATATTATAGATATAGATATTCAAAGAAAGTAATGTTTAAATTTGTGTTTTTGGAGGGAGCTTATATAGAATGATGATTGTATTTAAATTTGTTTAGGTTTTAAAAGTGTTTTAAGTTTTTTTTTTTTTTTTAATTAAGCCTGTACTCAGCTCTGGGAAGTCCAGGGGAGGGTTTGGGAGCTTGGGAAGGGGGGGGGTGAGGTAGGGGGGGGTATGGGAAGGGGATTTGTTTTTGTAAAATGTAAAAATTTTCAATAAAAAAAAAAAAAAAAAAAAAAAAGAAGAATTTTGAAAGGAGCCAAAAGAATTGCAATTGTTGTTCGCTAGGTTGAGGTGCAACATGTGATCTGTTGGTAAGAGAGAGACACGCTGGAGCAGGCAGCCTGGCTGCTCTCTAATGATCCTTGGGACCTGACTGGATTTAGCCAGGAGCAAGAATCATCAGAAGAATAGATTTCACCCCTCTGTGATTTTTCTAATTCAGGACCTCAAGCTCCTAAATATTGTTAGTCATGGAGGGGTTAAGGACACGGGGACAACCCTTGGCTCTTCTTCCCAAAATCCAAGTTTTGAACTGGAAAGGGAAACTAGCCTGGTTCTAAAAGGCAAAGCCGCCCCTTCCTTTTGGTGGTAGCATCCTGCCTCTGGCAGCCAATCACCTTGGGACCTCTGAGAAGGAGGAGAGAGCAGGCCTCTAGCCCTGGGCTACCTTGGGGTGCCCCTCTTGTGTCTGGTGGCCAAAGGCCCAGCCCGGCTCTGTTGGGTCAGAAGAGGGGAGGGGAGGCCTTCACCGCTGTGGCACCTATCGGAAGGTCTGCTTCCAGGGGCAAGTGGGAGAGAAGCTGGGGATAGCAGGTTTTAGAGCCTGGTCTCTTGCTGTGGGAATGTGTGCTGGATTGACACAGGTCTGCGAGCATCATAGAAGTCACACGTGACCTAGTGCTGTTTTATTAGTTGGGATCGTTCCTCAGGAAGGGGTGCACAGTTGCTCTGCCCTGCGCTGAGTCGCTCAGGTGGGGATGGGCCTGGCGGCCTCTTCACCTCCACTCGGCTTGATTCTCCTTTGCCAGGGAGTTGGGGGTCATGAGGTTTGAGAAATTTGGCTTTCTGAGGGGGGCAGGCACCGTGTTCTTCAGCTTGTTGAGCTTGTCCCTCTCTTCCTGGCATTTCCTCAGGCAGGGGGGGCAAAGGTCCTTCTCTTCTACCAAATAGAGCGTCTCGAGGCGCTTGATGTTATCAATAAAGATTTCCTCTTCGGTGGGTCCAGGAAAGGGGTTCCTCTTGGCGTTTAGCTTCTTCAGCTTGGGGAGCTTTGCGACGCTGTTCGGGATAAGGGTCAGCAGGTTGTCGAAGACCCCAACCTCCTGCAGCTCCTTTAAAGCCCCCAGGGTGGTCGGGAGGTTGTCAATGTGGTTGAGGCCCAGGTTAAGGTTTCGCAGGCTCTTGAGCTGGTTCAGCTCCATGGGCAAGCTGCGGGCCGTCAGCTTGTTGTTGGAGAGGTTGAGGAAAATGAGGTTCTGCAGGTTCCCGATGGTTTCCGGCAGCTTGTCAATCTGGTTGCTGTGCAAGTCCAGCCAGCGCAGGTTCTGGAATTTATCGATTGACTCCGGGATTTTCTTAATCATGTTTCTGCTCAGGTCCAGCTCGTCAATGTCCTCCAGCTTTAGGATGCACCTGGGGAAGGTTGTGATGCCCATCTTGCTCAGGTCAAGACGGCGCTTCCCATCAAAGGTGATCTTGATACAGGTCTTGGCCACCTTCAAGGTGACCTTCTTCCCCTTGGGGGGTTTGGCTCCTCCCTTGGCCATCTCTCTGGCTGGAAACGGGGCCCCTCAGAGGGCATGGAAAGGTATCCCGGTGATATCTGCAGGTGTCGCTCGAGGCTGGACCTTAGAAGCCTGCAAAGAGACGGGCAGCAGAGTTAACCAGGAGAGGGACCCTTCCTCCAGAGCCCGCCTGCCCAGCCTGCAGGGCTGCTGAGGCCGGTTGCCGAGGGGCGCTGGGGAGACAGAGAACAGAAAGGCACCTGTTCCCAGGTAGGAGGGAGCTGCTAGAATGGGTTGAGCATCAAGTTCTTGATAACTGGTAATGCTTTGCTTCTCATGGTAATACTTTTTCTATAAATACGTGTTCTGTCATCTCTACGTGTTCTGATATCTTTACAAATGTGTGCATTGTTTTACTCACAGCTAGGTAAGCTTAGGGAAGCAAATATCATCTATAAAGTGACTTTCAAATCTATCTTACTACTAGGTTCACGAACACTTTGAAAATATTATATTACGCATGGATATATATATATATATATATATATATATATATATATATATATATATATTAGTATTTCAAAGAGTTGCTGCAGTGATCTTAATCGGAAAGTGTTTATCATTTCAAAGCCTGTCATAGAAGTAGAATAATATTATTTTATTCTAAGGAGTCTTAAATGAAACAAAAGCTGTACAGCTACCAGCACAGCCTGCGGTTTCAACTGTTATTGTTTGGAACTGATGCAGTTTGGACCTGTAATTGGCTTGGAATTACAACTGCTGTACCAGCTCAGGGAGTAAGATTTATAGTTTATAAGGCCATCCATGGCTGGCTAAAGCAAAGGAAGGCAATTTGTACCTAACAATATATGAATTAAAGTCATATTCAGATAATTACTTTTCATGACACTAATTTACACATGATAGACAAACCTCTGGCATACTTTAATATTAGATGTTTTCATGTTTCATCTCTGTGGTTAAAGCAGCAAGTAGAACTGCCACAAATCCATGGATTATAGCCAGCCAATAAAAGGATTTTTTTATTGTAGACAAAAGGAGCTAGCCAGTATGTTTATAACAAACATTTGAGGAAAGCATTATATGCTCCTTTCATTAGACAAATTCAGTGGGAGCATGTACATTTTCAACAGAAAGGAAAAATACTGGTTCACGTAGGTGTCAACCATGATTTATTTTGCATTCCTCTTCTATACACTACAGCAATTCAGGGCTGATTTTTGCTCCCTGTAGCGAAGTAAGGAGGTACATCTATAATTAAAGGATTTATAGGGGAAGGGAATCCTATGTCACTGATTGTGGATCTGCTACTTGGGGAGCAGAGATAGAAGCTTGTAAGGCTTTCAAGGGTTCTTTTTTAGAAATATACTAGATCTATTTCAGTGTTTATGCGATAGTTTTGTTGTGTCAAAATAAGGTTTACTTCAAGTTGAGACTTGAATCCTAGTGACATCATCACAAATTATGCTATTTTCTTAAAACATTATCAAAGTGGTTTGCCATTGGCGCCTTCTGCTTAGGCCTGGCGTCCCTAGCCCACCTGAGGTCCTTTTGCCGAGCGCGTTCCCTCTCGCCCGGCTCCCAGTCCTGGGGAGGGAAGGGGAGAGAGGGAGACGGCTCGGCCTGCGCCAAGGGCGGAAGGCCAGGTTTTCCTCCTCAGGTGGCCCAAAGTCCCCAGCCTGATCTCTGGCGGAGGACAAGTTAAACTTCTACCAGATTTTATAGTCCCACAAACCGGGATACATCTTGCCCTTAGCCTGCGTAGCCTTGTTACTTGAGGCAAATTGCCAGGCTTGGAGAGTTGGAGACCGCAGCAAGTGTGGCTACCCCCCCCCCCAGGCTCTGCTGCCTGAGATCGAGGAGGGTGGGATCCTCTTACTGCTTCTGGCTGATTCCTTGCCTCTCGCCCCTCGCGGCAGCGGCCAAGGCAGCAGCGTCAGCGTCACTCACCTGGCCCTCCAGGGTCCCCCAGCCTGCCCTGGGCATTTGCGCCTGGGGAGGCCACCAGAAGGGTGCATTTGTGAGGTCGTTGGCCACTGCTGGCAGCCATCACAGCCGCCTCACAACACATCATCTATTTTAGGGCATTTATCTCCTCTGCCTGCTTTGGTCAGAGCTCCCCTGGACCAGTCTGCCCATCCCTGACAAAGCAGTCAGGTGGAGAATGCTTGGGGGGGGGGGAGGGCTGCCCTAATCCTAACACCTCCCCCCCACAGCCCCCCCACACTTCTTACCTGGGACTCCGCCAGCTTCCCGCATGATGACCCACCTGGCTTGGTGTTACAATGGCCACCATGACTGCCGGGATTTCTGTTGCTAAGCGATGCGGTTGTGTGACGTCCTGCTTTACGACTGCATTGCTTAGCGATCCCCATTGCTATCATAAGGCAAGGACTCCCTGTACAGCCCCTCCTCGCTTGCTCTCCTGACAACTGCCCCCCCCCCCAGGCTGCTCTCCGCCTTTACCCATTAAATGCCAGGGTGCCTCACGCTTGGTCTTCCGCGTGGCTCCTCTGGACAGATGGGTCTCTCAAGGGGTCCGAGGGCAGAACAGCGTTCAAGAAGCAGCTGCCCTCCCTCTCCCCCCCCCCCAGAGAAGAGGCCAGGAAACAAGCAGGGATAAGCTGGTGGCTGTTTTGGAAGAGCCGAGGTTCCGGTTGGCTTATCCCCAGCTGATCCAAACTCTCCACATTTAATTGTGAGGAGTCAAATCACTGTTTTCATAAATGATTGTTTGTAAAAGAATGTAGATTTGTTTAGAACACACTTCTCCATTAGAAGGCTTCTGTTACAAGCGCTTCAGGCTTTTCGACTGCTCATTAATCATGGCAACTCCAGGGACCTCCAGCAAGATCAGAGAGAAACGATGGCTTTGCGTTTGTCTCAATAACCCACCTGAACAATACATGTGTGGCTGTGGCTGTCTGGGCCAGGTTCCTCCCTTCGCCCTAAAATTCATTCAGAGGAAAAAAGAGGTGGGGGAAGGCATTCCTGGGTCACATTCTGGCCAGGCTGGCCTTGACTTTACTGAGGAGTGTTTTAGAAGTATTAGAAAAAGTTTTTACAAAAGCCCCACTTCATCTGAAATCTGCTTTGATCTTTTAATTGCTCACTTTTTAATCAAAATTAATAAGATGGACAAAGAGAGTAAGAATTAGTCTAACTCCTGCCCTAATGCTGCTTAGTGTGTTTGTGCAGATGTAGATTAACAGGCAACCACCAGGAGGAATGGATGTGTGCCAGGAGCTCTATGGCTGGGGTCAAAATAATCAAGATGGTTTGCAAAAGTAAGATTTCTGAATTAGGCAATAAAATATTTGGAAATTCTCCTTTGTAGACTTAGTGCTCATTTAAATGCTAGCATCACTAAGCCAGCACGCAGCAGGTACTTCCCCTCAAAGTCACAGATGAACTGTCAGAATCCTAAATTCTGGAAAACTTTGTCTCCGGGAGCTGGCAAATTTTTCCTTTCTTCTATGCAATCACTTTTGAACCGGACTGGCCAAGAAAGGATTCAGAGGGACTTTCCTCGGGGTCACAGCTGTCAGCATAACTTCCACAATACATGGCACTTACTAAGGGTTGCAGCCCGTTTGGAGCGCCCGTCTAACCCAGGAATGATGTAAGCCTTAAAGATTTCCTTGCAGTCTCACCAGATTGCTGAATTTCCTAGATTGTGGTATAGCTGAGTAGCGCTTTAATAGCTTTACTTCCAAATAACAGGCTGCTTTAAATTAAATGGAGCCTGCAGTTCCCAATCCGGACTTGTAAATTCTACTGTACACAGAATCAACAAGAAAACAAGTATTTATTTATTTATTTTTAAGAAATTGCCTGGCCTCATGCTTTCTTGGCAAACCCATTCTTCCAAGACTCTTCTCTGATTAATGGAGAATTTCTTTCCCAGTGTTTGGAGATAAATCTTTGAACTGCATGGAAAACTCTATTTGATATTTGCTGGCCCACAAATTCTAAAACTGAAACAGCAATTTAAAACAACTGCCGATTTGCTTGCTTCAAGAGAGGGCGACTTACCCTGTTCCTGTGATATTGTTGTCAGCTGTTGTGATGCCGCCTGTGAAACTCGGTATCTAAGCGACAGGAAATCCCAAGCCCTTGGAGATCACACAACACGGGCCTCGTGCCAACGGGCAAGTTCAAAGGCAGCCCAGCCAGGCCAGCTCCACTTCCCGGGCCTGGGAAACCAGCCCCGCCCTATTAACAGAAAGCGCCTTCAGCCTCCCAACAGCCCCAGCCAGGGGCTCCTGACTGGCGAACGGGGGCTGGAACCATGTCAGAAGCTCCACCATGTCTGTGAGATCATTGCGGCGTTCTAGTCCCAGTGACACCCAGCAGAAGAGAGAGCGTCTTCTCCGATGGAGAGACAAGACATGTCTGAATGCTGCAGCAAGCATGTTCATTTGCATTCCATGCAAGCAGAGAGTCACCGCAGGGCCCCTGGCTCAGGACGGGGGGGGAAGGGGCAATGAAGTCATTTCCACCGATGGCTGTTTGGACCCTTCCGGTGAGGAGGAGCCCCCACCCTCTGGAAAAGTGGTGGCCTGTTTCAGGCCAGGTCACGCTGCTGAGTCTCATTTATCTCGGGGTCAGCTGTGGTTCTGAAATCCTTTCCACACACACACCATTGCCAAGCCCAAATCCCCCCACTTCTTCCTCATTTGTACTGCATACATTTATAGGTTGTCCTCACTTAATGACCACAGTTAGGGCTGGCAATTCTGGGGCTAAGAGACATGGCCATTAAGCACAGCATCTGGTGGTTGCAGTGGTCTTACAATTGTGATAGAGGAGAATACTGGCAGCTCAGGGTCGAACTGAGGGTCCTGGGTGCTCTCTGAGCCGGGCGGTTTTCTCACAGACGTTTCATGGCCCAAACTAGGCAGCAGCATCAGTGCTGCTAAGGGAGCAGCGCCTGCTCTCATGTTGATGTTTAAACTGACCAAGTTTGCGTTCAGATTTCAGACACAAATTGAATCAGGTCTTCTTTGAATCTCAGATCTCCAATGAAATCAAGGTTGATTTGCACAAATCGGGTTTTGTTCCCATTCTGTGGTCATTAGAAAAGGAAATGTGAGTGATACAATGTTATTTATTTATTTTTTGCAGAAAACAATCTGGGGGAAAAAAGTCCATGCTGTTGAAGTGGCAGGTAAAATCTTTTTTTGGTGTTGTTCCACTGAAATCAATCCATTCACCATCAATTAATTTTTTAAGATTATTTTCTTCACAGTTGAGTATTCTATACATACCAAACTTTACAAAAAGTGCTTCACTCTCTACGTCGGAGCCAGGAAGGATAGTGCTATTTCTCTATAAGCCATAGAGTTAAGAATTTTATATGCAAAGCCAGGAAGCAAGCATGGGAGCCCCCTGAGTCTGGCGAAGGGTTGGAGGAGGAGGAGGGGGAGGTGGGGGTGGTGAGAGTGGGTCCTAAAATCTTTGCTTGCTTGTTAGAAACTGCCTTTCTCGTTCTTGATCTGTCCGGCCCAATCCAGGGTGCTGCCTACTTGTGTGTCAGAAGTCCTGAGCTACGTTAGAATGAAAGGGCTGTCTCTCCTGGGCTTGAAGCTACTTCCAGCACCCATGAAATTTGGCCAAAGGGATATCCCAAAAATCTTTGTCCCAAACAAAGTTTTCCTCGTTGGATTACAGTCCTGAGCCAATTTGTTTCTAATTAGTCATGTTCAGATGAAACACTTCCCAGTTGTTAATATCTGCACTCCTCTACCGCGGCTTGGGATAATTTGGAATGATAGAAAGGCCTATTTTTGCGGGCTCATTCAGAAGCAGCTGCTATCATAGCGGGAGACTTCCATGCTTGGTTGAATTCAAACGGCACTAGAGGTTGTATGTATGGTTTGATAGTATATCACTGGATAATGAGTGCTGGGGATAATGATGCTTTGGGTTGGAATCAAAAGATGGATTTTGTGATATATGGGAGGGCTATGCTTTGCCCAAATAGCAAATAGACAAATGGAGACTTACATAGCCATTGATTATATTGTAGTCCAATGTAGGCTGTTTGTTCAGTCGATGGGTTTAGAGTCCGATGCCGTCTTCAAGCTCCTAACTTGAACTTTCAAATGGTTGATTCGAATCCAGCTTTATCTGGTAGAAAAAGGTGATCCAAGGCTTTGGTGGTCTTCCGTGGCCAGGAGATGAGTTTGGTTTTTTACTAGATTCAGGTTTCACCAAGTTAAGTTAGCAACGATATCAGCCGATTAATCAGAAATAGCTGATGAGCAATTTTGGATACTAATTCGAACCCCTTGTGACCTTGTGTCAAGGCCATATTTGGAAATGTTGTAGGTGTCCCAACTCTAAGTGTGGGTTTAATCTTGAATGCAGGAAGACAAAAAAGCCCCAGCTACAAGGCACTCAAGGGAGGGGGGGAGAACTGCCCCGTTCCTCCACAAACATTGAGCCGGCAGAAAATGCAATATAAAGCCTTCATTAGAAAGAAAAAAATGAACACCCTGAGAGAGAATTGATAGCAAATAATATCAGCTGTTACGTTGAAAAATTCTGCCAATTTTTGGCATTAGATTAGAAGGGGGTTTGTTACACACAACCGACTGTGGAATTTTAGCAGACGTTTGGGAGAAATATTTGAGTTCTATCTTTGCAGCAGCTTCTGGAAATCAGCTCCTAATCAAACCTATTACCAGAATGGGCCCCTCTCGCATCCTCATTTAAGCCTATTTCCCAACTGGAGCCAGGAGAACCGTTGGAAGCTCATACAGAATTGCGAGCGCCTCTTCTTACAGCCCTCTTTCACCATATGGACCATGCAGCATATGCTCAAAGACTGAGGCCTGTGATATATATATATATGTTTTCTGAGGTTTTCGCGGGTGTTTGTATGTAGGTCTTTGGTTGTTCAGGTTTTCTCCTGCGTAAAATTGGAAGTGTCTTGGCGACGTTTCGATGAAGTCCCATTCGTCATCTTCAGGCTGGTGTTTTCAGCTTCGTGCTTCGAACAGCGTCGAAACGTCGCCAAGACACTTCCAATTTTACGCGGGAGAAAACCCGAACAACCAAAGACCTACATACAAATACCCGCGAAAATCTCAGAAAACAAATATATATATATATATGTATATATATATATATATATATATATATATATGTATATATATATATATATATATATATATATATATATATATATATATATATATATATATCAATAATGATGGTGAAAATGCGACTCCCGGGCATAATTATAAATGGAATGAATAAAGCGCGTTCACCAGGAGAGTTTAAAGTTAAAATACTTTAATTAAAGTATTTTACTATATTAAAAGGTTGCCAAGCTTTCGTTGGGAAAACTCCCCAACATCTTCAGGGCTGAGAGACCGTTTCTAACAAGGTGATTCAAACGGGTTCCATAGACGTCTGCACGTGCTCGAGAGAACGACAGAAGAAATCTTTACTCCGATTCCCCCCCCCACCTATCAGCTGTTCAGCAGGGAATGCTAGCACAGTCTAGGAACCACGTGCAGACGTCTATGGAACCCGTTTGAATCACCTTGTTAGAAACGGTCTCTCAGCCCTGAAGATGTTGGGGAGTTTTCCCAACGAAAGCTTGGCAACCTTTTAATATAGTAAAATACTTTAATTAAAGTATTTTAACTTTAAACTGTCCTGGTGAATGCGCTTTATTCATTCCATATATATATATATATATATATATATATATATATAGTAAAATACTTTAATGTATATATTAATATATATATATAGTAAAATACTTTAATATATATATATATATAGTAAAATACTTTAATTAATGTATTTTAACTTTAAACTCTCCTGGTGAATGCGCTTTATTCATTCCATTTATATATATATATATATATATATATATATATATATATATATATATATATGTTTTCTGAGGTTTTCTTTTGTATGTAGGTCTTTGGTTGTTCGGGTTTTCTCCCACGTAAAATTGGAAGTGTCTTGGCGACGTTTCGACGAAGTCCCATTCGTCATCTTCAGGCTGGTGCTTTCAGCTTCGTGCTCGAGCAGCAATGTGTGGTCTTAGCTGTTTCTTCCTTTTAACTGCCAGTGGGGGTATGAACTGATTGGGTGGGAGCTTGGCTGTGTTCTGATTGGGTGGAGGTGTGTTCTGATTGGTTAGGGGCTTGGCTGTGCTCTGATTGGCTGGGGGTTGGCTGTGCTCTGATTGGCTGGGGGAGTGTTCTGTTTGGTTGTGCTCAGGTTAGTCTGAGTTGCAGAGGGATTCAAGATTTTGGGCTGCCCTGCCATTCCTTGGCTTCGCGTTCGTGGTCGTGCTCCTCTTCATGGAGGGTGTCAGTTTGCTTCATGTATGGATTGGAGGGGTTTAAAGTGGCTAATGATGCAGCTGTGGTCTGGCTTCTGGTTTGTGGTCGTGCCTCATAGTCAGTGTGGCTTTGGGTTTGTTTTTTGCGTGGATGTTTGGTGGTGACATCCTGTGTGGTTTTTGTGAGTGTGGGTCTGGTATCATTTTTTGTGTTAGGGAGTCGTTTGTCAATAAGGGCGGGTTTCCAAATGACTGGTAGGCGGGAGGTATCATCTCGCTTGTTCATGCTGTGTGGGCGTTTTTCTATCTCGATGGCTTCTCTGATTATTCTGTTATTAAAATGTTCACTTTTGGCAATGGTTCTGGTATTTTTAAAGTCAATTTCATGTCCTGTGGCTTTAAGGTGTTGGACCAGGGAAGATGTTGGTTCCTCTTTTTTGACTGAGTTCTTATGTTCTTCAATGCGTGCACTTATTCTTCTGTTGGTTTGTCCGATGTATGTGGTGGGACAAGTGGTGCATGGGATTTCGTATACTCCTTGATTTTCTAATTCAATTTTATCTTTGGGGTTTCTAAGGATGGTGGATATTTTTCTGTTTGTGCAGAATGCTGTTTTGATGTTGTGTTTATGGAGGATCTTACTGATTCTGTCTGTGGTGCCTTTTATGTATGGGAGGAGGGCTTTGCCGTTTTCTTGTTCTTTGTCTTGGATTTTAGTGGGGGTTTCTTTTTGGATTAGGTTTGTAATCTTATTTCTATGGAATCCATTGGATGTTAGTACATTGGTGAGAGTGTGTAGTTCGGGTTTTAGGTGTTGTTCGTCAGCTAAGCGTTTTGTTCTGGAGATGAGTGTCTTGGCTACAGAGTTGATCTGTGCTGGGTGGTGGTGTGAGAGAGCGTGCAGATAGCGGTTTGTGTGTGTTTTCTTCTGGTAGATGGTGTGTCCTAGGGAGCCATTGGATTTCTTGTAGACTAAGACATCCAGGAAGGGAAGTTGGTTGTTAGCTTCTGTTTCCATGGTGAACTGTATTTTGGGGTGTAGGCTGTTGAGGTGTGTGAGGAAGTTGTCCAGTTTTTCTTTCCCATGTGGCCAGATTATGAAGGTGTCGTCTACGTATCTGAGCCAGAGTTTGGGTTTGTGATCAGATTTTTCTAGAGCTTGGGTTTCAAAGTGTTCCATGTAGAGGTTGGCAATGACAGGTGAGAGGAGTGATCCCATGGGTGCTCCTTCTGTTTGTTTGTATTTTTGTCCATTATAGATGAAGTATGTGTTGGATAGGCAGTGGTTGGTCAGATCTAAGATGTGTTTGGGGGGGTTATATTTGTTTTGGATAGCTGTCAAGGCTTCTTTGATAGGCACTTGGGTGAAGAGGGATATGACATCGAAGCTCACTAGTAGGTCGCTGGGCTGTAAGTTTTGTTTCTTTATGATCTCTATAAACTGGAATGAGTTTTTTACGTGTGAGGTAATGGATTCTGCATAGGGCTGTAGTTGTTTGGCGAGAAATTTGGCTAGGTTTTGTAGAGGTGAGCCTATGGAGCTGACTATAGGTCTGAGTGGGGTTCCTTCTTTGTGTATCTTGGGGAGACCATAGAGTTTGGGGCATCTGGATGATTTCTCTCTGGGAATGATTCTTTGCTGGATCTCTTCGCTAATGGGGGAGGCTTTTATTTTGGATCTGGTGGTTTTTTCCAGGTAGGTGGTGGGATCTGTATTTAGGGGTTTGTATGTGGAGTCTTGGAGTAGGTTGGTTAATTTGGTTTGGTAGTCAGATGTGTTCATAACCACCGTGGCGTTGCCCTTGTCTGCTGGTAGGATTATTATGCTGGTGTCTTCTTTCAGGTTACGTAGTGCTGTCTGTTCCTCTTTGGGTAAGTTGCTTTTGGGTGGCTTGCTGGTGCAGAGGATGTTGGTGATTTCGAGTCTGATTCTGTTGGCGTCGTCGGGGTTGATTTTAGTCAGGCTGGTTTCAACTCCACATATAATGGTTTCAGTGGGGATGTGTTTGGGAGCGACTGCAAAGTTGAATCCTTTGGAAAGGACATTGGTTTCGGCTTTGGTGAGGATCCTATCTGAGATGTTATGCACTGTCTGCTTCATGTGTGGCTGTGAGGGAGGAGGGGTTTGTTTCTGGCGTTCTTGTAGTCTTCGGAGTTTGTTGGTGTGTGTATCTGTCTTGAGGGTGGTCTGTGTTTCGGCTCTCCAGACGGCAAGTTGTTTGGATTTGTCCCAAAGTGCGGGGTGGATCTTGTTGCTGAGTTTGAGGTGGAGTGTGAGGAGATCTTTGTTATAAAAGCCTCCCCCATTAGCGAAGAGATCCAGCAAAGAATCATTCCCAGAGAGAAATCATCCAGATGCCCCAAACTCTATGGTCTCCCCAAGATACACAAAGAAGGAACCCCACTCAGACCTATAGTCAGCTCCATAGGCTCACCTCTACAAAACCTAGCCAAATTTCTCGCCAAACAACTACAGCCCTATGCAGAATCCATCACCTCACACGTAAAAAACTCATTCCAGTTTATAGAGATCATAAAGAAACAAAACTTACAGCCCAGCGACCTACTAGTGAGCTTCGATGTCATATCCCTCTTCACACAAGTGCCTATCAAAGAAGCCTTGACAGCTATCCAAAACAAATATACCCCCCCCAAACACATCTTAGATCTGACCAACCACTGCCTATCCAACACATACTTCATCTATAATGGACAAAAATACAAACAAACAGAAGGAGCACCCATGGGATCACCCCTCTCACCTGTCATTGCCAACCTCTACATGGAACACTTTGAAACCCAAGCTCTAGAAAAATCTGATCACAAACCCAAACTCTGGCTCAGATACGTAGACGACACCTTCATAATCTGGCCACATGGGAAAGAAAAATGGACAACTTCCTCACACACCTCAACAGCCTACACCCCAAAATACAGTTCACCATGGAAACAGAAGCTAACAACCAACTTCCCTTCCTGGATGTCTTAGTCTACAAGAAATCCAATGGCTCCCTAGGACACACCATCTACCAGAAGAAAACACACACAAACCGCTATCTGCACGCTCTCTCACACCACCACCCAGCACAGATCAACTCTGTAGCAAGACACTCCTCTCCAAACAAAACGCTTTAGCTGACGAACAACACCTAAAACCCGAACTACCACACTCTCACCAATGTACTAACATCCAATGGATTCCATAGAAATAAGATTACAAACCTAATCCAAAAAGAAACCCCCACTAAAATCCAAGACAAAGAACAAGAAAACGGCAAAGCCATCCTCCCATACATAAAAGGCATCACAGACAGAATCAGTAAGATCCTCCATAAACACAACATCAAAACAGCATTCTGCACAAACAGAAAAATATCCACCATCCTTAGAAACCCCAAAGATAAAATTGAATTAGAAAATCAAGGAGTATACGAAATCCCATGCACCACTTGTCCCACCACATACATCGGACAAACCAACAGAAGAATAAGTGCACGCATTGAAGAACATAAGAACTCAGTCAAAAAAGAGGAACCAACATCTTCCCTGGTCCAACACCTTAAAGCCACAGGACATGAAATTGACTTTAAAAATACCAGAACCATTGCCAAAAGTGAACATTTTAATAACAGAATAATCAGAGAAGCCATCGAGATAGAAAAACGCCCACACAGCATGAACAAGCGAGATGATACCTCCCGCCTACCAGCCATTTGGAAACCCGCCCTCATTGACAAACGACTCCCTAACACAAAAAATGATACCAGACCCACACTCACAAAAACCACACAGGATGTCACCACCAAACATCCACGCAAAAAACAAACCCAAAGCCACACTGACTATGAGGCACGACCACAAACCAGAAGCCAGACCACAGCTGCATCATTAGCCACTTTAAACCCCCCCAATCCATACATGAAGCAAACTGACACCCTCCATGAAGAGGAAGCACGACCACGAACACGAAGCCAAGGAATGGCAGGGCAGCCCAAAATCTTGAATCCCTCTGCAACTCAGACTAACCTGAGCACAACCAAACAGAACACTCCCCCAGCCAATCAGAGCACAGCCAACCCCCCAGCCAATCAGAGCACAGCCAACCCCCCAATCAGAACACAGCCATCAGTTCATACCCCCACTGGCAGTTAAAAGGAAGAAACAGCTAAGACCACACATTGCTCCTCGAAGCACGAAGCTGAAAGCACCAGCCTGAAGATGACGAATGGGACTTCGTCGAAACGTCGCCAAGACACTTCCAATTTTACGCGGGAGAAAACCCGAACAACCCAAAACCTACATATATATTATATATATATATATATATATATATATTATATATATATACTACTTACACTATAATATAACGTACATATATCTACTTCACATATATAGAGATATGTATACATATATTATATCTATATATATATATATATATATATGATATTATATATATATATGTGTTCGAGGTTTTCGCGGTATTTGTATGTAAGGTCTTTGTTGTTTCGGGTTTTCTCCACGTAAAAATTGGAGTGTCTTGGCGACGTTTTCGACGAAGTCCCATTCGCTCTCTTCAGCTGGTGCTTTCATTCAGCTTCGTGCCTTTCGTGCCTCCTCCTCTCTCACTGCTTTCTTCCATTCCTGGTGGGTGAATCAGGCTAGGCTGGGGTGGGTGTCCAGAGCAGGAGGTTTCCTGGAAGGGGAGTGAGGGAAGCTGTTTTTCTTCCCACACGTGACCACAGGCATCCACAGGAAAAGGCACAAAAGAAAGCTGGAGAAACTAGCTGAAAAGACAGTGGCCGCCGTCCTGGGAAAACACGTTTAGCAAATGAGGTAACTGATAAGCCCGTTTTTCTGGGAGGCAGCCCTGCAACTGAGCCAACTCTCCTTGTTTTCATGGCCTGGCAGAGGAGAGAGATCAGCAACTTTGAGTACCTCATGCACCTGAACTCCCTGGCGGGACGGACCCACAGTGACCTCATGCAGTACCCCGTGTTTCCCTGGGTCCTTGCAGACTACCATTCCCAGGTGAGCCCCTTCCCGGTCAGGCGACTGCATCAGGGCTTGGTTGACCGAGAACGTCCCTAGAACAACATAGCAGTCCATAGAAAGTGCGCCTGGTGTGCCACTGGAACCCCTCCCCCGCTGGGCCGATAGGTAAAGCGATGTTGCATTTGCATCCCAGGCTCTGGACCTGGCCAATCCCAACACCTTCCGTGACCTCTCCAAGCCCATGGGGGCACAGACAGAAGAGAGGAAAGAGAAATTCATCCAGCGCTTCAAAGAAGTGGAGAAGACTGAAGGTACAGACCTCATTTCCAGCATCACCATGCTGTACCCCAAATCCCTGCTCCCCCCAACCCCCTTGTCTTTTTGGCAAGAAGGTCTGGAACAAACTGGAAGCAGCAGGAAGGTTGTTCTCACAAAACTGAGCGGAGATTAGGAGCTGGATAGAACGGGGTGGGGTGGGGTTGGCATGAGCAAGTGCAGCCCACTAGAACTGACTGGTCCGGCATCTTCCTGAGCCATCGGTCAGCCCTGATCAGGGGCCTGCTTTGGTTAAAGACGTGAATGAAAACTTGCTTGATAAGACACATTATTACACATTTCAGGGATTGCTTGATTTTGAAGAAATCAAGACAAATTGATATATCCAGAAATGAAGTCCATAAACTGTGGATTTTTCCTGTTTGTAGGTAACCTCTCGGCTCAGAGCCACTACTGCACCCACTACTCCTCCGCCATGATTGTGGCTTCCTACCTGGTCCGCCTGGAGCCCTTCACAGAAACCTTCCGATCTTTGCAGGTGGGATGAACTTTGCACGGGGTGGGGTCTTCCAAACACAGGGGTGGGTGGGTGAGTGGGTGGGGTGGCACCCGTGGCAAAGGCTCTGATGAAATTGGGAGCTTTTCAGCCGCACGAGCCCCCCCCCCCCGTGGGACTCTGTCCTGGTGCTTCTGGTAGCAAATGGATGCGTGCAGCAGGGAGGATTGCAAGGAGCTATGCAAGCCTAAAGAAACTTGGAAGCCAGGCGGAAAAGCTATAGCCGAGAGTTGCCTTCTAAGGTAGCTGAGAACTCAATGGCCTAGCAAGAAAGTTATTTATGCAATAGGCTCAGTCTTCACCATTAACTCTTAATTTCTCTGTCCCCCCTCCCACTGTTTCTTTCATTCGTCTTTTTCCTGTTGCCTACTAGTAAAAAGTACCCTGCACAAAACACAAAACAGCCTAAAGCAATTAAACAGTAGTAAGATTTAAATTCACCTTCCATGTAGTATGAAAAGTCAGTCTGGTGCTCTTTCAAAAGGAGTCCTTGCTTTGGAAACTGCATTAAGGCTGCAGGAGTCTCTGTGGAAGTCAGGGGTCCAATTTTCATTGCCAAAATAGCCGTGGAGCACAAGGAGTGGCGGGTGGGGGTGTGAGGTGTCGGTGTGGATGTGGAAATTTCCCTGCAGCTTCATAAAGTACCTGACAGGAACCGGGCAGCTTCTCCTGTCCCTCACCACTAGTCGTCAACTAGATGAGAGCATCAGGAAAGGAAAAGGAGAATTAACTCAAAATGGTAAGAACGACCGACCACTAAGAATGGAGGTCAGCTTCTTCATTAACAGGAGAGGAATGAGGAGGGCACATCATGAAGGCCCAGCAGAGACAAACGCTCTGGGCACCGTCATCCCTCAGTTATGGAGAGCCAAGAATGAGCCCTTCCTTTGATCTGGGTCTTCTGAATCAGCCAAGGTCAAGGTCAGGCAAACTCTTGCGCCAGTTTCAATTGGTAACTGCTACTGGCACGGTCGTCTGGCAGCATTTCGTTTCTGTGAGGAGGGTGAGAGCTTCCAAAAGTAAATGAATGAATGAATAAATGGAATAGTTCACTCCAGCACTATACGTGCAAGTAAAGTATCATTGAAAAAGCCCTAGCAGTGCTTAAACTCACAGCAGAAATATGAAACTATGTTATGAACGAAGTGCTACTGTTAAATATACTTTGCTAAGCGTGAAGCGATGCCTCGGTGCCTAACAGAGGCAGGACACCGGACAAAAGATACGGAAGGAATCTGTGACCTTGATCTGCAAATCCCTCCTAGTCCTAGAGGCAGACTTGCCTAACAAAGGGACATTGTACAGTAACATGAGCTAAAGGAAAAGCCTCCATTGTCCCTTATTGTTATGGAAAAAAGTAAAAAAAAATCTTTTAAAACATTAAAAACGGTGACAGCGAGAAAGAAAACAGAAATGGATTGTAGGAGAGGTGAGAGTTGCAAACGAAGCAAACAGGAATAAGGTTCATGCATTGCAGGAACAATTCTCTGGGCTGGAGAATATTCTGAGTTTCATAACTCACCATGAAGGGAGCTTTATCCAGCGGTGATCTTAAAAATATGTTACGTTTCCCCTTTAGCAGGCAGTCAGAACCTTTGCCGCCTCTTAAGTTCTGCAGGTTCAGAGAACAAATTTGGCTCCCAGGCCTTGCACCCAGGACCCCAGAGAAGAGCCGGGGGGGGGGGGGGGGAGGTTCCTGCATGGACTAATTAGCCGCCCCTCCTTTCCTGTGCAACCTGGGCATCTTGAGAGAAAGAAAGCCCACTAATTCTGATACAAGTATATGCAAATACAGTTATTAATATAAGAAATACTGCAAATCAGTTATTGCTTTCTTTATAAATAAAACAGGCGTGCGTTTTAGAGATATTACTTTCTCCAAAATGCATTAGATAGCTGCAAAAAATTACATTTTTCTGGATGGTAATATCTTTAACCAGATTTGAGGCGCTAACAACATTTCCTATGTAGATATTATTTTTATTTAATACAGATAACCTTTTTATTACAAATCACATCGTCTCTCTAGAGATTACCATCAGATCTCATAAAAACGGAAAAAGCAGATGAAAAGGTGTCAGTCACATACTCTGTCCAGAGTGTCCTCTATCTATGCAGATCAAAGCCAGGGAGCCCCGAAGAGGTTTCGGAGAGAGCTCGTTAGCTGGCGCTTTCTGCAGAGCTGACTCGTCTAGTTTTAACTGGAAAATGGTTCCGGGGGCCGCTAAGGCTGCCTCTGAGTGATGAACTCCTCTGCAACAATGACTTTGCAACACACCCGCCAACCTGCTCACGGTTCCTTGTCCTCCCTTGCACAATCCCACTGGTGTAGATTTACTCACAGGATGGGGCAGAGAGTAGTGCAATTAGGGAGAAGGAGGCGAACCCTTACTTTTTGGGGTAACACCCCCTCCCCCCGTGGATTATCAGAGGAGCACCCTGGGAACATGATTTGCTTCACTTTGGGGGGGGGAGGGCAGTTTTGTGCAAATGTTTTGGCATCACTGATGAGACTGTAAGTTTCAAGAAATCCTTAAGCGGAAAGCAGCTGATGCAACAACCTTCTGCCTGGACAGAGTTAAGGATGGCCTCACTGTGGGAACCTGTAATTGTTTGCAGATTCAAAATAATGAAACTGAGTATGGAAGGTGCAACAATCTGAGCCACCTTCCAGTCAATACTTCGTATCATTCTTTTGGGGGAAAAAAATAACAGCTTGCAAATGTTTCCTCCACCCAGCTAAGAGTCTTCCTTGCAAAACTCTTCTCTCTGGGAAATGTTACCCCTGCTCCCTGCCTGTTGCGTCCCTTTGAGATCCGTGCTCAGGTCTGAGGACTCTGAAGTCCATTTCAAGCCCTTTCCCCCTTCTTTCCTCTAAAGCATTTTCTGCAGAGTTTGGAGACACATTTTAGACAATTGCCTTCTTGAAACATCCAAACTCTTTTCAGCTTCAGTTCCTTTGCTGAGGAAATATTACCTTTGAGGTTATGCCGAAACTTAGAGAAGCCACATGCTTGCGTTCACCTGTACAATATTTTCTGTGCACATCAGCACCGCCACACTCTCCGGAAGCACCCTAGAGATCCCTTCGTGATTAATGGCTGGCAAGGAATCCGTTTCCCCACGTGCTTCACTCCTTTTCCTCCTAACGTGCCTTGCAGGGTGACGTCCAAACATTTCAAAATGCTTTGTTCTGACTCTTCAAACCATTTTGAAATGTTTTGTCATAATCACGGCTTGCAGTTCTGGTGGATGCTGATTCCCGGAGGCCTGTGGCCTAAAGCTGTGGTTGGTGGCATGGCTTCTCTTCTTTTCTCCCCCTCCTCTCAACAGGGAGGGGACCTGGATGTTGCAGATCGCATGTTCCACAGCGTGAGGAACACCTGGGAGTCAGCCTCAAGAGACAACATGACGGATGTCCGGGAACTGATACCTGAATTCTTTTACCTCCCTGAATTTTTAACAAACCACAACCACATTGACTTTGGTGAGTAGGCGTACGCTGCGTTGGATTTCCGGTTAGAATCATAGGCTCTCCACAGTCTCAGAATGATTGAGACGGATTTGTCTCTTGAGTGAAAGAACCAAAATTAAAGACTTCTAGATGAACCTATGCTCAAACGTGCAAATAAACGTTGGAATGTTGAGCTGGCTGGATGTCCCATTAAAAACTAGTCTTTTTTCATTTTTATAGTTCTAATTGCAGCCAAAGTGCTCCTGCCTCAGCACCCCTCCCTTCTAAAACACCCTGGAGGAATTTGTCCATGGCTAAATCTATTTTTCCTTATCAACAGATTCTGTCTAGACAAAAACTGGACAGATCACAGCGGTTATCAACTCAGCAGTTAAATCTGCTTGAAGTCCACGCCACAAGATTTGGACCTGGGATGATCACTAAGGATCTTGCTCCATTGTTGCCTTCCAATTTTTTTTTTACTTGTTGCCAGCAGCTTCTCCCACCAAATCCCAGCTGTCCTCTGACGAGGGCTTCTTAAACTATACCCTCTTTGTGTGGATTCTTCTGTACCACCAGAGCGTCTCCTCTTCTGTCCCTTGCAGGATGCTTGCAGGACGGGACCCGGCTGAACGACGTGGACCTGCCACCTTGGGCGGGAGGAAACCCTCACTGGTTTATTAGGCTGCACAGGCAGGTCTGTACGGAGAGGCGGTTTGGTGGAATCAGGACCACAAAGTCAGAGATAATATTCACAACATACGTTTTAGTCTAAAATAAAGGTAAAGAGAAATTTCTGAAAAGAAATAGGATTCCCTTTTTGCAGCCGTTACTCATAGCCTTTGTATTTTGAAGTGGACATTATACATGAGGCCACTGTGATGAACCAGACATGTAGGCTTCTTACAGCCCCCCCAGCCCCCTCCCTTGTGAGAAGGGATAGGATGCCTTCCTGCCGTCCAGGTAACTGAGTGGCTTCCGTTGGGTTTCAGGCCCTGGAAAGCGACTACGTCAGCAGCCACCTCCACCACTGGATCGACCTGATCTTCGGCTTCAAGCAGCAGGGCTCGGCTGCCGTGAAGGCCACGAACGTCTTCCACCCCTATTTCTACAGCGATCAAGTACAAATGGACAACATTGGTGACCCTCTCATCAAGAGCACCATCCTGGGATTTGTCAGCAATTTTGGACAGATCCCAAAGCAGGTACGATACAAACACGGGCAGGGTGCCATTGAGCAATCAAGGACATAGAATTAGCAGGAAATGAAATTATTTTCATCTCATGTTGAGATTTGTTGTTATGGGATTTCTTGAAAAATTAACCTGGTTGCCAAAAGAAAGTTGAATTTTGGTGTTTTCAGGCATCACTCAGCCACCACTGAAGCAATATAAAACTTATCTTTATTAATATAATATTAATTTATCCAACGATGACTCTAGAAGATGATACAAGTCAGGGTGCAGATCCCGTTTTTGTCTTCATTCATGTGCTAACTTTTCTGATACCCTCTGAGTTTAATATCATTTTAATATATTTTGTTTTGTTTTGATAACTTGGAAATCATATATCAGGTTTTCTTCATCTAATCAGTAATCAAAGTTATTAAGTACTATTATTTAATTGCTTAGCTCACTCGTTGGACTTGAATCATTTTTCCTCCCAAGTTTGTAAAGGGCTTTTCATGTGAACGTTTACATCTCACTCTGCAAATCACAATGTAAGGAGGAGGAATGGTTGCTCTCCTCCTCGCTGGCCTTCCTGAAGGACAGCAGGGATCCCTCCCTCGTTCTCATCAGCGCCTGAAGCAGGGTGTTCCCTCCCTGTGACACAATATACTTTTACTATTTTATTCATGTACAGCTTTAATGTCTGCTTTATTATGCTAATACTGTGCTTACTGTAACTTTTTCAGAGATTTTTGGTTGCTACCATAACTCTTTGCATTGAAAAGTAAAAAGTAATTTCTAAGGAAACAAATATTTTAAAGATATACAGTGGAGCTCCTGATGCATGTGTATGTTACTTTACGGAATCCATTGATTTGATGTAATTTGTTTATTTATGGTTCTTTTTCATTCTCAGCTTTTTACGAAACCGCATCCCTCCAGAAATGCTGTGAGCCTGAGGAAACATTCAGTGGGGAAAGACAGCTTCCTCTTTCCTTCTCCGGCTCTCTCTGTCAGTAATCTGTATAATCTGAAACTGACATCAATTATTCCCAAAGGTATAGACTGGATAAACAGTGCACAAAGAGCAGTATAACTTCTAGATCGGGGCACTTTTCTTTTGGCATTTAGAGCGGTTCAGCTCTAAGAGGGGAACTGGGGGAGAAAGAGCATTCTAGACATCGGATGGCACAAAACTTTCTGGAACAAATTCAAGTAGCAGATTTTTTTTCCCTCTGTAAAATGTGTTCTAAAATTATTTTCTTTCTCGTCCATAGAGGCACCTCAAGGACCTGTTGGTCATATTGTATGTACAGAAAAGGGGATTTTGGCTGTGGAGAAGAAAAGTATTTTGCTTCCTCCACTGTGGAGTAAAATATTTTCCTGGGGATTCAGTGACTTCACCTGCTGTCTGGCTGATTCTGGATCAGACAAGGTAATAATGAACTACAGATTGCTACCTGTTGGGTAGTGCATGACAAGCCACTCCCGCCCACCAAACCTGAGACAGGTGGCCAGTCGGGGCGTGACACACCTCCGGCCACTGTGTGGACGGCGCTCTTGGCGACCTCCTCTTGGTGGGGAAGCCAGATGGCCTGGAACCCCAACCTTGTTTAAAAAGAGAAGCTTGCGTGAAATGCCGAAAGGAAGACAAGTTACAGCACTGCTAGATGAGTGGGAAAATCTCCTTCCCTCCTTCAGCAGCAGATAAGATGGATGCATTTTTCCACTTAATAAGCGGTATGAAATGTTCTGAGTATATTTTGGAATGTACTCATTATTATGAATTCATTAGTGTTTTGATATTGTCAGTTGTTTGTTGGTTTTTCACTGGTGTTCGTGACTTGGACAAAGAAGCCAGTCTCAGTGGAGGCTGCAGGAAGAAGGCACAGACTTTATATTCAAAAATAATTTGGTAGACCGCATTTTATGGAAAAAAACTGGCAAAAAACAGTATTAAATTGTTTCAAAATTCATATTTGCTCTTCAACTATTTTTGTATTTAATTTTTTAAGCCCAAAAGTATCTTTTACTTAACTCATTTAAAATTCCAGAGTAAGTAAGCATATAAGTAAGCGTGGGCTTCACTCTTCCCTTGTGCTCTTCTCTGCTTCCGTCCTGCCTTGCTGGCTGCTTGGTCCAAGCAGAGGCCGACCGTCCTGGAGGCCCCAGCTGACTGGGGTGACTGTCTCTGCGCTGTGTCTCCCACCCCCGGCACCCTCATCACCTCTGGAAGCAGCTCCGGGGTTTGTGTCTGGGATCTCTGCAGGAGCACGGCGGGAGCCACGGCTTTACTTCTGAAACAGGTAGGTTCCCCCCCCCCAGTTCCTCTTCTGAAGCCGAATGGAGCTGCTGGGGTAGAGAGTCTGGGGCAAGAGCCGCCCACAGGGGCTTAGCAGGAAGCAGAGCAGGAGATTTCTTCTCCCTCCTCCGTATCCCCCTTTCTCACCTTGTTCCTTCTCAGGAGTGAAGAGGAAGAAAAATGGGTGGAGAAAAGAGAGAAATTAGCAGGATTAGTTCTGATTTAGGGACAGGGTTCACGTAACCATTAGTCCCCAGCCAGGAAAAGATAAAAGAACTGTTCTGACTAATGAATTAGCTCATTTTGAGGGTCATGATACAATAAATAGTACAATGTTGAATTTTAAGATATGTAAATTCTAGTAGAAACATAGTACGTGGAGTGTAATATTGATCTGTTGCAATCATTTGATGTTTCTCAAAATTATGAAGATTGCTGTCTATGGGAGCTCTTTGTCATGTGAAGGAGACAGTTGGGAATGTCAGCAGAAACAAAATTTGTGCGGAGGAGGCAGTGGGAACGGTGGGCCTCAGAGGCGCTTATAGTAAAAAGAGAAGAGAAAGGGAGAAAGATTAACAGGTGGTGAATGTGGACTGAGCAGAGGAATGGCTGATTTGTGGGTACTGAAGTATTTGGGTCATAGGGAGAGATTGAATGATCCAACCATTAAAAAAAGAAGAAGACATAAATGGGTTAACTGGACTTGATGAGATGTACAAGAAGAGAGAGGTAAAAGGAATAAATGGGAGAATATGAATAGTCTGTTAAAGCAGAAAGATGTGGAGTGGTTAATTATTTAGTTAGATTGCCTTATCTTGTCTTTTGCCTTTAATTTATTTTGCTTATCTTTATATAATATTGCTCATTCTGAAAAGAAAAAGCATGATGGGTGCGTATATATGCATGTTTTATTGCTTTTACTAATTGTATTTGATTACCCTGAAATCTATTGATCTGAAGAATGAACTTTGAAATAAATGCATATAACCGCCAGGACAGCTTCTAACAGCCTTCTCTTCCATGAAACTATCTGATCCCCCTTGGATGCCATTGAACGGCTATACCGGACTGCAGGTCCTGATCTTATTTATTTAATTATCCAGGCACAATGGCCTGACCAGGTGGGAGAGGAAAGAGGGCAGGGGAGCCTCCGTGAAGGAGGGGAGCAGCCCTCCCACGATTCCTTTGGCTCGCAGCATTCTTGGCTGCAGCCGGGCCAAGAGGGCAAGGCTGGCTGGCCCAGCCCAGCTGTCCTTATCAGGGGCCACTTTCCCAGGCCCCTGCTGCGCTTCCTGAAGACCCTCCGGGGGCCGCTCAGATGTCATCGGCTGGGCCTTCAGTAGCGGCCAAAGATGATTTCCTGGGACTTTCTGTGCCCACCGATCAGTGCAGAGGTTGCCCTTCGCAGGATGAAGAAGGGTGGTGTTAACTAAGGAGGGACGGGCGTTATATAAACCATGTCTGTGTCTGTGTGCGTGTCCTTGTGCATCAGGGAGGATTTCTTTATTTCATTCCTTTGACTTACATAGCCACTCATCTCACTTTTACGTGACTCCAGGCGGCTTTCAGTGACGGGAGGGCTGCATCTGGGTTTCTCAGCATGGCGCCTGGAAGGGCCGGCAACCTTGCAGACCCTCCCATGCCTCTCCTCCTCAGACCTCTTGACCTTCTGCAGAAACGGTTGCACATGATTAAAACACGGGATGTTGGCTTGCCCTAAAGCAGAGGGCCGGCTTCTACATAATGTTGGCCATCTTTAAATGAGCCCCCAAAACAAACAATAGTCTGGGAGTGGACCCTCCGCCCAGAACAGGGGCAAAGGCAGGCAAAGGGCAGAAGGAAGCCACTTGTAGGGATTAAATAAGGGGTTGGTGGCATTGGAATACATGGTGGGAAGTGACCCCGTCCTCCATGGCAGCCCTGTTGTTATGGGGAGCCCCCCCCAGCATTTCTTTCCTCGAAGCACCCACAGCCCCTTCTCCAAATTCCAGAGAGGCCCATCAGTGCAAACAGTTTTGCCTTCCTGGATCAGAATATTTTTACCGCTCCCTTCCAAGGAACCGGGCACAGCGTAAACCAGGCCCCGGTGGGACGACAGTCAAGGGCCAGGAGTTTGTCCCCTGCCTGCTTCGGCCTGCGCCCGCTTAGCCTGCCCTGATTTTCCTGCCCTTGGAGTTCGTTGGCTGCCCCAAATATTAACCCTTTGGAGACACGGAGAAAAGTTTTCTTGTTTCCTCCGACACACGCATAATTTGTTGTATCTTTACCCCTCCCGCCACCTTTTCCATCTTTCAGTGAGTAGCCTAGAGCAGCTGCCCTCCGCTCTCCCCAGCTCTGAGATGCAGTGACAGAACAGGAACAGGAATCGCAACCATAGTCATGCCAGAAGTTGGCAGACAGCGATGTCGGCAATTTAATTCTGCATTCTCACCGTTGACTGATGTGTTTTAGTACTATAGGTCTGAGAGAAGGCTTCATTATTCAATATCTTTCTTTTTAAAAAACGGTGTGGCTC